CACAGCAAAGAACTCCAGATAAATGTGTATTTTATGTCAAACTAAGCGAGGCAGAGATTAGAGCAGAAATTGCCTTTCTGCCCCCCCCCCCCCCCCCATTTCAAACTGTATTTTGCTTAGATTTTCATTTGTTTCCACTCAGATTTATTGTTCCTCTTCTCCCCGCCCCCTGTAATGGCCGATCTTGAGGATCTGTAGATTAATCTACAAAAATTGACAGTCATTTGATCATGCTTGACCAAATCATTGTACATGGAATTGGGTTTTGGGCAGTCAAATCTCTGTGATTGCTTGTGTACCAACACTCATGTCGCGACTTCCGACAAGAATGTGATTAGTTGTTGATTATGATCCTGTGAACTCCTATGCCAACTAAAAAGAATGAGGTGCCAACCAAAAGCAGTCTCAAGTAATAATGCGTTACAAGTATAACTTTGTTACTTTGCTAGTAACTTGTAATGCATTACTTTTTCAAAATTGAACCTTCAAGTTCAGCTTGATTACTTTTCTGAAGTAATGGTGAAAGTATGGTGAAAGTAACATGTTACTTTCGTTGCTACTTTCCACAGTTCGTTGAGAATTCAAATATCATTAAAGGACAACTCCGGCCAAAAACTCGGAAGGAAATTAATTACTGGTATCACTTTAGTGACACAAAATACGGCCCCAGTCAAAATATTAAGTCAGAGGGATGGCCCATTGTCAACTAATGCCGATAATAGAAATGCGACTCGCTGCGACGCGCTGGGGCCGCTGGGGCCGCTGGGGCCGCCAGCGGGTTACCGATCGCTACAAGCAACGTTGTACTGTAACGTCATGGTCATTCTCTTTTTTTTCCCCCGTCTGGACCGGCATACCCGTTGCGCTCTAAAGTGTGCTTCCTTGAGTCGCTACCGTCGCTACTTCGGCTGGTGATTGCGTGTTTAGGTGTTGCTTTTATCTGTAGCCCATGTAGCTTCAGTATAGCCTTTTGTTCATATGCTTGTGAGGACTCCAAGGCTCGTTTTAGCGAGCAACTCTGTGCGCACTCACGCACATTGTGGTGTCAGAAGGACGGGCCCAGCTGCAGTCATGCACATGTTACTGCTAAAATAAAGCAGTGTTACAGTTACAGTTACTTAGGCAAAAAGTAACCCTGTTACAGTTACATTTACAAAATTGAAAGAGTGACTTGTTACAGTCACAGGTACTTCGCTCAAGTAACGCCGTTACTTCGTCGTTACTTTACAAAGAAACATGAGAAAACATTCGAAAGGAACACACCACAAACACCCATTTTTCTCTACCGAGAAACGAAAGTAAATTTTTTTGCCGACTCGTGCAACCTTTCGAATGCTGCTTGTTTGCAAACATGTGATTTTGTGGCCACTTCGTGATGCTCAAGCGCAAGATAGGGTCCTATCTGACATGTTTTCAAGGAGTGTTTGTTGTTTGTCGCTCCAGCGGGACAGGGCCTCGTACGGAAGTTTCTTGAGCTTTAAAAGCTAAGTTCGTTTGTCTCATGCACTGGCACTAATACGCCGTGGAGGTTCCCTTATTCGGTGAAGACGGAGTGACCAGATGCGACAAGCAGATATCTACCGTTACCCGATTGTCGCCACAACGTGTCTCGCTGCATTCTCTCGCGACACATATCCAGTGATAGAACTGTTGCGCCATTTGTGCCAAATAGTACCATGAACGAAAATCTGCTACATCTTGCGCCAAAATGCAGTTTTTGCTAAGAATTGAGCCACACCTGCCCCAAGATGGGCTTAAAGCAAAAAATTAACGTTTTATTATTGGTTGACCCTAATATTCAGGGAAGTTGAAGGAAAAAAAAATTGTACAAAGATGAATTTTGGGGCGTCTCTACTCACCGTGTAGTTTGCTTCATCTTAGGTCAGAGCACACTCGAAGGCTCAAACACATACAACCGCAAACCCACATACTAAAAGCGCGAGTCACAGGACATTCACTGCACTTGATTGTTTAGCCGATGAAAGGACACATACAAGGAGATGACAAATGCCACAATATCGCGCTTTGATGCTGCGAGTCAACCGGCCAGAGCCGTTGATTATAGGCATCAACCGCTCTGTCCAGTTTATGCGCTGGCTGGTTGATCGCTGACATCGTACAAATTTCCAGTCAATGTCAGGAACTAAAAGTCCCGAGAAAACTCTGCAAAATAGCAGGATTGCCGATTGCGGCTGCTGTGAGAAAACAAAATCAGGGTCTTGTACTCCTGATAAGACCACTCGATTATCGTGCATGCTGGCTCTTGCTGGCATTTTAGATAAATTATATTTACAGGCTAAACAAACTACAGAGTGTAAAAGGGGGGGGGGGTAGAGAAATTATCCTAATCAAGTGCTGTGCTATGATTCACTTTTCAACCATTTTTTAATACCCATTGTAAATGAAACCCCCTCTGACTAGAACCTTATTTAAAAAATGAAAGCCGTTTACAACTCCCTGTAACACCGAATGAGAGCGCAGCTCTTGAGGAGGAGAAGGGTACTGGGGGGGTGAAGTGACCTGGGGGGGTCACGTGACGATGCCGATGATGTCATCAGTGACGTCACAGATGACGTCATCAGTGACGATGACGATGCGGACTCCGATGATGTCGTCAGCGATGATGACGATGCGGATGTCGGTGACGTCATCAGTGACGTCACTGATGACGTCATCTGTGATGATGACGATGCGGATGCCGGTGACGTCACTGATGACGTCATCAGTGATGATGCGGATGCCGGTGAGGTCATCGTCATTATCACTGATGACATCATCCCCCCGCCGAGGTCACGTGACCTCGGCAGGGGTCACGTGACCCTGGGGGTGGTCACGTGACCTGGGGGTGTCGCGTGACTTTTGGGGGGGGGGGGGTCACATGACCTTGGGGAGGGGTCACGTGACCTCTGGGGGTCACCTGACCTTGGTGTGACCTTGGGGGTCACGTGACCTTAGGATGACCTTGGGGGCCACGTGACCTTGGGATGACCTTGATTACGCCGACGGCGACGCCAACGGCGACGCCGACGCCGCTCAAGCCGGGAACGGGGCCCCTAAGAGCTGCGCTCTAAAAGACTATGTTCCCTTACATCCTATCTATTCTTATCACCGACGGTAATAAGTAAAATGCTCAAGTATCAAGGAGGAACCCTCGATCATTATCATAAATGAACTCATTTAGAGAAGCAATCACTTTTTCATTCTCAAGTGGCGCGCTAACCGACGTTGACATCTGCTGCAAAAGCGTCGGTGGCTGCTGCAAAACCAATATTTTGACCGCTGCAGAACCTGCTACAAAGGTCAAATGCCGCTTCTATCGATGCACATCTCATTATTATGCATTTCCCTTTCCCAAAGTGCCCTTCGCACAGCTAGTTTGACCACCCGGTGTGCGACAGTTCAAGCTCGGTCCATCGTTCTCGATCCGTCTGCAACGTGGCCGGTGAGAACTCACCGGAACATGGTCGTGCAGGGTCGCTGGCCGACAACGTCGGTAGCGAGAGCGTGGTGGCACCGTACGTGCCGTCAGGCTCATCCGAGGACCCCCTGCGGTTCCACCTTCGGTGCGGCGCCCTGGTTCACCTGTCCAACGGCAACCGGACCGCGGAGAGGAGGAAGCCCGCCGACGAGTTCAACAACGGCGTGGTCATGACGCATCGAGCTCTTAGGGACGACGAGTGGTTCGAGGTAAGCAACACATTTGTCATTCTATTTTTCTTTTTTTTTAATAATTTCTTTAAAAACATGGATTACTTATAAGTAAAGTTCTGTTTTTTTTTGGATAAATCCAAAAAACTCAGAAAAACACCTGCTTGTCTCGTCAAGGTTGATTCAGAACAACAGGACATTGCACATTCGGGTCACGTCAAAAACCACTTCTTTGATTTCGAGTTTGGGCCATGCGATTTGTGGTTTAGAGAAAGGAGAGTGTATGTTTTTGTAACAGTGAAAGACTGTTACAAAATAGAGATTGTATAAAATAGGGAAGAGGGGCAGTTGAAACTTCTCTGTTACATCCTTAACCACCCCACCTCGCGTGGCCACGTGGTAGATTGATGGAATAGGATGGGATGACTTGGAGCTTCCTAGCAACTACCTCACTCTGAGTTTATTGATTTTAAGGTGTCGACGTTTATCCAAGCAACACTTCTGTGCAACTTTTGTCATGGGACAAGTTTGTGGCACCAAGGCTAAATTCAACTGAAGAAATTTTAATTGATACAAGCGCATTTTAATTTTTATCTGGAATATGTTTACATCTGGTTATTATTTATTTATTTATTTTAATAGGAAACATTTACCCACCAATTGTTGTGAGCAGAGCTCGGTGCCCCGACGTCCCCGCACAGTCTCATCTCCTCACCAAGTTTCGACCAACCGAGAACCATTAGAAGAAAAAAGAGATTACAGCAAAGTCCACCACGAGCCAGAAAGATTGCGGTGTGAACACATTCCGTGCGTGTGCCATATTTGTCCGTAGGACCGAGTTAAATATTGAAATTTGAGAAAGAGGGCACACCGAGGTTGCCCACAGCGTTTTGCTCTCATTCTTTATAGATGATTGTTGCGCACGCTGCAACGAACTGGAAACTTTTTTCAAAACACGAAATGCTTTGTTACTTGAGTTGTGGGCCTTCGGCATAGAAGAAAACCTTAGAAAAAGTGCTGAGAAAGTTGTCAAGTTGTATTTCACCTCTCGGTCAAATTGCCTCGTGGTGTCTCGTCTACGCTTCCGCATCTCACGTCGACACACCTCTAGACGGTTTGCACATTCCTTTGACTAGAAGGTTTGCACATTCCTTTGACTAGAAGGTTTGCACATCCCTCGATTTAAAAAAAAAAAGCCATTTTGAATTCCTTCGAAAAACTTGGAATTTTTAGCGGTGCTTGTAAGTGACAATTAAGTGTCATTTATCAAATGTCCCTGACCACAGTGGAATTACCCTAATATCCCGAGTCATCGCCCACCCACCTGCCGCCTGAAATTCATAAAAAAGTGGGGTGGGCCGTGTCTCCGTGGGTAAGCACAAAAAGTTTAGGAAAAGTTAAAAAGTGCCCATTTTTCTGTACGTATCTAGTGTGGCTGCTCTAGAGATATGTTAAACTCAAAACGCAAATTAGTTTCATTGTTTTACGCAAGAATTGCTCATGAAAAATGTTTTAGTATCGCAAAGTTCATCGCTTGAATACGATAAACACCACTGATCGGCATTACGCGAACATTTGTTCCGTGAAAGAACGTTTCTAACACCACCATGTTCTCTTTGTTAGTAAAAAAAGAGTCAACTAGAAAATAAAAATCAGCGCCCACATTGGGGCGCTGAGCGGCCGCATTAGGGAAAGCCAGCTTGCAGAGCAAAACGGCGCTCTTGGCAGTTCAATATATCGTTAGCGGCTGCTATTTTTGTTCGATGCAACCATAGTTTTTCTATATATTATCACTGTAACATTACTGTGCACAAAAATTGTTCGATATAAGGAATAATTAGATGTAAACGGGTTCGATATAGTCGGGGTTGACTGTATTTGGAAAGGTCGAATAATTCAATATTGTCAAATAGTTTAATTTTCTTGACAACCAATTCATGCACTGGGTACAAACTTGTATCGGGCAAAAGGCAAACCTTGAGGAAAACAATATCTCGTTTATGTCGGCGCTAAAAAAGCCACATCAGGAGCGAGAAACATGATGGGAACATAACAATGTTGGCGGATTTCATTTCATTTCACGTACGTTTTCATGAAAACCATATTTATAGGACCTGCTCTCGCTCCAGCTACTCTCGCTCCAGGTGCGTCACCTGTAGCACCAGGAATACTTGCAGCCTAGCTCTGACGTTTGTAACAAAAGCAGTTTTAAGTAGTCATTCGCAAATTTAGTGGCCTACTTATTAACTAGCTTTATATCGCGGTCTGTATAAAAGGACACTCCACAGTGACGAAGTTAGAAATTCTTGCGTAATTATGATGAGCCTTACCATTAATGCTTGTTACTCTTCCTCCGCAAGATACGCATCGATGAGCTCGTCAACAAGTGGTCGGGGTCTATCGAACTTGGCGTGACAACGCACAATCCTGACACGCTGGACTTTCCTGCAACAATGACTAACATGCGTTCAGGTCAGTTCGTCTTGCTGGAATCAGTACTGAATACATTTGGAAGAGAAATGTTTCTTCTTCTGACGAGTGTTTGCCATTATTGTGGCGGTTGGTGAAACCACTTTTGGAACGTTCAATATGACCGCCTCAGGTTTAGGTCTCGCTGCATGCCCTTTCCAAAGGAAGTCTTAGTAAAAATGTGATAAAATGTCTGATAGCTTTCAGATAAGTTTGAAACCTTTTCATAAGGCATAAAGTTGTGGCATAAGAAACCTATCAACAAGGTTTCTTATGGCATCAACTTTGCTGACAAGGACCAGGGTCATTTAATGGTGTTGCCTTTTTCATCCTCAGTTATTGTGAGCTTTCTGGCTGGACACAAATAGACAAGCCATGTGGTGTTGAAACAATATTAATGCTTTAATGCACCTAACCCTGAACTCAGAAAGCTGAACATGTTGTATTTGCCCATCAGGAACCATCATGATGAGCGGATCAGGAATCCTCACCAATGGCAAAGGTAGCAGACGAGAGTATGGCAACTACAACTTGGACGAGCTTCATGTAAGCGGACACCAAAGTGTTTCTCTTCTTTCCTCCGGATTATTTCTGTGTTTGTTCTTGGCGGGCTATACTTTCTGATCTGCACGAGATCTGATGTGGTCCATTTTCAATTTGATGTGATAGTGATTCCTGCATGACGAGCTAATTTTTGTCTGTCCAGAGGGAGCGTGATATCAGTTTGACAGTGGTGTTTCTGGATGGACTGTCAATACAGCATTCTTTGAATGAGTCAAGAAGAGCTGGATTATATCACTGCCAATAAACATTCATGAATTGGTTTTCTCATTGCATTTGAATGATTTGGCAATCACTGTGCATGGTGCAAGCACAGTGTTAGTTCTTGTTATCATAAAGAGTAGCAACTAATGCAAAACTACTCTATGCACGAAATCACCTGTCCAGTTATGCCGTTATGCCCTAAAATTTCACCTCTGAGAAGCTATATTTTGGAAAAAGGTTGATTACTGCAAGAAGCATCGTCCGTCATTTTATTTCCTCCGTGTCTCGGGGCTCAGGTTATGATGATTATTGTGATTCGTAAAAGTGTGCTATCACATTTTCACATATCAGTGTAAAATCCCGTGGCAAAGGAGAGGCACTTCATCGGTGGCTAGGAAAATTAAAGCATTGTCCACTTATCGAAACACTCGCCCTACTTTTGTGGCATCTGAGCTGTGGTGTAAAATCCTATCGAGGTGTGCGAGGTCACTGATGACAGGTGCAACACACAACCCTATGCACACTCTTTTCTTTTTTAAAAAGATACACTCTCTCAAAACAATACTTTTTTAAGTGTCTGAGAATACTTGCCTCCCCCCCTTTTCCCCCTACGGAAAAAAAAAACAATGAAGTTAATGCAATACTTACATTATGAGACTCAATTTGAGTGTTGCGCAATTCTGAAACATGCTTTTCTTTTGGAGTCTCAGTATAAAAGCGTGTTTCCAACTTATGCAGCTGAAATGCATCTTTGAACTGCACCGATTGCTCTCAAGGTAGTATGTGTCTTGCATCATAAATATTGCACCATTCGTTTTTTCCACAGAATGTTTATTTTGTAACATATATGTGCCAGGCACACACGTGAAATGTCTCTTGAGGGTGCGTAGATGCTTTAGAAGCACATGTGCTTTGCACTTGCTGCTGCATTGTAAAAGAATGTAATCTCCCGAGTTATTTATTTATTTATTTTATTACCTTCAGGCCAGAGGCATTGCAGAGGGAAGTGGGTTGCCTAAGTAAAATAGTAAAAAGACAGCAAAACGTATAGCAAAAAAGAAATATACATTCAGGCTCTTTAACTGCAGTTTGAAAATGTTTGTTATCAGAAATTTCGGTAATGGCTCGAGGAGGGTTATTCCACACAATAAAAATTCAAGAATGAGACACACACAAAAAAAAAAAAATAATAATAAGGCTGAAATTGTTGCTGTTGTTGCGCCGATTCTCGACGAAATGCATTCGCATTTGGCGCCAGAGTTCTGACTCGGCGATGGATGGGAATCGCAACCTCGCAAAGGTCCGCACACGGTTGTCTCGGGGGAGCCAGTCTGTTCTCCCGTGTGTCGGATGCAGCCACCGCAGCTTCCCTCGATCGCCACCTACGGTCCGCACGCTATTGTCGCGGAAGAGCCAGTCTTTCCTCTCGCGTGACGGAGGTTCCGCGCAAACCTCGGGTTTACGTTGCTGCGTAAGCTGCGCATACCGGGGAAACGAAAGCACATGCCTGCGCCCCGTTGCCATCGTAAGAGTAGCGTGCGTCAACAGCAACGCATCGTTGGAAGCGCTCGGGAAGTGGACGTAACAAACAGAGTGAAAGAGCACGGCGGGTCCAGTTCAAAGCAAGGATGGCTCCATGCACTGGGGCAAAAAGGCATTTAAGATGATTTGGGCGACGGGATTTAAAGAGGGCGATGGGAGGCCAACGGTGGAGTGCAACGATCCTCGCAGGAAGGCGACCGCATAGGGGTGGTGCGCAAGTCCAACGGCAACCTGCACTACTACATCAACGGCATGGACCAGGGCATGGCTTCCAACAGCGTGCCCCAGGTGGTGTACGGGGTGGTCGACCTGTACGGCATGACGGTCAAGGTCACGCTGCTGGACCGCTCGGACCCCTCGCTCTCCCTGGTCACCTCGCCCAGCGACGAGAGCAAAGCCATCAAGGGTGAGAGACTGCGCTGGCCACACGGTGACTTGCTCCCGAGGCATCTCTTCTGCTTTTGGAATGTGTTACGTCTTGTGACTCGCTCTCGAGGCATCTCTTCCGTTCTGCTTTTGGAATGTGTTACGTGGCTGGCTCCTGGTAGTTTCTTTGTTCTTTGCATTCAGCACATTGGTAATCGAGGTTGTCGACCTGCTTTTTCTCAATGCATCCATGCGTTTTCATTTTCATTTGTTTATTTTTCTAGAAACTAGGGTCAGCGGGTACAGGCATAGACGATGGGTATCCTTCCTGTGCATCTGTTCAATCATTTCCCCACCAAACCTGGCCAAGGCTACCAACAAACACGATGCATCAAAAGTTGGCAATTTTGACTCGGAGCCACTTTGTAGTTCGCATTTGGGTCAGTATCACTGTTCCCTTGGTTGTGTGCTACAAGAAACATTTGTACCACCAAATAAATCTAAAATTACATGAAATATAAACACAGCCAGGACCATGCAGAAACCGAAACCAAGCAAATTGAAGCCACTATCTGCCGGTCAGATAACTAGTGATATGGGAAGGTCTATACAGCACTCAATAAAATAAATGAATATTTCCAAATCACCAATTGTGCACCTGCATGTTCATATGCTGTATTTTTACTAGCATCTCGTGCATTCGGTGGATGTCGTGGTCGTGCACAGTTTGACAAAGTGCAGCATCATTGTGGACTCCACTCCCAGTATCGTGACTTGTTGTACCTTCGCTTTGCAGACGACACAAACGACCGGGAGACTGAGAGGCTACTCTTCCACCCACGTTGCGGAGGGAGGGCCCTCGTGACCAATGGAGGTCGCACGGCACGGAGACCCAGGTGAAGAGGCCGTCATCAACTTAGCAAACCTGCTGCGACTTGCCTCGCTCGGCAGTGTAGGACGCAGTGGCACTTGTGGGAGTCAGCCGTCTGCAAGTGCCTTTGTTTCGAATTTTTCATTCACATTCACGTTTGTTGGGTCGGGCTTTAGTGTGTTAGTTTGGTTGAGAGGTACTCATGTTTGAATATTGTCACGAAGGACAATTGAGGAGGTGGTAAATAACGAAAAAAACAACGCTTTCTTGGCTTAAAAAATTTTACAGCGGAGCTGTTAAGGGCTAGTTTCCCCAGGATTGTGTCCGGTACTAAACAAATGTCGACACAACACACTGGTTGCCGCCGTCACTCATAAATGGCGGTAGCTGTCCAGAGTGCTGTGTTTGCCGGTTGTCTGCTTGCCGCCGCCGGTCATAGATCGCAGCAACCTTTCCAGCCTCGGCAGCCAGGCAACCGGTCGCTGCCGTCACTCATAGATGGTGGCAACATTTCTTTGGGGGGACAAGAGTGGGAACGGAATGAGCAGCGAAGTGCGCAGTAGCGCGAATGGTTCCACAACCGCCGCGAAGCCGCTATCGACTGAAGTTCCACTGCGTTGAGCGCTTCAGATTCTCTTGCGAAAGAAGAGCAGATTGCTCGCCTGGAAAGCCACCGCCAAGAATAGAAGCTGCAGTTCCGCTGCTCTCCTTCTTCACCAGAGTGGAATGGCTAAAAGTTTTCTTGTCAACATTATAACGAAACATTTCTCATAAGTAGTATGTACATTTGACCTCGCAAACACCGCCAGACCTTCGCTCTAGGGAAATGCAGTACAGAGGTTACTGCATCGATGGCGCCAGGTTGTCCGTGTGTTCTCTCTTCAAATGAAATTTGTAGGCGCTTGGTTCTAAGGAGTTGCAAGTTTGCGAACGGGCCTTTAGACTTTTGTGCAGTGATATGTTGCCACTTTTTCTTCGGTTATATTTTGGCAGAGTTTAATAACAGTGGCTTGGAAAATATTTACCTCTTGGTATAAAATACAACTTCAAAATACAAACGCCATCACATAGTCAATGAATAAATATTTTTTAATGAATAAATGTAGGAGTTTTGTTGTGCAGACTTCATATTGAACATTACCAGATAAAAAGCTTATACCAAAAAAACTTAATTACCTGATGTTTTTAGTTTTTTTCATTCTTCAAATACAATAAGTTTGGGAACATATCGTTAGTTGGATCAAGAATAAATGATAAAAGCAAAAATTTCTTGTGATCCAAGTAACAATATTGCCGGCAATGAGGCATTTTTTCAGCGAAAAAAGCTTGTGAATCCGGAAGGCAATATTGTTTCCTCTCTTTCTTGCAACTTGTTGTTTGTTTCAAAAAACTTATCTTTTCATGCGGGTGAAGTCATTTCCCCATACTTGCACATTCGATCACCATCGCTAGCATTATATTCAACCAGGGTTCCTTGATTTATGGAACACATATATACTAGCTTACTTATCTGGAGCAACAGGGATATTCATTTTTCTGGTTGCGCTCATAGAAAGCAAACGGCACACTCCGGAAAGATCTAAAGCAGCAAAAAAACTTGTACTATAACCTGTCAAGTTGATATCTTGATAGGCCACACGTTAATCAGTTTTGCTCGCCAAGTAGAAATACAAGTCGTGATGCTCCTGGGCCGAAGCCGTCGTCTTCCTCGTCGCTCACGTCGGGAGCGGGCATTTCGGAAGACGACGCAGCCACTGGCAGCCAAACTTGCCGCACATCTGTCGCAAACAACGGGGTTGGCGATGCAAAGTCTTTTGCTCCGTGCCCGACCTTTCCGCTTGCTTCACACTAGGTATTGCCATCACTACCATTGATGTCTCCTAAGGAGCTGAACAAAGCAGGCAAACACCGAAAAATAATGTGCTTGAAGCTAGCAGACTACAATCTCAGCTGGTCCCGTCACACTGCGAGAAAGGGGAGGAGGGAGAGGAGGCAGAAGATGAGGCATGTGGGCAATAGCAAGAGCGCTCGCTGCGGCCCGTGCTCCTTAGCCAATTGGTAGCTCGGTTTCTTTCTCTGCGGAAACACGCTATTTCCCTGGGTGGACATCATTTTGAATGGCGACAGATATTTATACCAAGAAAAAAAGCTTTGGAATGAGAGCGAAAAGGGTGATTTTTGACGTCGGTCTTCTCTTTCGGGGAGATTTCGGGCCCATTCCTCGCAATGTAATTATTTTTATTTTTTTTTTTAATATACTTTGAGTTTGCGTCATGTTATAATATTTTGGAGAGAGGTGCTTGGATGTTTAGAATATCCAAATACGGGATTTTGTTTTTAGCAGAGTGTCGAACCAAAATTTTTATCGGTTTGGTTCGGGTTCTGGTTCACGGTTTTTGATTAAGTTGTGACTCAGCTTCGGGGAACAAAAATAACGGTTGAAACTGGTTCAAACTGGTTTGAACCGCTAAATTGAAAATATATTTTCCGCATTGTTTTGGCAATGGGCACTATTTGCACCGTGAAACGAGTAATTATAGAGTTGTTCATCATTCGTACAACCCACTTTTATTTTGAGGTAACAAAAATTAAAAATTGCGTTATATAATTTTTACGCGACTGTGAAGCAAATTCGAGATTACGCCAAAGCTAACTTTGATAAAATTAATCTTGACCTTGCAACTTTCCTCGATGAATATTTATCACTCTTCTCAAGTCGCTCAGTAGAAGAAAACTGGAACTTTTTCAAAACCGAAGTTAATAAACTAACAAATCAGTACATTTCCTTAAGGAGAGTTATCGAAAACTCTCAGTCACCCTGGTTCACCAGAGCCTTAAAACGCTTATCAAACAAAAAAAAGCGTCTATTTCGCGCCGCAAAATTATCTACGTGCGAGCACCGTTGGTTGCGTTATCGTACTGCTGCTGAAGTGTACAAAAAAGCAATTGAAAACGCCAAACTAGAATTCATGACTCATAGCCTACCCGCAATGTTGATCAACAATCCTAGACGATTCTGGAACACAATAAACAAAAAGACGCAGTCATCTATCACACTAAAAACTGCAAATGGTGATTGTATAGCCAGCGATGAGTGTTTAAATTTATTAAATAGTACTTTTGCAGATTCATTTTCTACTGATAACATGCACAATTTCCCTTCGCTAGAGAGTGCCGATTACTTGCCAATGGATCCTTTTTTTCTTGATTACGTTGGTGTCAATCGTATCATAGATAAACTCAAACTGTCATCTTCAGCAGGAGTGGACGGCATTGATTCTAAGTTTGTACAAAACACTAAACAATACTCCTCAATTATTTTAACAAAATTATTTGAACAACCTATACAAGACGCTCTTCTCCCATCAGACTGGAAGGTAGGGAAGGTGGTACTCATTCACAAGGCTGGAGATAAACATTCCCCTCTTAATTATCGTCCGATCTCAATAACCAGCATTCCTTGCAAACTTCTTGAACATATAATTTTTTCTCACCTCGTCAACTTCTTAGAATCTAACAACTTCTTCAACAATGCCCAACACGGTTTTCGAAAAACATTTTCATGTCAGACCCAACTACTATCTTTCACGAATGACCTACATCACATTCTGGACCGAGGATCCCAGGCGGACTGCATTTTCCTGGATTTCGCCAAAGCATTTGACAAAGTTTCTCAATCTTCTGCTTCTAAAACTTTCCAAACTTAACATAGACAATAACGTTCTCGCATGGATACAGTCTTTTTTAACTCAACGGTCTCAATTTGTCACTGTGAATAACAATAACTCCTCTTTTGTCAAAGTTGCGTCAGGGGTTCCGCAAGGGACAGTCTTAGGGCCGTTGCTATTCTTAATTTATATTAACAACCTACCCACTAGTGTCTCTTCGTCCGTATCTCTGTTCGCTGACGACTGTGTACTTTACCGTGAGATTCTCAATCATAATGACACCTGTATACTCCAATCAGACATTAGTGCTATTTACCGTTGGTCTGACTCGTGGTCTATGAAGCTTAACACTAACAAATGCAAGGTCATGCGTGTGTCTCGCCAGTCTCAGGACTCTCCTAAGTATTTCCTTAATAATGCTCATCTAGAACCGGTATCTTCGTACAAATATTTAGGCGTACATATAGCTTCTAACCTTTCATGGAAAACACATATTCAACATATTTCAGCTAAAGCTAACCGCATGTTAGGTTACATCAAGCGAAATTTTTCATTAGCCCCTGTCTCACTGAAATTAACTCTTTACAAAGTTTTAATTCGTCCCAAGTTTATGCAGTTTCTGTCTGGGATCCCGGACTAGTCACTCTTGTATCTACAATGGAAGCCGTTCAGAACAGATCTGCTCGTTTCATCCTCGCAAACTATCACCGCACCGCTAGCGTCACCTCTATGAAAACAACTCTCTCATTACCATCTTTATCCCTACGTCGTAAAATTTCTCGTCTTTCCCTATTCCATAAAATGTATCACCATAATTCTTTCCTGCGCGACAAAATAATTGCTCGGCCTGTCTATGTTTCCTCATGTCTTGATCATCAACATAAGGTGGGCATTCCTAACTCTATCACAACCACGTTTTATTCATCTTTCGTTCCCCGTACATCCCAGGAGGGAACCACCTTCCCCGGTCGATCGCGATCATCACGGACTCTGAGCTCTTTAAAAGTACAATAACTAATTACTTTATTACTGAGTGTGTCTAAATATGTATTATGTTATTTGCATTAACCTTCTTGTTGCTCTCCCCCTCTGTAATGCCTTCGGGCCCTGAGGGTATAATAAATGAAATGAAAGGGAAATCTTGATTAACATGCAAAAGGTTGTGTTTCTATGGCTCAACATTTATAGGTTTACCTCAGTCACATATATTTTATCTCAATCAAAAAGTTGTTACGAAGTTGGGTAGGCGACCTAAAATACCTTTGATTGATACAAATTTGCATCACAACATTAAAAAGTCCTGAAACGAAAAAAAAAAAAAAAAGTTTTTTAACAGTCTGTTTGGAACATGCGTGTCAAGAAAAAAAGATTTACGCGAACTATACATTTGTTTAGAGCAATATTGACGGCGAGAGATTTATTTGAAATTCTGCGCACAAAGTTCATGACGTCACGGGATGGTCATTCGCTCAACGAGGTGGTCATTCGGGCATTTGCTCTTTCCACCTCAACGTAAAGGCGAAGCCGATCCACCTCTTCTCCAGACGCCCGAAGTGCTGAGAGAGAAAACAAGTGGAAAGGAGATGACTACCAACAAAATTGTGTCTCGCGCCCTCAATACTGCTCTAAAAAAATTTCTTTTTCGCGTAAAATTAATTTTTTGACACGCAAGTCCCAACCAAACTGTTTTAAAAATTTTTTTTTTTCTTTTCTTTTTAGGTGTTCTTTAAAAGCTGAATTATAGTAGTGCTCTTGAACTAAGGAATTAATTGCAGCGTATAAAATCATGAAGTGGGTATCTCGTCGCCATATATATTATGGAAAATAGTTTACGAATTATGTTTTACAATATCTTGCGATATTACGATCGCGTTCCAAATTTCAGGTATGTGCAATTTGACTTCGAATTTTGCAAGGCAAGTAAAATGTGTTAGTCGTTACGGCTGTACCCTGAGTAGAATGACGACGCAACTGAGCTAAAAGAAGTAATATTTTCAAAATATTGCGAAAGTCTTAGGACAAACCCCTTCAGTCCACCTTTTATAGAAACACTGGGCGGCAATCACAAAGCTTGTTTTCCTAACCAACATTTCTTATGCTTAGCACCGTGAAGCAGGCGAAGAGTCACGCAGAAAATGTTTGTTAAATGGAACAAAAGAGTATTTAATACTCTACCTGACATGGCAGCTACTTAACTGGTCACTTTCTGACAGTCTGCGCTCATAATCGTCATAGTTCCGTCGCGTGTCTCTGTGTACTTCGTTTTTGTCGAGCCCAAAGACATAAAATTGCCGTTCATGACATAAAAGAGGCAATAACAGATTTCTATATGCTTGAGAAGTTCAGGAACACGTACCTAGTTCCTCATATTTAAGGCTGTGCCAAATCACAGTGCCCTGGACGGCTTCAACAATGCTGTGGTGCTGACGAACCGGGCCCTGCGGGCGGACGAGCTGTTCGAGGTGGTTCTGGAGCAGCAGGTGTCCAAGTGGACGGGCTCCATCGACATTGGGGTGACCATGTTCCCCCCACACCTGCTCGAGTTCCCCACCACCATGACCAACGTGCGGTCGGGCACCTGGATCATGACCGGCTGCGGGGTCATGCACAACGGCACCGAGGTGCTCGTCGACTACTGCCGCAACCTGGACACCTTGCAGGCAGGTGCACCCTTGGCGGTCTCGTTAATGCAGAGCACAACCCAAGCCAAGTTGGGATTTTCGCTGCATAGTCGTTCTGTTCCCAAAGAAGCGACGTCGTCGGCTAAATTTAAAGGGATGCCGGCACGGGTCGTGCGGTTGAATGATGCGTGTCTGGCTACGACGGGTCACGTGATGTCGCAACGTGGTGTCACTGGATTCGCAGTGTGGAGTCGTGGTGCTGTAGGAAGTCACGACGTCGTTGCGATTGAATCTAGTAACGTTGGGTGTCAAGTTGCGCTATCGCATGATGTGATGCAACGTGGCACAGTGTCACATGACCTCTCATGATGTCACACTGCCCAGATGTGCGTATAAATTGTAATGCATTCTGCATATGGGACGTTCATGCAGTAGATCGAAAAAGTGCCTTAATATTTGTATGTTTTCAGCCGCATATAGTACATTTGTGGAAAGAACAGGCAATTAGGAGTAGTGGTTTGCTCATAGGTCCTGTTTTTCGGCACGCTTATTTCTATCCTTTTTCTCGCGAGGCGATGTGCCATATGCTCTCTGCAGATGGGATTTTGGCTCTTTACGAATGTGGCTTGACAAACTAAGCACTTGGTCAGTCAGCTTGCGCGCTTGGCTTTGGCAGCTCGTTAGGCGTTTCCCGGGGTCTTAAGCCTCTCCGGTTGGTCGGCCGCGCAGGTGGGAGACCGGGTGGGGGTGAAGCGGACGTCGGACGGGAGCCTGCACTTCTTCATCAACGGGGCGGACCAGGGGGTGGCCGCCAGGAACGTGCCGGCCAGGGTCTACGGGGTCATCGACCTGTACGGCCAGACGGCCCAGGCCTCCGTCGTGGACCACTCAGGTGGGCCACCCCGGGTCGGTGGCCACACGCCCGAGGCCGCTTGACTGCTTGTGACCGGTGTCTAAAGAGGCTAGGTTTAAAAGAAATTCGAACCACGGAGAGCATCGCTTTAATGGCGGACGTCTCCTTCGCAGATTAGTCGCTAGTGCGCGTGCGTTGTGTCGTCGCGAGATGAGGAGAAAAGCGGAGGTGAGGCGCTCGAGGTCGATGGATGCTTTTGTCACCGGCTCAGCAGCTCATGTTACAAGTGTGGCCTGTAAACTACGTGACCCCGATGGAGCAGTTGAAAGCACTCTGGAAACTAGATACACTAAGGCTTGTGGAGGCTGCTGGTGTATAGATTGTATGGTCCTGTGGGGCAGCAGGTAGCGCCTCCCCTGGCCACTCCTATGTGCACGATACTCGAGTTGAGTAAGCACGTCCAGCGGGAGTGCACCACACGGAGCGCACTGTCTCTCTGCGTCCCTCCTAACGGCAGCCATGCCAACCACGCTAGGAGGCTTAGTATGCAAGCCCAGGACGCTGTGGTAACACGTCGGCTCTCGAGAAGTCCCACTTCCGGTCCCCAATCTAAGTGAGACGGTCGGTAGATTTATTTATATGGTGAAAGGCTACCCGATGACCCCAGTGGGTCTTCTGGTCCGCATATCTTTCCTTAGTGCATCGAGGCTCACGTATTTGGTCTCGAATGCATTTCCTTCGCTTATGGTGAGAGAACAGCTGCATAACCATTTTTATGTTTATTCTTTCTTTCACCACAGGCTCGAAAGAATTCTGACAATGTTATAAGGGACTAATTCTGGTAGATACTAAGTAGATTTTAATTCGCAAATATCGCAAAACCCCTCAAATCTCGCATGAACGCCCTCCCAAGGGAGGCCGCCCATCCCATTTCTTTGGTGAAATATTGATTACTAAAAATTCGAAAGGTAGCCCACCCTCTCGTCGGATGTCGCACAATGTCTGATGAGAGGTTGGGCTACCTTTTGAAATTTTTATGTCGCAGATATTTCACCGGAGAAATGGGACGGGCAATCTCTTGGTGCGGGGAGGGGGGGAGGGGCATTCATGCGAGATGAAGGTTTTTTAAGTAACACCGCACGCACCGAGGGAGATGTTACTATCTGGTATAAAAGTTATATTTGCACCGTGTTACACTTTGCGAGGGCTATATACAGTCTTGAAATTAGAGGCTCCACGCATGTAAAACGTACAAGATGGTCACTTCAAACGTCGGCTGCTCCGACTCTTCCGGGCTTTTAAAGCTTTTTGTAATTGAATTCGGAGGATGAGAGGTCGTCATTCGACAAAGAAGCTCCGTAAAGTTCCTCCAGTTTGCAGTCTGAAACCGCCAGAATGTCTCGGAAGCGGACATTCCAAAATGAAACTGATTGGAAGAAAGGAGACAACTTTTTGATATTTCCATTTGATGCTTGAAAACCTGATAAGCTTGCAGTCACCGTATGTGCCCCCGCTAGATCATTTCAAGAACCCTCTCTTTATACTTATTCCTTTGGAGATGAACCCGACTGCCAGAAAACATCTTTTAGAAAAAAAACTTGACCCTCGGAAGGGCGGCCCTTTCTCCCAAGGTTCGGAAGAGAGCGGCGCCCCTCCGGAGCTGCTCTCTGCGGTGCCCTCCCCGTCCCTGGGTGAGGGAGACCAGGTGGCGGCGGAGGTGCGCTTCAGCGAGCTGCACGGCCGCAATGCACGGGTGCTCAACAATGGCCTGACAGCGGTGCGTCCCAACGCCCACGGGGAGTTCAACTTCGCCATCGTGGTGAGCAGCCAGCCCCTGGCCGACAACGAGCTCTTTGAGGTGGTCGTCGACCAGATGGTGGACCGCTGGTCGGGCTCCATTGAGGCCGGTGAGTCTACGGGAAAGGCATGTCTGGACCCCGGTTGCCCGATGCTTAAAGGGCCGCCGGCAACCCCAAGGTCTATATTTTCCTTTTTACAGTCTCAAACACTTAGAAAATGCATAAACAAAAAAATCATATTAAAAACAAATTGTGAGCCATTCCACTTTCTAAAGGTGGATGACCAGTGAAGCTGTTTAGCAGACGACACAGGCCCGCCCCGACGAGCCGAAGGAAACTAGACACGCAACGGGACCACCTCCCGGCGGAAAGTAAACATGCGCAACTGGACTGCCACCTTGGAAGAGCGGAAGGAAAGGAAACTAGGCACGCAAGCACTTGGAACGACGACAGAGAGAGGGCGATGCGAGCATAGACATGGCCGACGCTGGTTGCACAGCGGCAATTCTTTGAGAAATTTTTCTTATCTACCTGAGAGTCTACTGATCTTGAAAATGGTGCCTATTGATAACTAATCTATTGAATAGACATTGCTCAATTACCCAAGCATCAAGGAGAATGTAGGGAAAGGTGTTCCGCGCGCCGCACGTGCCGGCGTCTGCAGCAGTAACTGTTCTAAAGCAAAAGCCTAAAACAAGTGGCATCTTGCACGCGCGTTCGTGAACGATTTATTTTGGTTATTTAATTTGAATCTTTTATACGGGGAAGGCGTGTGGCACGTGTAGCGCTTCAAGCGTATAGTTTTTAGTCGCTACACATGAGAAATCCATGGAACCCTAGCAATAAACAGCTGTGAAAAGAATTTGGTGCACGAAAGAGCTTGCTAAAGTCTGTGTCCTTCTCCCCCAATTTGAGCTCCTTCTCGCTTTTTTTTTTTTTTTTTTTGGTGACGTAATTGGCGAAGACAGTTTCTAAAACAATTGTAGGTGTTGCAAGTTGCCTGTCTGTAATACCTATTATTGTTATTCATCAAATATGTTTTTTACGACTGCGAACTGCCTGAATGCAAAACCGTGAGCACCGTGGGAGGTGTTACTATCTGTTATTTCTTTGGCCAACTATAAAAGTTATATTTGCTCAGGAAAATAAAAATCAAAGACCGGAAATGTCTGCGAGGAAACATTGTAGGTATCCTAGCCTTTTCCTCTTACCCTCAACGTGGCGGCTGTGCCAAGGGCATTGAGAGGGGTCGCGCACGACGGGGGAGTCGAGAACTCCTCGGACGAGTCGTTTTTCCGGTGCCAGATAACCTCTCGGACCATCTCTCACTCCTTCGTGACATCACCCCTGATGTCGATCACCAAGGTCTGCTACACGTCGTTTTCTTCCTTTGTATAGATTGTTTTAGGCCGACTAACGCCGCTAAAAAAAAGAGGAAAAGTGATGCATCGTCCGCATGCAAAAAAAGGTCTCGCGAAATGCCCTTGCGGGTTGGGTTGCACATGCGCGTGCCCATGAGAGGGAAGGAGAGAAACGACTTTTTTTTTCAAGTAGTCCAAAAAGGCAAGGAGTGAGGTTGGTGATGTGGATTAGTTGGTTCATATTGACGAAAAGGCAAACAGTGCACAGTAAACGGAGACTAAAAGAAGTGCAAACAGGACAAGCGCTGACTCTCAACTGAACTTTAATCACATGAAAACAAAACAAAGAAAACAGCAACCCCGCCCACGTCACATGACACATTCACCACGTGTCCAAAAAAACCATCTCTTTATTACTCAAGCCCAGTGACGTTTGGCTTACGCAGTTTGCGCCTGCTTTGATAATTGCATGCGCCTCTAAAATTTCTCTATTCACTCTGTCCCTTATCTCATTATAATTCATTACTAAATTACAATTCTAAATTAAATTACAAAATTAGAAATTAGAATTCATTACTAAACACGTTTGCTGGTCTTATCACCCACGCTCAAAGAAGGATCTTCCATATGATTCATCGCACTCGTAAGCTGGTCAAAAGAAGCATTGCCTCGTCTTGCTGACAAGCTGCACTCGAGAAGTCATGTCATCATGTGATTAACGATAGTTTTACCCGGCAGGTTGAGAGCCTGACAGTGGCAGGTCGAGAGCCTGACAGTGGCAGGTTTCCCAACTTCGGTTTTATTGAGCGTTGCGGAGGGTTTGTTACAGAAACTCAAGGGGGAACCCCGTCTCCGGAGGGAAAGGCCAAATAAGAGACCGCTCATAATACCGTATCTCCATAAAATTTCACACAACTTGAAAAAAGTTGCCTTGAGGTACGATGTGCCATTGGTGTTTTCCGCTCCGTGTAAGCTGGCGCAGCTACGCGCGAGAGTTGCCGATATGAAGGACAAACGCCCTGCTTGCTCGGTGAAGCATGAAAATCAATATGTTGTTTGCAAGGTGGGAGTTGTGTACACACACGATTCCACTAACGTGTGGAAAAGCCTACGTCGGTCAGACGGGCAGATGTGTTAATCACAGACTGCGGGAGCATGACTTGTCGTTGCTATCAGTGAATGGAGCTGTAGGGGGGCATCTGCCATTGCATTGTCATGGATGGGGGTGCAGACCTATCTTCAGTAAGACTGGTATCATTGGCAATGGAAGGGACAGAGTGTATAGAGAAATTTTAGAGGCGTATGCAATTATCAAAGCGAGCGCGGACTGCGTAAGCCAAACGTCACTGGGCTTGAGTAGTAAAGAGATGGTTTTTTTGGATACATGGTGAATGTATCATGTGACGTGGGCAGAGTTGCTGCTTCTTTGCTTTGTTTTCATGTGATTAAAGTTCAGTTGAGAGTCAGCGCTTGTTCTGTTTGCACTTCCTTTAGTCCCCTAGTTTACTGTGTGCTGTTTGCCTTTTCGTAGGCAAGGAGTGCACCATTTTGCTAACTACCTCATAGATTCGGGCAGGCGTTTCAAATCTAGCTTTCTGAAAATATATTTTTTCTCTGCAAGTACACAGTATTCAAGCCTGACACTTTTAGGGCTATCCCTAGAAATCATCTTCTGTTGTTTGCAGAAAAGAAATATTGATATTGGGGAGTGTTCCTTTAAGGAATGCAGGGCACGTGTGAGCTTCTTAGTATCGTAAAGAGATTGCAGAGTTAGCCGACAAGCGCGCCCAAGAATAAATGGTGCAAGAAGCAAGCCCTGTGTTTGTTCAGTCGTCAAGGGTGGGAGTGCGGTTAATACCTGAAAGGGCCAAAAAAACGAGAACAAACTAGTGGGAGTGAACACACAGAGCACTACCGACAGCTGAACTTTATATAGAAAACACAAACACATATACGATTGTACAACATTCGAAGTCATACTGAATTGCTTATACAGTCACCGGCCGATCATTTGGACTCGGAAGGGACTCCGATATTGTTTAAATAATCAAGCAGTCCGAAAAATTTATTTCAGTCAAAATATAATATTTCCACGCATATTCCGCTGCGTATTGGCACTTTCCACTTGCTGGATGTCAGTTTTAAGTTCTCGTGCAACTTCCGCTTTATATTCGTTCACTTTTCACTTGTTTGTTGATCTGTTTGATCACGGTGCTGTGCTTTGTCGGCGCTCTCGTTGGCACAAACAGCGAAGTTGGAAGTTGGCGCCGTTTGGCACTATGTGGAGACCACGTTTACTCCTCCAAGCTCGCTTCAGTACTAAGCCTGTCGGCAAAAACCCTTTGCACTCAAAGACCACAAGAACGGCAGACAGCCGCTCTTCTCGCGGTCACACTCAAAAAACACTGACCACAAGAAGAACTGGAAGAGCCATAAGAATGGGCAGACGGCGGCCATGTTGGTAATAGTGGAACCGGAATACCCGACTATAGCCACAACCTGCGTAGGACGTGGTAGTCAGGCTACAAGGCAAAATCAAAACAACCGAAATGGCCGCGACTAAGTTCGCAGTACTATCGTGGCGGCATCTCAAAAATTGGTCGGCGACTGTATATGTTTGTGGTTTTCAAATACAATTCAGCTGTCAGTAGTGCTTTGTGCATTCACTCCTATTTCTTTGTCCCGGTTCTTTTTTTTTTGCGCTTTCACGTAGTAATGATTAGTCTTGCGTGAATAGTGAATTTTGACTTTGAAGCGACTAGTGGTCTAGGCTGAATATTTTCAATTGGAATATCGAATAGTTTTTGCACGCCTTTCACTACCACTAAGGTAGCAATTTGGGCCAGTTGGTTCATGATCACCTAAAAAACACGAGGACGAGGAAGTAGACAGAGCTCTCGTGTGTGTCTGCTTCCTCGTCCTTGTGTTTTTTTGGCACTTTTTAGGTGCTCTACTACCATTGCATAATGCTTAGATGAAAACCCAGCTAAACCTTTGAAGGTTGTTACACTTGTTCATTTATAAGCTAAGCTGAATCTATCTATATTTATGAACTGTTACCTCAGAAGTCCGGTGTTTTGGGATGGCAAGTAAACGACGGATTTGACATAAAACGAATCCTATAAAGTTGGCCAACTATACCCAATTGAGTGAATCTACAAATCTTGCTATATAAAATATTCTTTCTTTAATCTCGAGCTAAAAAAGAATGAATCGCGCATGATGAATGCAGGTTTTAAGGGCATCTCTGCCTATTGTAGTGTACTCTTGCATAGCAGTTTAATTTTGAAACTTTTACTAGAATGTAGATATGCAGATTCACAAAGTTTCCATTTATATTTAAATACAGTCGGCAGGGGTGCACCATCCCGCTTTGAATGTATGCTTTTCTTCCAAGCACGCAATTACGATATTCCTACTTCAAGTGTTTATCGCGGTGGGTTACCCCGTTGAGTGCGCTTCTTACCGAGCACCAATGTAATGCAGAGAAGCAACACCCACGGAGCTCGCTTCGCGGGTATTGCTTCTCCGCAGCGCACCGGTGCTTGGCAAGAAGCGCACTCAACGGGGCTAACCCGCCGCAATCAACACTTCGAAAAACGCGAATAGTGCAGTTCCTCTCGAAGAGAATATTCATACCTGCCAACTCCTCCATATTGTTCGTAAAATGTACGAATTAGGACTGATTTTACGATTTTATAAATCTTGCTTCAAATTTTACGAAAAATATTTTTTTTTTATTTTTTTTTATTTATTTTTTTTTTTTTTTTGTAACTCGGTTATTGGCGGTATCTTGCACCGCCACAAGAGGACGATAGGTACCGTCCACAGCAGCATTGTGGTTTTCACTATCCGTCTATCCGGTGGCAACGGATCGAAAACCAATCCAAAGCTCAAAGCCTTTGTTCGCGTGTTCGGCAGTGCACGGGTGCACGTTGGTTCGGCGTGTTCAGACATTGTTGGGCCTCGTTGTTTTGGCCAGTTTCGAGGCGAGAAGTTCGGCGTCTGTGTTTGCTGCACGTGTAACTGTAGCATTCTCCTGGTCACTGTGGCTTCGCGGCGCAATGCATAACTCGAAACCTCAAAAGAGGTACTTTTAGGTGTTCCTGAAGTCCTACACATCGAAATTTCTGTGCTTCGTGCCACCCAAAAAGCAAGAGAAGTTTGGATTCTGTAGCACGTGCACGTGTGATGTAAGCGTTTCGCACGCTGGCCAGGCTGACATTAAGCTGCACATCGCTTCGCGTAACCCCCCTTCCACCCCCCCCCCCCGCCGCGGCCGCGGGACTTCTACAATTTTGAAAGTCCACAGGTTGGCAGGTATGAATATTGAATAGTGTATTATTCTTAACTACTATTTGAAATTTTGAATATTCGCACAACCCTAGTAATGATGTACCAAAAGGCCCATTTTCACATTCTATGGGTGTGGACTGGTCGGTTGGCCGCATCCTCACTTGTGGTCATTCCACGTGACGACATTGCACTCGCGTCGTGCCGTGATCCTGGCGATGGCACAGCTGCAGAGGTGGCCTACTCTGCTGCAAGTCGCTCTTGATAGTTTGCGGAAGCTTCGGCAGGCAGGACTTGGAACGCCGTGACAACAGCGACACTCACGTTTGCCCGTCTGCACTTGATCGACCAAACATCGGAACCGTAACATCCGACAGAACAGCCCGCCGGTTCCTCCGATATGATTTTATGCCAATTCAGGACCATTTGCGATCTATAGGCAAGATAGGAGACTGCTGGTCGATACTGGTGAGGAACGTCAACTCTAGTCTCTGGTATCACAAAGACAGCACAATGGCTGGTTGGAATTGCTGCGGGAGGAAGCTCCTGGAAGCCTCAGGCCACTGACCAACGTTTTGTTGAAAGACCGGAATTTAGGCAGTTGTGGCCGATGGGAACACGCTTCTCAAGCCGTCAAGCTCTTCTTTTGAGGTGCCTCAACTTTCAAAAACTCTGCTCGCACGCATCGTGCGGAGCAAACTACCATGTAAGTATCTAGAAGGCAGCTCCAGTTGCCAAAAAGCCTCGGTTGCATCTTAAAAAATTTATCCTCACCAGAAATTGTTTTCATGTTGCAGTTTGCTGGTCAGTATTTTGTGATTCTTAGTTTGATCCTCGTTTCTTTTCTTTGTCCTCGAAGGTGTTACCGCCATCAGGCCCGAAGATTTGGAGTTCCCAAGCACAATGACTGACATCAGCCACGACACTTGGATGCTCAGGTAAACGGAAAAGATTCGGCAGAGCATCGAAATATCTAATAATGAAGGTTACCATTGTTTGGATGTCTCATGTCGTTAATATTTAATATCTGTCAGATGTGGTAGCCTGACTTTGGATAAATGCTTAACGAGCACGTTGGTAACAGCAGCAACGAGACAAAAGAATAAACACAAATGGACGAGAAAAGCACACAGTCTGTGCTTCCCATTCGTTATATGTTTATTCTTTCGTGTTGTTGCTGACTTTGAAACAACTTGCTTTTGCCTCTCTTCCCCTTTTCTCTGGATTATACCAAACAAACGAACAAGCTCAAAGGTGATTTTTTCCCGTCACTAATTAATCAGAATCGCCTTTAATAGTACCCGTTAATTGGCAAGAGGGAAGAGTGCTGTGGGTTGGCAGTTGCCCGAAACGACTGCCTCGACACACCTGCTGGCTTCCCCAACGCGCCGTTGAGAGAAAGCAGCAACCCATTCATCCGATGAAAATATTGTGTCGTAGAAAGATTTTTTTCTTGTGTAACTTTGACGAGGTTGAGATACAGCTGTAGACTAGGATTTAAGTAAGTTCCAATTAAGCTCCAGTTCACGGAGGATGATGGTACCAGAGACGGGTGAAATCACGAGCTCATGGTCCCAACTCGTGCCGTTGTTGCACAACTTGGAGTTGGTTTGGTGGCATTGACCCCCCCAAATACGCTTGGCTTTTAATGCATGCTCTTTGGTTTTAGTCGGGCATTCTCGTTGACGTGGTTTGAATCCATGGAAGGAAGAGCTGCTTATACATGTCAGCCAAGCCAGGACGTACGAGCACTTGTAGACGGGCGAGTGGAGCGTGCCCCTCGTTGCCCGCAGTGGGTCTGCCATCATGCGCAACGGGAATACGGTGCGCAACGGCTACAAGTGCGACCTGGACCAGCTGGGCGTGGGCAGCCGGGTGGGCATGATGCGGGACTCCGAGGGATGCCTACGCTACTTCGTGAACGGGGAGGACCAGGGTGTCGCCTGCAGGAACCTGCCCCCACGTGAGTCGGCTACAGGCCTGGACACCGCCCTGGTTGCAAGGGCGGTTCTGCAAACGTCCTCGGAACGTCCTGACGTTCTACATGCGTCCTTTGGAGCTTTACAGGGGCGTCTGTGCCACCTGGGACGTTTGGAACCTTCCGAGGATGTCCCGCGAATGTTTGTAGGACGTCTGTGCCATCTGGGACGTCCTCGTAATGTTCCAACCTTTTAAGGATGTCCTATGGACGTTTGTAGGACATCTGTTTCGCCTGGAACAACCGTAGAATGCCCCAATTTTGCATGGATCTCTCGTGGACATTCGTGGGATGTCGGTGCTGCCAGAGATATCTTCGGAGTTTCTCTACCATCCCATAAGTGTCCCATGAACGTTCGAACGACGTCGTGCTTGTCGATGCGGACATTCCCGTTGTTGCTCCCGCCACAGATGTTGCGATCGTAGGCCTTGTGTGCGACCGAGGGAAACGTGAAGCAAGGTCGGAGAGGTACCTTGGGAGACACTGACAAGTGCAGAGACGCGGAACATCCTACGGCTGCTTTGGAATAAAGTGGAGTGCAGCGGCGGTGACTGTGCTCTTGCAGAGCCTCAAGCAGTTCGAAAAGAACTGATGCCTGGATAAAACTATCGGCAAACTCCACTTAATTATTTTTTTACTCTTCAGTAAAGACTACACGAGTTGTTCATAACCGAGGTTTGTTTAATTAAATATACAGTCAGGGTCTTCCGCCGTGTTCCCGTCCGTCTTCGAAACTGCTGTCACTGTTTTTTTGGCTCTCGCATTTATCGAATTACTGCCGATATAAAATTTATTATAACGAATTTTATATCGGCAATAATTCATAACAAGGGCGTATTGAGGTAGATTAGCAGTAGTTATAACGAGGGACCACCATATATATGTCCTATGCCACGATTCATTTTTAACCTAAGAAGGCAGGGAAAATCTATCTTGGAGCTTAGCAAAAGTTGGTGGTTTTATTCGGGAAGTTTTTGAGTCTAAGAAGGTTAGAAAAACTATTCAGGCTCGATCAGGCTGTCGAAGACCAGGGAGCACAGAATACGTCCCACACAAACCATGCTTCGTGTGTCGTTTCGGCTAGATTTATCGTTGTTTTTATTTTGTATTTTTATCAGTGCATTAGCGCCAGGGGGCGTCCGTCTGCAGACAAAAACAGTGTAAAGAAAAGCATAGAGAGGAGGAGAGTAACGAAGGTCAAAGGTGAGAGGGAGGTGAGGTCAGGGGGCCAATGCGCGTGCGGAGGCTGGGGCAAGTCTGAACTTGCAGCAGTGTCAGGGCGAACGAGACAGAGGAAGCAGCGCCTAGCTCGGCCGGCTGAAATGCAGTGCAAAAAGCAACAAGCCGACGTGAATCTGATTCACATCTCCAAAGATTCACATCTTTGGAGTATGCTTTAGCACGAGTTTTGGGAAATGCCAAAAGCCAAAGCCGTTCCCAAAGGGAAACGTGTGGGGCGTTTCCCATAGGTCATGCTAAGGCATTCCCTGAGGCTCCACCAACAGATCCTCCCTTAATTCTTTTTTTTTTTTTTTTATTTCCTAGTATTTTTATTTTATCTTTATTTTATTATTTTATTTTTATTGTATTATTTATTGGCAGCTTGTGGCAAGGGTATCCGACTGCCACCGCATCGACTCAGGTTTAAGGCGTGTTGGAGCTCAAACTTTATTAGAGCATTTGTAACGCTCCCAGCGAGTCACTCGTTCGCGATGCTCGGTATGACGGTCGTTATGACGCTTTTTCGTGACAATTTTCTGATAGGAAAGGCCCCATAAAGCACATTTTGCATTAAAATAGCCCCATTATGCCCGAAAGATGTGCTGCATTTGGTATGCGAAAAGACAAATCGTCCCTTAACAGTTCGGTAGACGTTCCGAGTGTGCAACCACCGTCAGCTTTTGACGCTCTTGTTCTCTGATGCAGGGGTATGGGCGGTGGTGGACCTGTACGGCCAGTGCGCCCAGGTGTCTATCGTGCCCCAGCACCGCATCATGCCGGCGCTGCCGCCACCCGTAAAGTTGGCATCGACTGCCAGCCCGGACGCCGTCCGAGCAAGCGTCACGCCCGCCCACAGCCTCTGTACGTCGTTTGCTGTCTCTTTTAGCACCAAACATGTTTCACAGCTGGCTTCCAAGCCATCACGAAATGTTGTAAACAAAATATGATACTTGCTGCCAGTTTCCTCACGAAATTATTGTATCTCAAGGTACGACGCTACAGACATGAGCATGCGATGTTACGTTATGTGATCGTGTCACATGATTTAGTTGACTATAGAATGTGACGTCACGTGAGACTAGCCGCACAACCATGTCTCGTGACATCGGGTCACGGGACGTTACGATGTGACAGTGTCGGATGTCGCATCGTGACGTCTTATGGTCCTCGAGGGGTCCTCAAACGACCCTTTGAAGTGTTGCAGGTGCTCATGTCACGTGGTGCTATGACGTGACATCGTGACGTGCATTGTGAGTTGAGTGACCTGACTTCACGTAATGTCACTAGGAGATAATGTGACATTGTGACACCATATAAGACCAGTCCTGGTAGCACAATAATGTCACATGACCTGACGTCATGTCATGCGACACCATGACGTCACGTGACTTCACGTCACTTGACACTAGAGGGCTACACGGGTACGGGCCAGCCTGTGGGCTAAAGGCTGGGCTCAGGCTTCACGGTTGTATCGGGAGGGGCCTCATTGAAGCCTACGAGGCAGGCGAACGAAGCCGGCCGTGATTCCTTTTTAGCTCAAATGCTTTGGAAATTTGTGATGGCAGTGGAATGTTGTTCATTCTCCTTGCTGCCAGTGCCGCCGTCATACAGTCGCTTCTCCCCATCAAGCAAGCACACCTTCTGTACGCACGAGTGTGTGCACCCGCGGTAGAGATGAAAAGAAGTCTCTTTTCGTCCCTAATCGCAAGATACGACGGTATTACACCGAAACTGTTATGGGCTAGGGTCTGGGGAAAAATGCATCCTCACGTGTCAACAAAAAACTCCCCATTGGTCTTGGCAAGTATGAATAAATAAAAATAAGAAGAGGGGGCAACCATCTCCATATTGGTTTGTGGCAAGTATGAATAAATAAAAATAAGAAGGGGGCAACCAACGTGAGTTAGCCTTCCTTGGCATTATTAGATAGTGAAGTCCTGATCCCTTTTTATCATCTCTAGGCATCATTCTCGAGGTCGTCCTAGGCGTCGTCCTCGAGGTTGTCCTAGACGCCTTCCTCAAGCTCGTCCTAGAGGTTGTCCTAGACATTGTCCTCTAGGCATCGTCCTCGAGGTCCTCCTAGAGGTCGTCCTAGAGGCCGTCCTAGAAGTCATCCTAGATGTCATCCTCTAGGCATTGTCCTCGAAATCGCCCTAAAAGTCCTTTTTGAGGTCGTCCTCTAGGAATCTTGCTCGAGGTTCACGTGAAGATGGAGGACATGAAGTGGATGGGGTCCACAATTTTTCTTTTGATCACTTATTCCGTTGTACGCAGCGGGACTTTGAAGTTTGTACATCCTTGTCCAGACCCATCGCGACGCTTGTCTGACATGTGGGAGCGCCTGGGTTAATCCGATACGATCCTAGATTATGCTCAGAACTGTTTAATTTTAAAAAGCTGCTCCGAGAAGAGAGAAAAAAAGAAACAAAAGCCATGGTTGTAGAACGGTTGCACAATGTGGGTGGAATGGTGCCGTCACGTGCCTGAGGATGGAGGTGCGACGCGGTTAATTCTCATAGCAGTTGTGGTTGGTGTCGGGAATGCCACTGACGACTGCCACCAGTGATCCGTGAAGCAAGTGGGTAAGCGCAATGGAAGTTTCCAAAACCATCCAAAAATTTACGCATAGCGACTGGATACTGCCAATGCATGATTTCGCATAACGCAAGAAATGTTTGGAAACAAGTCTTTCGAGCAGACGACACAAAGATTTTCCCTTCTATCTCCACGCTGCACGGCCGACGGGAAAGCCCGCCTTCCCTGGTGTCGCGCTAAGAGTGGAGAGGAGGGTTTTTCTGTTGCAGTGATGACACCCCACAAGGTCAAAATTTCTGCAAAGTGTCGCCCGTAAAGCTGTTGCTTTAACCCCTTGCCTCCTAATAATGGGTGTCGCTTGTGCCACCCTTTATGGACCATAAAGCCCAACCACGAGTGTGACTCGTGTTTCGGTTTCGGCGCTGCTTTAGCGTGCTTTCTGGCAGATGGCAAAGCAACCCCTGTTATTCCATTTACCTTGGGTAGTTTGCTGATTTGTTTTGGCTGCGACAGAGAGAGAACGCTCCATTTAGCCCAAAAAGAAAAAGCAGTCGCTTGTGAGCCTTCACTCTAAAACAATGTGACTGGCACAGAGGCCCGCTTTAGCCGCCAACGGAACCTTCTTTTTGAAAGGGATTAATGGTCGGAGTAAAGAATGCCCCTCCCTGAGGGTCAGGTTGTTTTGTCCCGGTCCTTCCTAGAAGTCCTAGGTCAGGGCCGGGCGATTGTGGACTGCCGCGCTGGATGGTCGCTTCGTTGCTTGTTGGTGGTGGCGGAGCCTCGAGGAAAGGCGCTCAAAGTTGAGAGCAACGGTTGATAAAAACAAATCTATTAAAACGACAACGGCAAACTTGGTTACAGGACTCTACTGTCCGCTCACGACAGTAGAAAGGCGAAAAAAAACATGCCTCGGCGCAAAGTGCCCACCGCGCACGGTGAGGCTCAAAGAAACTGCTCGTCGCTCGCGACAAAGCTACGCGGACCGGCGGACCGCAGGAGATAATTTGCTCCGCGCACGGGCTTGTTCAAACTCAACGTTTTCTCGCCAGCGCGGACGAGAAAACTTCTTGCTGACACAGGGCCTGTCCAATCCGGACGATTATACAATTCTATTGCCCCCAGTGCCAGCGGGTCCTCCATCAATCACAGAAGGGCCAGAGAACTCGTTATTTCCCTTTTATAAGAAGAGAAACAATGCTAAACCCCTTGGGGAGCTCTCCAATCGGGGCGATACTTTACTAATTTAGGGGGAAAACACCCCCCACTTCGCCGCGTCAAAACAAATTAACGCCGTGCTTTCGAAGTGAGCGAGTAAAGCATAATGGAGTCCAAGTGGACCCAGACCGGCGCCCCTCATCGCTAAAACCTGATTGTAGCAGTCTCCCGACAGGACAAGCTGTCACTGGGAACGCGCCGTGACGACAAAGCCGGGGAGGGTGCCACTACCTCGCGGCGACAGGCGAGAATGTCTGTCTCCTTCCCGGGCCAAAGATTAAAAAGGGCTCAAGCCACTCATCCCCCTATCCTCAGGGCGAGCCGTCGGGGTGCCCCCATCCGAACGGTTGAAGGTCGATTACCTCAGTTTCCAGGAAACGATCAAATCCTCAAGCGATCCCTACAGTCGGGTATGTGTGACGACAAATCCTTCGACCTTTCCGATTGTTAGGAATCGGACGATAGTTTGATGGGCAGCGACAGGAGTGATGAAAACATAGTAAATCCTGCAAGGATTCCATCAACTTCGGCATCTGCGCATCAGTGCGACTCGGACCAGAAGTTTTGATTTAGAGCAAGATATGATACCTGGAAGTCGAGAAAATGCTTTTGTCTTATTTTAATGCAAATTGTCCATCTATAATAAAAATTTGCTGTACGTTCCTCGAAAAAAAAGAAAGAAAGTCCATCCTTTCTACTTTTGTGAAGAAGGAAGACCAGCGGAGCTGTAGTCAATACACTGCCGCAACACGCATGCGCCCGATTCCCGCTTCTTCTTGTCCGACACGCCGCCGATCGTGGATATGTCTCCGGCAAACCAGAGTCGGTCGCACACGGCGCACGTGTTGCCAAACGGGTTCTCCACGAACTCCCTCCGGAACCTCGCCGTCGCACCCAGGAACTGTTCAGCAGGCGTGGAGTGCAGTCGTCGCCGGGCCTCGCGCTTGCGCTTGGCCTCCGTGGCACGATCGTCGTCCGTGGCGTTGGCCCGCCGGCGCCCTTTACACCGCTGGTTCTGTTCTCGGCAGCGGCTTTCCAGGCGAGCGATGTGCTCTTTGGCAAGGGAATCTGAAGCGCTGGACGCAATGGAAGTCGAGGCGACAGCGGCTTTGCAGTGGTTGCGAACCCTTTCACGCTGTTGCGTACGTCGCCGCTCCTTCTGCAGCCTGTCTCCTTTCCCTGAAAGGGCGCGCTGCCGACCCATCGTGAGTCCCAACCGAAACTGATAAGAGCATAGGAGCGTAGGAAACAGCGCGCAAAACAGACGAGGACGAAGAAACAAACATGACGAGCGCTGCGCTCGTTACGTGTGCTTCTTCTTCGTCGTCGTCGTCTGTTTTTCGTACTGTTTCCTACAATGAATTCCCACCAATGCGCCCAACTATCAATTCTTCTACGATAGCTGGAAAGGTTTTCGCCATCTACGAGCAATGGTGAAAAATATACTGGTTGTGTGCTTGCCGCCGTCGCTTACAGATGGCGGTAGCTGTCCAGGTAGGTTTGTGTCGACATACCGGTCACGATCCTGGGGAACCTAGCCCTTAACAGCTCCGCTGTAAAAAATTACAGGAGGACGCTTAAGCTTCGCCTTTAGTAGTGAAACGCAATGGCTAAATAGAAACCCTGCTAGTTTCCAAGCTGTTCAAGCGTGTCTGCGTGGCCTAGTGCGTAGCATGTCTGGCTGGCAACCAAAGGGTCGTAGGTTCATATCCTGCCCGCCTAAAGTTTTTCATTAAGGCAAATGAATTACTTTATACAGTGAAATCATTTGAGGTACGCGCAAGGTCATGTGGCTGTGACTTCATGGCCCATGGAGAGAGCCTAGGTTTAAAAGAAGAGGCAACTCCAACCATTGAGAGCATTTGGAATTTAATGGCGGACAGCTCTTGGGAGATTGGTGCCTGCATTTGGTTGTCGTGTGGCCAGTGTGGCGAGTATACTGGGCAGATTGGCAGACACGTTTCCAGAAGGTGAACGCTTTTGCCTCCTCGCAGGCGGCAGCTCGTTTCGCAAACACAAGCTACATGACCCCGATAAACGAAACACAACGATAGCGAGTTTCAGCACCGCCGGCACTTAAACGGAGAAGACGAATCGCCTTGAAACAAAAGTGCACCGCCATCAACCGGCATCCTCTACGGCGGCCATTCGCAGCTTTCGACACGGTCCGTACGTAGCTCGCAGGACCTTCCTTTGATCGGAGCTTCTCGCCGTTGGCGAGAAGCGACTCTGATCTAGCAGAGAGCCCGTGCGGGGAAGTATTGACCACTTTCTGCAGGCACGGTAAATGTGCCCGACACGGCCCGTGTCTTTTTTGTTTTCCGTGTTACTTTTATGAAGTTCAGATAAAACAAAGTCGGTTATAGCGAAGTGATTTCTGATTCTCATCGACTTTGTTATAACCAAGCTCGACTGTATTTGTACCACAAGCAACCAAGAAATTTATCTTTTTTTTTTCCCAAACGTGTGTTGCGTGGCGCAAACCCAGCGAGCAAATGGACCCTGGTGGCACTGAGTTATTAAAAGGGGTTTAGTGAGCGGGGAAAGGCTTGTTTTCTAGCATCTGAAAGTGTCAAATTCAAACCTCTTTTTAACAAACATTGTGCATCAAAATTCCCGAGATTCTTTTTTTTCTGCAAGTTGGGTGCATTTGTTAACCCTCTTGCTGTTGTCGTTCCAGCGGTGAACCACCAGTTCAATGGATGCTGTGGCAAGAATGTGGTTCTGAGGAACGGCAACAAGGTTGCCTGCCGCACGGTGGGCTTCAACAATGCCCTGGTGTTCAGCGCGGCCCCTCTGGAGCTGGAAGAACTCTTTGAGGTTTGTTTGCTCACATTCTCTCCTTCGTTTATTAACCCTTTGAGTGCCAGGTTTCTTTCCCACATGTTGAAGGCACTTTTGGTTTCATGCTGAAAAAGTGTAGCGTTCTTTAGGACAGTGGTTCTCAACCACTGATGTTTCGAGACCCCTCGTAGATCGGCGGAAGTGAAGGGGGACCCCTTCCACTGGGGAGGGGAGGGGGAGGATTACAATGGCGAATGGCTAAATGCATGCAAACCAACTCTCAAGCTCTGAGATAAAGTCCCGACTGATTCGGCTCACATGGTTTGGTCTAGATAAAGCAGCCAGCTTCAATAAATCTATTGCTCAGCTCGACTAAGGGTTGAGGGGAACCTGAGAAGGCCTTCAGGGACTTCAAAGAGTCAGCAGATCCCCATTTGGGAACCTCTGCTTTACGAGATATAGTTATTTATCCGAGACATACTCATGTAGGTGCTCAAAGTTAATTGACGTGTCTGCATTCCTACAATCTACAATATTTTTCTCGAATTGTACTTTTTGAGACACGGTACTATTACAAGTGGCATCTAAACTTCGTACACGGGGGTCGCTCTATTCCAGTGGCCTTGACCTGCATTATTGTTTTCTGAAACTGGGACTTTGCTATTTAGTTTATTACTAAATTAGTTATTTTTTACTAATTTTGAGATCTCTCCACTCGTCTGAAGCGCAAGCTGGAGTGACGTAGATTCACCTATCTGGAACAATTATTTATTTATTTATTCATTACGTACCACAGGCCTCGATTAGGCCCTTGCAGGTGTGGGGCACAGATTCAAAAGATGTAAATAATAGAAAAAGCAAGGCACATTTCAGCCATCGTTTTACGTAACTAACAGTAAGGGGAATTGCAGTGACTGTCAGAATAAACAATCGACGCCCCAATACAAAAATGTGACAGAAAACATAACGGCACAAATTAAAAAAGGCGATTATCGGATGCTTTTTTAAAATTGGGGGAGATAAAGATAGCGTAGGGTAGCGTGTTTCAATGAGATATAATGCGTGGAAAAGATGAAAACTTGAAAATGTTAGTTTGAGCAAATATTGGCTGAACCCGGGGTGATTCCTAGTTTACCCCGAAAGATAATCGAGTCAATGTGGAGCTTAAATGAAATACAGCAATGGAAGTCCATTTGTGCCAAATTGTGCCTTGAACATGCTCCATTTGGCTCAAAATTGGGCAAACCCAATGGTCTTGGGTGCAGGTACAGGTGGAGCAGGTGAGCAACGTGTGGGCGGGCACGCTGGTGCTGGGGCTGACCACGCTGGCCCCCGAGGCGGGGCTCCCCCTGCCCTCGAGCGCCCTGTGCATGCCCGGCCACCACTCCTGGCTCCTGGTGGGCTCCAGGGTCTTCCTGGACGGCACCCTGCTCAGGGACAACTACGGGCCTTCCCTGCATCGGCTGGCGGTGAGCACACCCCCGCAAAGAAACTCTCAGAATGCCTGGAAGCTATATTTTATCGGAAGGTATTAAACATACAACGTCAGGGGTTGTGGTGTCCCTGAGACAACGTCGCATGAAATGGCGTGTGTGTGGACGCACAAACTTCTGGGAGGGCAGGCCTTTGTCGTAAGGTGCTTCAGGCTCGAAAACTTGGATTGGCCTTGAATTTCAATTTTTGCATCGATTGGATCGATTAAAGTGGAAGAAACGGGGAAAGAAAGACAGAAGACTATGTTGCGACATTGTCTTCTTTCGATTGAATTATTGCGATGGTTGTAGCGACGGTAACTAACTTCTCTTTAAACCAGCTGGGTTATCTTATTTACTCGCATAATCAACACACTTTTTTTTCCCGAAAAATTTACACATATTTGGTTCATTACATGGGGTAAAATTTTTGCATTTACACACTTCGTGCAGATGTCATATTAGGTACCAATATGACACGGCAAGGTACTGTGGCACGTCTCCAGTGATGGAGGCACATCCACGGCTGGTTGGGGGCTCGCCACCATAATCATGCTTTATAAATTGCAAACCTTTCTAGGGCGCTTTCGGGGTGCCTTTTGCTAAAAGAAATGCGCACTAGGAAGCTCACTCAGCACAAAAAGCAACACAACTGTTCTTAGGCGATATATATTGCTAGTATCGAGCGGGCACGCTCAGATATAATCCGCAACTATGCATATAAGAACTCGTATGAAGTCCGATTCCCGACCGCATGCTCGGGTATAATCCGCGACTATGCGTAAAAGAACTCGTACGAAGTGCGACTGCTGAAACCCGCTCGCACAGATCAAAGTTCGTTCACGGAGAGGCTACCATACACTCTCAGCCTACAGCGCAACGCGTACCTCTCGCTGTGCCGTTCTGCTGCGGATTAAATGAATGCATTTACCCGGAGTATGTGAAATTAGGCCTAATTACTTTCAGGATTTCACTGTCCGAAAGCGGACCACAGACGACGGCTTGTTTGTTGACATTGATGCATCCAATAGGCGAAGAATATCCGGGGCTCGGCAATTCCTCGACCCAAGCTTCGTCAAGTGTGCGCGACACTCGGTTTCACGGTTGATCACTTCCGTAACTACGGCTCAAAAGCGCGGAAGGGCTCGTTGGCTAACCAAGGTCCCTCCGGTTGCGAATTCGATGCAGAACTAACCACACCAACGACAGCAAGTCGGAAACGTTGTGACGAGGCAGCGAGTGCGCTCCCACATACGGTTCTTTTCCCGAGGCGGGAGAGAACAAGCCCTCGCTTTAGAGGAAACGGTTAGACGCAAAATAGCAGGATCAAAGCTGGGTCGTGCAACCGCAAAAGTGACTCTCGTTCCACTCCCGCTGGAGCACTAACTTTGGCAGGGCTTTCTTTCAGAGCCACCATGCACGACGACATTCACGCCGGGGGGGCACAAATTGCATACCGAGTTTATCGCATCACCACAAAGCAACACATCTTGTGGTACCGCCGCCCTCACCACGATGGTACAATAAAGACACAAATTTTTAAGGGCAGTGTTGTGTGCACTGAGTGCGAGTTGCTTTGGCTCGTCTCGCAGGCAGGGGAAAGGATTGGAGTTCAGCACTGCTTCGATGGGACGCTGCACATTCACCTGAACGGAGAGGACCTCGGGCCAGCCGCTTCCAACCTCCCTAAGGTGGGCCTCTCAACCTCAAAATAGACCCTTTTCAATATTCAGTGCCATCCGATGGCTAAGAAAGCAGCTTCGCATGACCTCTCTCGTGGGGAGATATGGTTAACTTTCCACCACGGTTAAAGTTAACCAGCTTCAAGCAAACGGGCCCTGGTGACTCGAAAAGCTGCTTCACTTTCAACAAACTAATGTCAGTCGTGAAACTGTTTTTCATGAGGCGTCAATGGCAGATGAGAATTGGTTCCTCGATCACCTCGCAATTTTTTCTCCATTTGTTAGTTTCAATGGTTGAACGTAAGAAATGACCAGTACAAAGTGGCAACCAATAAGCCCCTCGATTAAATTTCTGTCATCTAAAGGCTTTAGAGCCAAACAGGTGCCGAGAGATTGATTGGACCAGACTCCGAAATGAGCGCTCACGCAGGCGTCGTGTCTAATTCGTGAGTCATGTTTTACTGACGTCTCTAACACACAGGCCTTGTCTATCCTCCGTTTGGTAGCACCTTCAAGTTCTTCCTTCATCAGCATCAAGAAGGCCGCCATTAGTTTGGCACAAAGGCCTGAGATGATGATAGTGATCAAAGTGGCCAGACTGCATTTTGAAAAGGGTCTCTTGTGCATGCATGCTCTTAGAGCAAGGGCTGCTCGAGGCTGCATTATTCCAGAAGTGTGGGCCCATGTTGGAAAGCATACTAAGTATAGACTTGGACGAGAAGGGACCTGTTTATGTTTTCCGGCGTGTGCTGAGTGTGCCAAAACTCCAAGAAGAACCTTTTTCGGATATATGGCTCAGTATCAATCACGCATGCGTTCTGGAAGTTGATCGGATGGTCGTGAACATCACTGTGATCCGCGACGGTGCTGCGCTCGTGATTGAGCTTGCACACATCGTTCTTCTGTTGTGTGATGCTTCACGGAAAGTTTTTCGTCTTGCCGATGTAAGTCCATCGTTGATGATCTCACGAAAAATGTTAGGGGTGTCGCGAACCGGCCGAGGTTCGAGTTCGACCAAGTTAGGCTTTTTCGAACCTTTTGTAGAAATTTCGACGAACCTTGTATTGAGGTTTGACTCGTGAGCACATGCGCGACAGGCTGGCCAGTTGGCTTCGGATTGGATGGTAATGGCTAAGGGATAAATTAAGGGCACCGCTGATTGGTTATTTCAGTTAATACAGTACAAAAAAAAAATAAGTTATTAACGTCTTCAGTGATTAGAATTGGTTTCTTTTAATTGCAACTGTTCATAAAATAAAATAACCCTTTGCATAAAAATAAATTTTCCAAACCTAGACATGCGTGTATCAAGGTCTGGCCACACTGTCCGCAAAGTCGAACCAGTCGAATCTGATGAAAAGTTTCGAAGGTTCGTCAAACCGGTTCGACCCAGTCGAACCCCGAAAGTTCGACCTAAAAATCTGGTTCGACAAAAGTTTGCGACACCCCTAAAAAATGTAGAGCCCTTCCACTTCAGGTGAAGATGGAGGACCAGCGAAGCTGTTATCTTTACGACGTCTAGGACGACCTCAAGGACGATGCCTACAGGGCGACGTCTAGGACAACTTCTAGGATGACATCGAGGATGACGCCTAGAAGACAACGCCTAGGACGATGCCTAGAGAAATTCAACCTTTCCACTCTGGTGAAAACCAGAGTGCAAAGGTTGCCGCCATCGCTCATAAATGGCAGTAGCTGTCCAGAGTTTTGTGTTGACATTTGTTTGCCCGTGGACACGATACTGGGGAAACTAGCCCTTAGCAGCTCTGCTATAAAAATGGCTACAGCAACAGTTTTGTTGAGTGCATCACCCATTGCAAAAGTCGCAGGTGCCAGAACAAAAAGCCATCACAACACACTCAGCCTCGGCCCATCGCGCACATCAGCACCCTCCCCCTGCGTAAGGGGGACCAGCGAAGCACTAGCACGTGTGCTGAAAAAAGAAGGACTCCAAGTGGCCCACAAGCCTGTGTCCACACTGGGACCCTTCATGCTGCAACCCAAAGATCGCCTTCCAAGAGAGAGAGCACAGGGCGCGGCCTACAAGATCCCACATCGGCAAGACGAAAAACTTTCCGCAACGCATCACGCAACACAAGAACGACATGCGCAAGCTCAATCATGAGTGCAGCGCTGTCGTGGAACACTGCGATGTCCACGACCATCCGATTGACTTCAAGAACGTGCGCATGATTGAAAGTGAGCCATATATCCGGAAAAGGCTCTTCTTAAAGCCTTGGCACATTCAGCACACACCAGGAAAAATAAACAGGTCCCTGGGTTCTTTGCCATCGGCGTATGTCCATGGATTGTTTCACCTAACGACGGCAATGAGCAAGAAACCGTCTGTACAGAAAAGGAAGAAATTTTGAGTTATAATCAACTGAGGGGAAGATGAAAGCTGCTGCTGCTTTATGCGGTTTAGTCACCCCTGATGAAGAAATCGAGCAGGTTTTGGGACGTTGGGCTGTACCTTTTTCGGGAATTTGGTTGGAGTACCTCCTTTTTGAATTTAAATACTAAGTATCTCATGGTTCACCAAAACAGAGCATGCTAATAACACAGACAGTCTGTGCCTCTTGTCATGTGCTTAAAATAGTCGAAAGGTCCGCAGTTTTGTAGCTACCTTAGTAGGATTTCCAAGAAAAGGGTGTTTCTTTAGGATCTATTTTTACTGTGGCAGCTGTTAGTGCCCTTTTCCGGCAAAAAATGATCACGTACGAACACAAAAGTACAGCAGAGACACTGCTCTCCCTCTCCCCATGGGTCCTCACACACCGCCCTTCACCCCTGTAGGCCGCTGCTGTTCTTGATCAGGTTCCGTTCTCGTGTGCTCTCTGCGCCTCTGCGGAACAGTTTGCGTACATTTGCTTCTTCCACCGCAGGATCGGTCACGGGTGGCCGCTTCCTGAAGGAGTGTATCAGCCGAAAAAAAAGCATGTCTTTGTGTCCTTCTCCAACTCATGCAACATCTGGCACAATCGTTCCACCAAAGCACACATCTCCTCACACACGTCGCCTATACAATTCCCCTGAAAGCAGGGAACCCGTTGCAAACATTGTACAGCACACTGGCTGGAGGGGAACTTCCTTCAGCATGCCTCCCCACAATGCAGCAGCTACCCTTGTCAATCGCGACACACTTTGCGTGGTTGTTGGCAATTTTTGTCAAAGATTGACATTCTTAGCTGCTGGTGTCCTTTATTCGACTCGAACCCAAATTGTGTGAAATTTATGATTGTCGTCATTTTACGGGACCTTGGATCATTTTCAAGCTGGTGAACTTGTACATTTCCGCTCGAGCGATATATTTCACAGCCCAGAGTTGCACACGCAGTTTAACTGCCAAACATTTTATTTTAGTATAGTAACACACTATTCGGTATAGGTAATAGTATATCTGTAGGGTTGTTCCTACGTCAGATCATACAATAATGTTTCCATGTCAGATCATGCAATGATGGTCCGGGTCAGATTAGTAGTTTTATTTATGTAAAAAGTATATGTGAAAGCCATATTTGGGTAGGAGCATCCAACTATATGTGAATGTTGTAGCAAATTTTTTTCTGGAGATATAAAATTTCGAAACTCATGACGTTGAGATTGTCAAGGTTTCACCATGGTACTTTGCACAGCCACCTGTTTTACACCGAAGCGTGAACGGAATAATCGGTCAATACTTCAGCTTGGGCGAGTAGGTTAATCATGCTAGTACTTCAGAGCACACAACAGACCATCAAAACAGATCCACTTTTACGCACTTGTTAGTGCGTAAGAGTAAAAGATAACGAAGATGATGTTTAATATATCCGAGAGTTGACAGTCAGCGCTGCGTGAGTGTTGTTTCTTTGTGTGGATCTGTTTTGATGGTGTGTTGTCTGTTGTGCGCTGTGAAGTACTAGAACGGAATAATTTTTTCTGTTTATTTTATGAAAGGTTTACAATGTGTTCATGGACTTGGACATTACAGTAAAATATTTCTATGCAAAAAGAGCTGCGAGACATGTCAAGTAATCATGTTTTAGAGACACATTCACATATTATTTACCAACAAACTATTTGTTATAAAGTGGCACAAAATATATCGAAATGTGCATCTTTATGTGAATTTTATGAATATATAAAAAAGATATTCTTAGCCCTTCTTTCAAACTCTCCTTAACCATTTGCAGCGTCTTGAACTAAGTTGTGATGGCAAACCACTGAGTAACATATAACCTCCCCAAGAGAAAAAGGATAACAAACCTTCTCTCAAATTGAGCTAGCTTGTCTTGGTCATAGGGGCCTTGCCGCACAATATCGGCTACAAAAAGGCATTTTCTAGAACCGAGAAAAGCTATCATAGGGTGTAGGAAGTTTTGGGTTCTTTAGCGTAGCTTTGTGTTTGCCTCCAAAGTCACCCGGGAGAGGGGGTGGGCCAGCTGCCGACGGTTGCTCACAAAGAGCTGTCGGGAGTGCCACTGCTGCCGCCAGTTGAAAACCGTATGCACAGTCCATTTCTGTGAAACTCAAAACCCTCGCACAAGGCTAGGGAAGTAGTGTCTGGAAAGTCGGTATATTGGTGTTCAACATTGTGTGATGGCAAACAAACCAGCCTGCCGTTTTTATATATTGATGTGCACCATTCACTGGGATACAGATAGAAGTTGATAACCACAAATGTTTAGTTGTTTTGTGTCAGTTCATGCAATGATAGTCTGGGTTTCGCATATTTTTATAAAATATGTACTACTATATGAAAATCATGTCCTTGGGAGAAGCACTCAGCTATATGGTATATATAGGGTGTTTCACGAAATGCGGACCAAATTGTTCTCGTGAAAAGTATGCATCGCACAGAGACAAGGTTGATGTAATTTTGATTACTGCCAAAGGGCAGATTTGGGAACAGAGAACAGTGTTTGATATAATTAAGTTAATAATTACTCATAGTAATCAACTTTATAATGAATAAATTTAAATGTATCAGTCAAATTAGAATCATATTGGGCATCATCAAAAACTATGAAATCCACCTACATTATAAAGATATAAGGCATGCGCAACATTTTACGGCGCCCCAATAAACTTTCTGCACCCTGCAATAGAGCAGCACGTCTGTACAGCCTTTGTCTTTCCTAGAAAATGTCTCTTTAGTGTTGACGTCGTGCGGCAGAACTTCTCTAACGAAGTCGAGCTAGCTCAATTTGAGTCATGATTTACAACAACCGTGAGACGGGAAAACAAAGACAAACACGACGAAATCTCAAATTTTAGATTTCGTAGTGTTTGTGCTTTTTGTTTTCCCCGGTCTCAGGGTTGACTTAAATCATGAATGTAAACCAGCTCGCCTGCACCCTATCACTCATTTCATCAATTTGAGTGAAAATTTATGATCGTTTATTTTGGGGTGAGGTCAAATGTTACTCAATATTTTGCCATTACATGTTTGTTCAAGTCACTGCAAATGGGGGAGTTAAAAAAAAAAAAAAGATGGAGTTTTTAAACTATCGACGTGCAATTTTGCCATATTTAGAGAAATCAGCTGCTTGTCTGCATTGATAACAGAACAGCAATAATGGCTAAGCATATTTTTTTTTTATATATTCATAAAATGCATCTAAAGGTGCTTATTTTAATACCTTTTGCGTCATTTTATACAAAGTAGTTTGTTGGTAAATAATTTGTAAATGTGTCTCTAAAACATGTTTAGTTGACATGTTCCGTAACTTTATTTGCATAGAAATATTTTATTTAAATTTTTAATACTGTGCATAGCACATGTTGTAAGCATTTTATACAATAAATACCGGGTGAAACAAGGAGACGGTAGGCTCTTTAAATCGACCGGAAAATTCGGTTTCTTAACCTATCGCGCTACGACTTTGTGCAGCGTTGCCCACAGATGGTGCATTTTTTTTGTAAAATTTGCAAAGAGCGGACTTACCTGAGGAAAAAATAAAGAAAGAAAAAGGCTTAGCTCCTATGGAAACGCAGCGACGCCACCGGTCTGCAATCAACACGGCGCCGTTTTGCACGGTAGACAAGAGATGGCGCAACGAACGCCGCCAACGAATGAGCATACGGCGCCGAGAGCCAGCGTTTTTAGCAGACGATCTTTTCGAATTAAAAGCGGCGCGCGTTACGCAAACGGCGACAGTTGCAGAAACAAAAACAGGCGCGGTAACAAAAAGCAACTGGAGTTCCTTGTCTGCTAAAAACGCCGGTTCTCGGCGTCGTCTGCTCGCTCGTTGGCAGCAGTTGGCGTCGCGACCGCTTGCGCCATCTCTTGTCTACTGTGCGAAACGGCGCCGTGTTGATTGCAGACCGGTGGCGTCGCTGCGTTTCCATAGGAGCTAAGCCTTTTTCTTTCTTTACTTTTTCCTCAGGTAAGTTCGCTCTTTGCAAATTTTACGAAAAAAATGCACCATCTGTGGGCAACGCTGCACAAAGTCGTAGCGCGATAGGTTAAGAAACCGAATTTTCCGGTCGATTTAAAGAGCCTACCGTCTCCTTGTTTCACCCGGTAGAATAAATATAACTATGTGCATGCTTCAGTGTGAAATTGATGGCTGTGCCAAGTACCATTGTGAAACCTTGGCAATCTCTATGCCTCAAGCTTCAAAATTTTATGTCTCCAGAAAAAAAGTAGCTACAACGTTCACATATAGCTGAATGCTGCTTCCAAGAACATGGCTTTCACATATAGCTCTTGCATAAATATAAAAAGATATTACCTGGACCATCAGTGTATGATGTGACGTGGAAACAGCCTGTAGTACACAGCCACTCCGATGCATATTTAGTGACTGGCCCAAATGAACCCACCACCAAGTAAGTGATTTTGGGCAGCAAGATGCTCCTTGGCAATACTAGCAGTTGTGAGAGTGGAAAGGGAGTTCCAGTGTGGGCCTGAATGTGTTCAGACGCTGTATGCTGTCTTGGACCTGTATGGCATGCTGGAGTCGGTGTCCCTGTGCAGCAGCAGCATTGTTCCCGCCACTCACTCGGCCGCCACCAACTACTACGATGCCACAGAGGTGAGCACTTCTCCAATCGTTTCCGACCACCCAGTCGGATAAACAACAACATGCAACAGTTTGAGGTACATTGGATATCAAACAGGATAGCTGGGCGAGTTGGTATGTATTCATAATGGAACAGCGCAAATATTACAGGGACAGAGGAAGGAACTGGACAGGACAGCGCTCGTCCTGTCCAGTTCAGTGATGTGATTGCTGCGCCAATTGCGCCAAACTGCGCCAAGGGGCTAACCCTGCTACATCCTGCTACATTTTGCCAAAATATTAGTTATCTGCGCCAAGACTGCGCCAAAGGACCAATTTTGGTCGCCTTTCAAAACCGAAATTAAACTGAGTACTGTAAATGAGCACGCATGAGCTATGTGGCGCAAGCGGCCGCCCGACACAAAGTACCCTGCATCAATCGTTCATCCGGTCTTGCGTGGTTATTCCCGCCGTCTCTCGTTTGGCGCTCTCGTTGTCTCGCGTCTTTTTTGAAAAAATTCAGCGATAGACGTGTTCGTGTGCAGACGCCCCGAGGCTAGCGTGCCGGGTACCAGCCATGCCGTCATACTTTGAAACGAAATTATGTTTTTGTGCGGCGGGAGTTGCTTTGTGAGCTGAAGCACTCGCTGCTGAAGCAACAGCCGTGGGAAAACTATATTTGGTCCCTGCCTGCCAGTCACCGTGGTCGCGCGACGTCGGGTGTTGCCGTCCGCACGTGGCTGCATATATGGAGCTTTTTTAAAATAAAACTAAGTACCGCCACAAGTTCATCAACATTCCTGTTCTTGTTTAAATCACGCGTTACTACAAAAATCTACCTTTAAAGACTGATGTGTCGAAGTATTGATTGCCTAGGTTTCTCTCGGTGAGCCTTCTTTCGGGATGGACCGTAGTACGTGAAAAATCTGCCGCGAAAGAAATTTGGTGAAGAGAAGTGAGCTAAAGCAAAGCAGGCAATGTCTGCACTCTGAACCCGCACAGCGCACTTGTTTGCCTTGAGTTCAGAAGAACGTTCTGATCCTGGCTCGCGATGTCTTGCATCAATGTGCTCAGGTCCTTTTTATTTTCTTTTTCTCTGTGTTGAGCTTGTATTTCACCTGATGGCCTGGCAAGCGCTGAACTGTTTTTTGTCGTATGCTGGACAATTACATTTTGCAAACAATTTTGGGAACCAGTTGGCGACGGAGCAGAGTGGCATGGTTTCGATCGAACAGCCCTCTCCGCTCGCGCGACAGTTTTGCATTGCATTGCAGTAGGTACGGGTTTAATCAGTTGGAGACTTCTTCCATTTATTATATAACTAGTCTACCTAATACTGTGCTATTTACTACTAAGCTGGTCGTTTTGAAATAAATTTTAATATGTGCAGTTTGGTTCTTATTTAACTATAGTGCGTACATATATATGTATAATTTAACTGAAGCATTGCAAAATGTGTCATGTCAAAGGCATTTCAGTTACATGTTGAAAGACTCCCAGGGGGTCTAACTTGACTATAATTTGTTGATTGCGGCGAGCAAAGTGTTTTTCGTCTGTCCAGCACTTAAGGCGATCATTTTTATTTTTTCTAAGAATGTCTGCTCCAAAAGCCACTTTTGCTGCTCCAAAACACTGTTTTGGCTGCTCCAAACGCCACTTTTGCTGCTCCAAAACACTGTTTTGGCTGCTCCGAAAGGTGCTCCAAAACGGCTTAGGCCAATCACATCACTGCCAGTTCCTTCCTCTGTCCCTGTAAAATTCGCGCTGTTTCATTATGAATACATTGGATATCTTCCAAGTCTGGAACATATTCTTTATGGAATATTGACTCATTGCCATCGTGTTCCCTGATTCTTTCTCGTTGGGTACGCAGTGAAACAGTTAAGAGGCATCCAAATGGGCCCATATTAAAACGCGGGTTTAGTAACCTCATCTGAGAAACATCGCTAGATGCATCGGAACTAACTCGACTAATGTACTGGAAGATGCGGGCGTGTGCAGCTTAGGAGGATTGCCAGTTACACCGGCGGTTCCTAAATAGGGATCTGCAGACCCTTTGGGGTCCTCCAAGGCCGTCTAGGGGTCCCCCAAGCCCTCGCCTGCCAGTGACGCCGAGCAACAAAAGTTGTTGTTTTATCGATCCCGACTGTCCCCGCAAAGCTAGACAGATGAAACTACGCACACCAAGTAAAGTAGGGTTTCAAGGTTGGTTCGCCCACGTTTAGTTTTCTTACCATTTTGTCATTGTAATTGTCCCCCGGCGGATGGGGTTCCCGTCCTTTCTGCCAATCCACAAGATGTCCCCGAAACACGACCGAGTTACACGTTGTGCAGAATAAGAGCGCTCAATGCTAAGAGATGACTGTGGGTCCTAAACGCTTAAAAATGCCCCGTATCAGAAGGTAAAACATCCTCAGCGTGTGCCGGCATCCTTTAGAGTGGTCCCTAAATTTCCAAGCAATACCGTCGCACTCGCATCACGCTGTCCATCTTGATCCCGGCGTCATGTGGTAAATCGCTCCCCACCTCAACAGTCCACAGTAGCTTTGGCAGTCGGGACGCCGCCGACACTCGTGCTCGTCATTCTTGCCACAACTCGCCCGACCGACTGCCACGAGCGCAACACTGGGGTATTTGCGACGTCGCTTGATGCCACCCGGGGGCCAATGCCCAGCAAAGCCAGTCCAAGCCCCGGGCACCGAGATTCCCGCTTGTGTGGCTGTGCGCAGCTGAGCCAGTGCAGTCCCAGGAAGGAGCGGGTGAGCCTGGAGCTGCATGAGAACCATGGGCGCAACGTGCGGCTGCGGGGAGGAAACCTGGTGGCCTGCCGGGTGGCGGGCTACGGCCACGGCCTGCTGGTGTCCAGCAAGCCCCTGCCCAGGGGACAACTCTTTCGGGTGAGGAAGCACCGCCGCGACGAGAGCCGTTCTCATCGATGCGAGAAGCCTGGTTTGCTTGTATTCCAACAAGTGTATCGGTGAATCGAGGATCCGGATGAAGAAAATCGCCGCTCTTTTATCCGAATACTGGCAATTCCGGCGACCCATAGGGGTTGCCACACTATCGACAGATATGGCGGTCAAAAATGGGTCGTGCCTAGCCGTATGCCAGCTCGTCGCGCAGCGCCCTGGTTAAGCGGGCGAGCATTAGCTTCAGAATGGATCGCATCAGTTTTTATCCACTACGTTCAGTACCTGCGGTAGTGTGTTGGTGTAAGCGAGCATCCAGAGGATTCTTTGGGGAAGCGGTGGAAGGACTACTTACTGTCCTTCTACCGCACCAACGAATGTTCACAAACGTGCAATGCCTGGTCCGCACGATTGCGTAGGTTGCATTAGGAGCGACCTAGGCAATATGCTGCTACAGTCTATGCTCGTTATAACAGAGCTTGGTTTTGACCAAGCTTTTGGTCTGTTGTATGTTGTACGCAGATATGAAGTTGAGTCAATGGTGCATAGAGGAAAACCAACCGAACTTCACAAATCGGTATGTTATATCCAAATGTCTGTTGTAACCAGGTCTGTTAAAATAAGCTTAGACTGTACGACATTAATGACACAGTCACCGGGAAAACTGTTCTGCACAACACGAAAGCCGATGCAAAGCATATCTAATTGGTTAGGCCATTACGATTCGTGGCTTTCTCCACGGCCCTGTCATTGCTGTAAACATAAACAATGTAACCTCCAACGCTTTACTTCGGCGACCGTCACACCAACCGCCTACAACTTGCAATCACGGAAGTCACAAGAGACGAGGAGATATTGCAAAAGGACCTGTTCTGGCCGGTTCAGTCGTACTTACATAGTATTTGTACGGTTGATAAGCCCGCGCGTACCATAAAATACCGGGGGAGCGCCCACTCCCTTTTTACTGAAAACTGGGTAAATCTAGATATGGGCGCTTGTCCAGTCAAATCGGGCGGTTAACGTATAATTTGCAGAATTGGCAAGTTTGGGAAATGTTATTAATGGGCGCTTGAACAAAGTGGGCTCTTCTGCACTATTTTACGGTATGCATTACGATTGCTATGCATGCGGAAGCGGGATCCAGTTTCAATAATCTCGCCAATTAATCGAGCGGGAAATACTATAACCCTTATTTATGGCAAGTTTGTGCGGCTAAGGTCCTTATTTATAGAAAAGAAAATATGCGTAGGTCGCACCAATAAATAAAATGCATGGACAAATTAATTTAAATAAATAAGTTGTGACTGCTTTCCACTGGAAAATATGGTAATCTGTTTTACTTAAAGTGCAGCAATGGGGCCAAGGCTGTAGGCATGGCAAGTTTTCTCACTTGCACAGCCACGGTACAGTCTAAGCTCGTTACAACAGACCTGGTTACAACAGACATTTGGATATAACATACCGACTTGTGAAGTTCGGTTGATTTTCCTCTATGTATTACTGACTCAACTTTATATCTACATACAACATACTCCTTTTACAACAGACCAAAGTCTTCGGTCGAAATTTAGGTCTGTTATAACGAGCTCAGACCGTATATTCCAGAGCAATTGGCTCATGCTATAACCTTGTTTGACAATGTGATGTGTACGAAGCTATGACCTCGTGCTAGGGTCTTTATTTTTTTATCGATAATTGATTATACATCGTCGTATATAGTTGCATGCTTCTTACATCTTTTTTCTCACATTGCCGTCATTGAAGTAACCACCGAGGCAACTGAATACTGTTACATGGTCAGTAGGGCCAGCCTGGTGATTGCATGTGACCACTGATTCGGGATGGTGCAATACTTGAGTTATTCCCGCTTACCACGATATACAGCAAAACCTCGTTGTAACAAAGTTGAAGGAGCGGTCATAATTGTTTCGTTATAACCATTAGTTTGTTATAGCCAATGTCCATTTCTTCCCACTATTAGCAAGCAAGGGGAATTATGATTGGTTTGTTATATCCCATTTTGTTATAACAAGGTTTTACTGTATATGGGAAAGCTTCTCTGAGGTGTCAACTGCATTAAGAAGAAAAAAGGGACTCTCGAAGTTTATTTGCTTCCATTGGGGGTCACAGGATGTCGAGATCGATGATACCCTTTTCAGATTTGAGTAATAACGTCGAATCCCGCTACAACCAAGTTGTCGGGACACGCAAGAAAGATACTTGTAGTGGAAAATTTGTTGTTCCGAAATCAGAAAACAACGATATATTAGTGTAATGTCTCGAGAGAAGCTCCACCCCTGCTTTTGGCGCAATTTTTTATTTTTCCAAAAAATACTGCAGGGCCTTGTCCAATGGTGACCTCGACAGAAATGGTGTTATACTTAACCACGGCGAGAGATGAGCGAACATTGCTTACTAGAAAGGGCATTTGTCTTTGGTTCGTTCAAGCGCTCACACGAGTTTCGTAATGAAAAATTGATGACCGGACAAGCGCCCATCCCCCATTTTTTTTGTGATTATCTCCAAAGTTTGAGTGGGCGCTTGCCCGGTATTTCATGTTACTATTCATATTCCAGATACAAGTCTTAAATGGCTTGAAGCTTATCTCGTTGGAAGAAAGCAAAATGTGGTCCTCGACGGTTTGAATTCTTCAAATGTAAGCGTCTTATCAGGTGTTCCTCAAGGATCTGTCCTTGGTCCCCTTATTTTTTTATATAGATACCAACCTCTCAGCAGCAGTGTGCATGGCACCTGTGCCTTCCTCAGCTGTTTAGCGACATTGCGAGTCGCGATATCGAGTGGAAAGATGATTTTATGCTTCTTTAGTTCATTAATTAGATGACCGAGTTTAGTTGTTTGTTGTGGAGAGACTTCTTATACACGTCTTCTATGGACAACAGACAGGAAATTGAAAATATTGCCTCGTTGTTGCTAAAATTTTGTCGAAGCGGTGTTCATTTTGCAGGATCCGACTGTAGCACTATTTTATAGAGCTGCAGGTTGATGTATGCAAGCACAAAACTAAAATTGTGCTCTCAAAATATGCTTTCCCGCAATTTTTTTAACTATTTTCAACGCCACACATTTCTTTCATAACCATCGAATACCTTGCTCATTTTGTTGTAAGACCACTTAAACAACCGGTGCCACACTGTAAAGACCGGCGTCGTTTCTGCCGTGCTCCAACGCTGTGAAAGCTATTTGCACGAGTGTATGGCCACGTTTGGCATTTCGTTGGCACAAGAGCGAACGAACCTTGAAACAAAGCCACACGCTCACGCGGCAGCGCGAGGCTGGAGAACCACAGAAGCTTGCCTCGACAGCGCAGCACACAATAGTAGACGCCGAGCTTAGGCATACGTTTAACCCACCCTCCCGCCCGTGTCCTCTTTGCTGTGGCCTCTTGCACGGGCGACTGCCGAGCACCGTGCCCTCCTGAGTGCAGGTGCGGATCGACCGGCTGAACAGCAAGTGGTGCTCCTCCCTGCTGGTGGGCGTGGTCGGGGAGAACCCGGAGAAGCTGCACTTTCCGCTCAGCGCCCTGGGGCTCCGCAAGCTCAGCTGGGTTGTCTGCGGAGACTCCGTCTACCACAACGGCGTCAAGGTACGTGGGGTCTCGGGTGCTGTGCCTGCAACGCGTCTCCGGCTGGTGCGTTTAGCACCTCCTAATTTCTGGTTTGTTTCTATGATGCCATACTTTGTGCCCTGCTGCGATCCTGGCGGCGTCACGGACGCGCCATATGCCGCTGCAGCTTGGGCAGGCATGAGTTGGAACGCTGCGGTGACGGGTCTTCACTTTGCTCTTCTTTTATGAGGGTACAACCAACTGCCAGGATTGTGACATCACTCTGTTGCAAAGCTGCCACTTGGAAAGCACTTTGGAAGCACGGGCGGTATGGCGGTCACCGACAGCATGGCCTCCCCTTTAGTGATTTAGAGCTCATCGGTACCGGTTTCGCATTGGTGACTGCAAGTTCACTGGACTTACGAATATTTTTCGTGGCAGCCGCGTTAAGCCTAGCAGAAGCCCGGCGCGCCGCGAGCCGGTTCCATCCCGGAGGCGGCCGTCCTGCTCGGCCTGACGATGATAAGTCCACCCGCCGCACCGGTGGCTTCACAAGACCAACTTTCGGCGAGGCAGGAGGACCAGAGCCTCAGAAAGTCGATAAGAGGGTACAATCCGGCGGCTCCTTGGCGTTTCGGGGAGGAAGAGCTACGAACAAGCTTTTACACGGTCTCGTCCCCCGGTGACGTTGAAGAGCAGCGCGTCAATTGGTGTCCTGTAAGTTTCACCTATGATGTTCAGAAGACTATGCCTGAGGGTGGCAGCCGTCTACAAAGGTTGGGCCACATCCTGTAGCATGGTAACACGACCAATCTGCCGGGGTTTCCCAGCCCCTACGCACGGTGAAGCCACCGAACACCACCCTGGACGGCTTGCCCGGACAGTTGAAAGAGAAACGTCCCAGCGAGCAACTCACTAAACATCATTGGACCCACATCACCCTTAACATCATCCCGCCACCCCGCCGACAAGCTCCAGTTCAACATTGTCAGCACCTCTCTGTCATCTGTACACAATCTCATCACATCATCATTAGATGCGGCGCCGCAGGCCTTCATGCTACGGGCCACTTGCCTTTCTGCGGCACCGCGGTTCTCCTGAACCAAAATAAATATTATTATTATTATTATTATTACTATTATTATTAGGCGCGTTGCAGGCATCGTAACACGACCGTGCATGTCTCTCGGTGTTTCTAATGTCTTTTGCCTTCAGGTGAAGGGTGGCTATGGGCCCAACCTGGACAACCTGCAGCAGTGGCATACAGTGGGTGTCCAGGTGGACCTGGAGGGGTGCCTGCACATGCACGTCAACGGGGTGGACCAGGGGGTGGCTGCTAGGGACCTGCCTCCGGTGTGCTACGCCCTCGTGGACCTCTACGGGCAGTGCGAGCAGGTGCCTATTCTCCTCCACGAGTGCTTTGGATGCACATTGGATGGCTGTTGATTGCAGCATCTTTTAAAGCATACTTCCTACCTCCTCTCCCAGAAATGTCTTAAAAATAAAAGTAGGGAATCCACACAAACACACGTTGCCACAGGCCACAAAAAACCATCAAACTTAGGGACACATTCACAGCAGACAAGACACAGTGCTGACTCACAACTCAATCTCTATTTTTGCACTTCTTTTTCTTTTAACGCCTTTTCGATACATTAATGAAAGTTGGCTTCTTTTTCTTCTACATCCCATTAAATGATACTCATGTAAGCTAATAAGATGAGCTGATTCCTTTCCTGATGAAGTGAGTGATGGAGTGCTTACACATTTGTTGTTATCCCTGGAAATATTTTCTGCTTCCACTATCTCTCTAGTCAGTTAGCTACCGCTTCTGCCCAGCACAGTACACCTATCTAAATGTGCCGCATTTTATTTTTAAGACATGGAAAGCCAACTCGCCCAAGCCGCCATTTTTGCCCAGAAATGTGTTTGTTCGTGCATACTCCGGGGCATGTGAGCACAAATCGTGGTGTAGTGGGGTGCGATGTCGTGTGGTGTCGGGTCACGGGACGTCGCGTCATGTGACGTCGCAGTGGCACGCGACACTCTGGTCGCGTGACACCTAGACTCGACACCGTGATGCCATGTCACGCGACCTAGTGACATTATCTATTACCTCAACTCGTGCCACGTCGCGGTGTTGCATGACACCGTGACGACTCCATAATGTCGCACTATGTTTAATGTCTTCTAAACAAATTGAAACGATCCCTTCTTAAATTCTGCGACCCATGCATCGAAGCACTTTAGAAAAAACGATCGCTGCTAGTAATTTCTTTTTTTTTTTTACGTGCAACTCCAAGGAGTGGCTGCTTTCTAGAGCCTTGTTTGGTTCACCTTTTGGTTGAGGAACCGAGGGAGTTTGGGACTTGCAAAGATGTTGAGCACTCTGGGAACATCCTATTCCCTCCCACCAGGTGACCGTCATCGAGTCTCACGACCAGGACAGCGAGCCCGGGGCCGATTGCCGGGAAAAGGCGGACATCGAGAACAGTACGTCGAACCTACGGCGTTCTCTTAGTGAGCCTCTGCGTACCCTGATTCTCTCGGTACGGCCGTGCAGAAGAGAGTGTGCAAACTCTGCACACTCTCTTCTTGGACTTTCTACGAGCCACGTTTGTCAAGCCTTAACGGACGCCTCTTTGTTTTGCGCAGGTGTGAAAGAGAAGCGGGGAAAGAACATCCACAACGACCTTCACGCCATAAAGAACTGCGAGTACCAAAACTCCTGCACAAGATTTAAGGCCCTGCTCGGGATCCCTGGTAAGAGTGAAGGAAGCTCGCAATTGTGCTCGCATGGTGGTCATGCCCACCACTAAACTATTTCTGGGGAGAACTCTAGTACAGTATAAGCTTTTTTTCCGAGATAATAAAGCGAGCATTTGGCAAGGGGTGCTGCGTACGAGAAGTTTTTATGTGCGGACTAGGCACCAGACGCGGACTGTACACTGGTCTATAGTCGGGAAAATATGGCAATATGCAAACCCATCGTCGGTTAAATGGCAATACCTTTTACCCATAGACCTATTGGTAAACTACCCAAGCATCAAAGAGAATGCAGGGATTGTAGGTCTATGCGCCGCACAGACTGGCGTCTGCAGCTGTAACTGTTCTAACCGTTCATGGTCGTTGCTCCAACAGAGGGCTACTTCCTGCCGGACCTGAACGTCTGCTACTGCGAGACGTGCCACAAGATCCGGGGCGACGAGCCGTACCTGAAGGTCGGTGAACCTCCCAGAGACTACGCCGTGCCTTTCGGCTGGTGCCATTTCCCGCTCAGGTGAGCAAACTCCAAACGAGGAGGCCCTCCACCTTGCATCTTCTACTTGCGTACTAGTTAACCTCTGCAGATTAAGCGTTTTATTTCTAAAAACGTTTAAAGGCCTGCGATGCAATTTTCAGATAGTGTTTGCGAGGATTAAGTTGCGTAGAGGACCGAGCCAGTAAAGGCCCGACGCACAATTTCGCGCTCTACCGACTAGAGGCACCAGTATGAATTAGTTATTCAGACAGCCTGTTACGTTATTTGGTTCTAACAATATCTGGAGACTCGAATATTTGTATACATTGTCTGTACCAAAATGGAAATAGTTTGGCCGAAATAAATGTTTGCCCGGGGGTTTCACCTCTGTCATTTGCGTATTTTGAAACTTAAGGGGGACCTTCAGAAGTCATTCATCCATCCAACCATCAATCACGCCCCTAGTGGCTAAGTCGAGACCACCACCCACGGGGACAAGAACATAAATTACTCGTTTATACTTTTAACGGAGCACTTGGCTGAGTAACGGAACGCCACATCAGCGTTTGAATGAGGCTTGGGTTCATTGAGCGAAGCACCAATTCAGCACGACCCTCAGCCGAACGGTGACGCAGCACTCGTGTCAAATCTATGCCACGGGCTCCATCCATGCAGACGACGAAACCATCTTAATCCACAAGCCACGTTAGGTAAACACTAGGGGTTTGCAAATATTCGAGATTTCGAATATTTGCCCCCTACTCTATGTCTTCCTGGCCATAAAACTCACCTGCTCAAACCTCGTAGGTGAAGCTTTTGCAGCTTTTTTAAAACAAGCCTGTAAAGCTTAAAAAAAGTGAAAGCCGTTTACAACTCCCTGTAACACCGAATTGGAGCGCAGCTCTTGAGGAGGAGGAGGGAAGGGTACTGAGGGGAGGGTAGACCCCTCCTCCTCCTCCTCCTCCCCTCATTCTTGAATATGCTCCGGGGGAGTCACCTGACCCAACACCTCATAGAAGAGAAGGCTGTAGCGCTCCGAGTGGGCACGTCACAATGGCGGAGGAAGGAAGGCCATGGCGCAACTACGTGAGAAAATGCCGCTGTCGACGTGTGTCGGCGCATTAATGTTTGTGCGCGTTTATCCGACATTAATACACGTTTTAAAAGCACAGTCTTGTACAATTTATTATATATATAATATAAACGTAATATACAACGCGTTACCAAGGTTGAAAGTACCAAATTTATATTTTTGATTATCCCCGTAACCGCGGGACTAAGCGCAGTCCCGCAGCTCCCCACACTTTTCGAATGAACCGGCTCCGAATTTCCGATGCGACATCTTCCCTCGTACGGGCTCTGATTCCGGTAAATTTACGTTGCGTGTGAGCTGCTGACTGCATGAAAAGGTACGCTGAGACATTTCAGAAGGGAAAGAAACCGAAAAAAAATTCATTCATCGCCGCTGGGAGGGAGTGCACACGACGAAGAGATGGGTCGACAATGTTAAGCCTCTCGTCTCACACTGCTGGTGCTGCTCTCGCGCGTGTGTGTGTGTGTGTGGTTTTGTCCTACCCATCGGGGTTTTTTTTTGTCGCCACCGCCGTCTCAGGTAGATGTTTTGTGTGTGTGTGTGTGTTCGCCTGATACTACGGCATTTACGTGGATTTGCAAAACAAGTCCTGCTACGGTTTGACTGACGTGTGTGGCAACTAGTCAACGATGACACTGGCCGATGACCTCTCTCTCGACAGAGAAAGACTTCTTGAAGTTTGTGTTAAAATTTTTTCGTGATGGATCGTGTGGGACGTATGGATACGATCGACAGGTGAGGAACAACTTATTTACGGGCTTTCTTGGTCATGTAAGACGCAAGTAATGTGCTGCAGTCAATTTTTTTTTTTTTAATATCGTGATAGAATGGAGTTTTGTTCTTCGTCATTATCCGTTTGCTATTGCGTCGACATTTATAATTATGCGTCGTAATATTCTAGTTTTTACTGGAAGGTAAATAACAAGTTTGTGTGATTATTGAAAGTGCGTTGTTTGTGCTTATGTTGATTTATACTAATGTTTTTTTGTTGCCTTTACCGCTTTTATACTAGAATCTGAACTGTATTAAGGTAATAGTATTTTTATATACAAAATAAGTTATGTTTTGTTCTAAGGCAGCTCGAGCCCATAGGGAGAAGTAAATTAGTCGACTAAGTAGTAAGTTTAGTACCCCTGCCACACAGAAAGTTAATATATTTTCATTCAGTGATATAGGATTTAATCAGCTCGCGGTCTTGAGTGATTATACGAGCGCTGCAAGCGGATTTGTCGACCCCATAATGTCATTCGATCGAAATTACATTAATTTTGCCATGTGGCCGAGGTATGATGCAAGAATTCAGTGAATGCACGCGATAACATCGCTTACATGATCGTGAGAAACACTTGTCTTGCCTTGTCCGCGTTGACTACGTCTACCTGATTTTTAACTGTTCTGTTTTGCTCTTTCCAAATCACTGCGTGTCTCGCCATTTTTTCGAAGTATTTCTGTATAAAATATGCATTCCTACTACAATAATTGCATGACTCAATGTTTTCGACTTAAAACAATCACCTTTTTCTGTAGACGTCTTATACGCATACCTCGTGTCATTTCGTACCGATTATTTAGCGGTGTAATATTTTGCTCGTGTAATAAAATGTTTTCTAGACCCGTTGCTATGTGCAGCTTTCATTTTAGCTAATATGACACACGTATGTGCTTAAAGGGCTCATGAAACGATATTTGGGTTGGGATAAATCATTTTAGATTGGGATTTTACTAATAGAACATCGTTCAGTGGGCCAAAAGCAAAAAGGTAGAAAGTCAAAAGCCTGACATTCAGTGCGAAAATTTGAAAACACAGCGGACTATTTCGTTCCTCCTCCCCTTCGTAACCGCTCTGCCTTTTCACTGGGATACATCCGCGGTCCCAAAAGCGTGTCATCGGGTCCAAACTGACGTCACACAAAACCGGACCTCATTTAGTCCCTTCACCCCTAAGCTGACATTGTGGTGGAAGCTACGCGCTTACCGGACCAATCAGCCACCTCCGTTTCATCACCTGACTTCATTCTCTCAGCCACATTTGCCACGCTTACGTGGCAGAAGTGTGGCTAGCCCAAGGAGCACGTAGCTTCCACAGCACTGTCAGCTTAGGGGTGAACGGGCTAGGGAAAGAAACTTTTGTCTGAGTTTTGAGCGACGGGCTAATCTTCTAGGGGGAGAATGGATGTGTCCGGGGATTACACAAACCAGGTTCCGAGCGAGAGGGGCCTCCCTTCTTTTCGTCTTCTTGAACTGTTTGGTGGAATGCGCGATTTATGAGTTGAGGAGGAAAGCGAAACAGGAAAAAGTTGGAAAAGCGTTTCATGACCCCTTTAAAAACGCGTTACGACGGTCGATCCACGCGCGTTGCCTTCGTTTCGACGCGCGCCCCCGATGGCCTTCCTTTGCAACGTCACGAGAAGAGCGCTACCGCCTTGTATTCTAGGAGGTGTTGCCCGACCTCGGGGGGAGGGGGTCATGTGACCTCGGGGGGGGGGGGGGGGGGGGGGATCACGTGACCTCGGGGAGGGGGTCACGTGATCCCCAGAGGTCACGTTATCTCCCCTCACCCCCTTCCAAAGTCACGTGATCTCTGGGGGTCTTGTGACCTTGGGGTGACCTTGGGGGGTCATGTGACCTCGCGGTTACGCCGACGGCGACATTGCCGCCGCTCAAGTTGGAAACGGGCGCCTAAGAGCTGCGCTCTAAAAAATGAGACATTTACAAATCTCTGTAATGCAAAATTAGAGCGCAGCTCTCAAGGAGGAGGAGGAGGGAGGAGGGACGTTTCCCCTAATGTAACACGTGACGTGAGGTCACATGACGTCACGTGACCCTCGTGACGTCATCTGGCTCTCGTGAGGTCACGTGATCCTCTTCAGGTCACGTGACCCTCATGAGGTCACGAGTCCCACGCGTTGCATTATGGGACATTTCCTATAATGCACCATGCGGTTACAGCTACGCCGACGGCCCCCCGTGACCCCTGGTGCCACGGGGGTCACATGACCCCCGTGAGGTCACGAGGGTCACGTGACCTCACGGTTACGCCGACAGCGACGCCGCTCAAGCCGGAAACAGGTGCCTAAGAGCGGCGTTCTAAAAAAACTTGTATAAAGACAGATAACATATCTGGGAGGCACGTTCTTTTAATTGTGTGGCGAATAAGGACGGCACTCCTCCCAACCTTCTCGTCCGATCGTGTATGATATAGTGACGGCGACGCACGAATGTAGCTTGGCTTCACAATGCATTCCGTAGTACAGGTTAACGCCTCACACATAAACTTGGCGTTATTGGTTGCAAACATGGTTTTACTGGAGACGACGGCAGTATGCCTGTCTTGCGAGAAATGTTTCATTAGAGAATGTCCTCACGGGGATGTGCTGATACCGCTTCTAACCGAATAGCGCAGCATCGTCCTTAGCCTTGGCACTGCAAAGAGTATGTCCTGGGTTTCCCCGGTACAGTAGAACCTTGTTCATACATTCCCGGTTTTTACGTTTTCCCGGCTTTTACGTTCAAAACCGCCAGTCCCGCCGAGCTCCCAACACCCCAAGGGCCTTCTCGTTTTTTATGTTTTCGTGGATTATACATTATTATCCGCGGTCCCCCGAGAAACGTATAAAAGAGGTTCTACTGTACCGCAAAAGTAACGAATGGCGCTCTTCGATTCTAACCACTTTCCGCAAATCGTTTCATTAGAATTCATCGTCTGACATCTGGACGTTTGCAGGCCACAGCCTCGGCCAGACAACAACTCCGTCCAGCAGAAGTGGCACATGGCCTTCCACGGGGTGCCCCTTGGGGCCGTGCGGAAGACGCTGGACCGCGGCGAGCTGCTGCCACCCGGTGAGCACTTTGGGAGCAAGTTGCTCGTACCAGCATGCCACACTTACTGGGACTCTGACTAGTCCGTTTACCCTCATTTTTGGCACCTTGGGTTTTTGCCCGACGACGTGGCACTTGAATCGCGCCGTTGCCTGCCGTGGTGGCGTCACAGCAACGAAAGTGACTACTGCAGCCGACTTGCGATGCCGGCGTTCACTCCTCTTTTGCCGGAACGTTCGTGACCGACCACCAGGATGGTGACAGGCCGACTTTCGGGACGTCGCTTGTTGCCGATTCAAGATCACTTTCGATGCATGGGCAGTATGAGACGGTAAAAACGCTAGTTGAAGATGTGTTCCAGGTCTATGCTGCGAGCCGCGCTAATTGTTTGTAGTATGCTGCGAGACCCGCCGTAACGTCTTTCCTCCGATTCCCTCTATCCATGCTTCTGTGGTGGCATCTTTTGAGTCTGACCGTGTCCGTTCCTCGCAGACAAGGTGGCCTTGTGCCAGGTTCCCAAACCCAGGGGCAAGGCAGAGAACTTCGAAACTCGGACCGTGTGCCTGTCCCCCACCCTGCGGTATGCAGGCAGCAGCGCATTCTGCCCGAGGCACGAGTGAGTGGCTCTTGCTTCGACATCTTCCTTCCTTTGAACAACATTGTGCCTCAGTACGAGGACTACATTATGTTCCACTAGGATGTGTTGCATGCGCCTAGGTCGCTATGGAAACCGTCATGAACTGTCACGAGTGGTCGTAACACAGTCAGTCACGCTCGAACGTAAATGTCTGACAGGTTGCGCCAGTGTCGTGAGTCTGATAAATCGCCCATTGTGCTTTATAGTATTGGTAGAGACCGGCACCAGACAATCTCAGCTGGGCCAGATGGGCAAAGACCTACGGCAGTCTTTATTCATGGCCTATATACAAAACGGAACAGTAAGGTGGCGTCCTCTATGATAGTGTGTTAGAATCAGGCTAGTATTGTTAAGAGAGACACCTGCCAGGTAACAAACAACACTACAGTATTAGTTTAAATACCATATTGTTACGGTTGATCGGCTGTGACAGTGCCGTAGGCAGGGGAGTAGTTTGGGGGTTAACCCCCCCCCCCCCCCAAAATCGTTTTTTTTTCTTTATTTTTATTTTTTTTTTTTTAGTAAAGGAAGACAAATATTAAATGACTACCGAATAGTTTTAGTCAACCGAGGGGGTTGGGGACAGTCGTGTCCGTACCCGTGAATTGTAGAGTACATCGACTGTTATACGCGAAAATTGAACAAAGTCTCCCCCCTCCCCCCCCCCCAAATATGATTCCTAGCTGCACCACTGGGCTGTAATGTATAGAAGGAAATTGTTGATTAATTTAGAGAGGAATGAACATCATTTAGGCATTCTTCTATAGATATTTGAATTCTTGTACTACTAAATAAGACGCGCAATTATATTCTTCGTATTGTTTAAAGCAGAGGTTCTCAAACTGGGTTCCGCGAGCTGGTCTCATGGGTTTTGCGAGCACCTAAATCACAGTGCCCCTCCCACCCTAGTTTAAGCTTGCACGAACTGAGCCATGGATTGAGCTGGTGTTGCGGGCAAAGCAACCTCACCCTTCGCACTAATATGCCTATATATTTACATTGTGCCCCAAGTTATTCTGCCTGTAGTCCTTCATTTTGTCTTGTTCTGTTAGTGCAATAAACACTATCTAAATGCTTTTATTGCCCAGTATTATCAGTTGGCAAGAAGGGCGGGGAGCAAAGCTGAGACAGTCCGTGATGATTTGTCCTCATGGCTCCTCGATTGTAGCGGGAGATCGCCTTGGCCACTGCTCTCCGCACGCTGGGCAGAGGGGCATGCTGCATTTTGGGCGAAATACTCCAGATCACAGAGTGCAAGAACTCCCTTACATTTTGTGTCATACCATCGCTGCAGCGCTGAAATAAGGCTTCCTCACTCAGTCGGGCGAGCACTGGCTCCAAAGCCACGTGGACGTCATTTGGGAGGCTATTCTTGTGAGCAGGTGGCTTCTTGCTCTCAGATAGGGCATGGTTATACGTAGTGCCCTGCATGGATAACAGTTTGATGATGCGCATCCGATCCGCAGTGTTCTTAAATAATTGTATCCGCACCGATCCACAGACTTTGCATTCGCATCCGACCCTCATTCTGCGAATTCGTTTTACGTCATAAAATCAAGCCTGAATAAAAATTTTAAAAAAGCTTCTGGATGATACCCTAAGCCATCTGCTTACCTTTCTACAAAGAGCTCTTCGTGCCAGAATACAGTGAAAGTAATTTTGTTGTATTCTGTTTTATCGTATTTATGTCATAAGCAATCATCCTTTCAGAGACGCTTCGCATCGTTTGAAAGATTATGCGTTCAAAAGGAAGGAAGTTTATATTTACCGTATTTACTCGCATAATGAACACACTTTTTTCCCCGAAAAGTTAACACTTATTTACATTAATTACGCGGGGTAAAATTTTTTGCATTTACACACTTTCTGCAAATGTCATATTAGGTGCCAATATGACATGGCAAGGTACTGTGGCACGTCTCCAGTGATGGAGCCACAGTAACCACAATTTATAAATTGCAAACCTTTTTAGGGCGCTTTCGGGGTGCCTTTTTCCAAAGGAAAAGCGCCCTACAAAGCTCAGCGCAAGCAACGCGACTGTTCTTAGCAATATATAATGCTAGTATTCGGCGGCACACTCAGGTATATCCGCAACTACAGTATAGACCACTTATAACGTAACCGCTTATAGTGCAGGACCGGGTAAAACGCGGCTTTTTTAAACCACCGGTTCGCCTCCCATAGAACTCCATGTAATTACATACCGCTTAAAATGCAGGCGCGCGAAGGGAAATATCGGTTATAGTGCGGTTTCTGGACCGGCCCAGCAAGCACGCTTCCCTGTGCGACACTAGATAACTGCGCTAGCCGCAAGCAGCACTCGCGGGGCAAGGAGGTTGCTCGAAGAAGCGGGGAGAAGCGAAAAGAGAAGCTTCAGTTGCCATAGCGACGGAAGGGACGCACGCACGTGTCGTTCACGTGCGTGCGTCCCTCCGCTGCGTTGGAAACAACCGCAACGACAGACCAGTCGCAGGTCGAGGAGAAGTGTTCGCACGCAATGCATGCCGGTCGCGGGCTGGCTTCTTCTATCCGCTAACATGGTGTCTGTTGTGATGGTCGACGTAGACGGCGTGGTGGAAGCTCATTGTTCCGCGTAAAAGCGCTATCCTTGACTGTGAATTTTCGTTGTGTGTCGCTATGTTAACCCAGCACGTACTAGAAGAGAAGATCCACCTACTCATGCGGCGATGTCGTGGCGGCACTCTCAAGATGGCAGAAATGCCCGTGTCGTTGTGTTTGTTTACTTCGACTACAGTGGTGCTTTCTAAGCATTTGTGTTTTTGAACACCGCCCGGATTTCTTATTTGAAGCATTTCATGCCTGTGCTCAAGTTAATGTGACAAGCATGTAGCGCCCTCTCCCATCCACCCGTCGATGGCCGCCAGCCTCGGCGGGCAACATTGATCACCGCGCCCAATAAACGCCGTTGAGCCCATGCCGCTCCGGTCAGTCGTCGTTCACCCTCACAACCAGGCTGCGTGTCGTCTCTTCTCGGCGGGTGCTTCGGCCCCCTTCGTCCACGTTCCAGAAAGATTGTGACAGTTGAAGGTATTACAGGGATGGTCCGGAAACCTGTGCCCACCACTGCAGACGACCAAATTCAATCTTCTCCATGGATACTTGTAGGCGAGGAAGCCACTTGCAGGCTTCTTCTACTTTCTTGTGGCTTGTACTTCTTGGGTTTGTTTTGCCCAAAGAATGATTTTCCCTCTTTCCCTGCCAAACAAGAACATACTTTCTCGGGACGACTGATGCTCCTGCATTGTTTACTTTGTCTAGGGATGGCGTTTTTGGCAAGATAGAACGTTCTGAACTGATCTTTGGTTAGAATAAAATCTTTATTGACGTAACGTACAATTTTCTCTTTGATTGGTACCTTTTATATAAGAGAGTAGTTTGCCCCTGCAATACATTAGATGATGCACTTCATAGTACCACTCACTTTTTCACTGTACACTGTGCAGTCGAATTTGTTTTTGGACCGAATCGGCAAAAATGAATTCGGACCCGCGGATATCCACATGCGATCCGGAGCCCCTGGCATCCGTATCCGATTTGCAGTCCGCCAAATATGATTCATTTTTATCCGAATCTGCCAGTTTACTGCGGATATCCATGGATAATCTACAGATATGCAGGGCTCTAGTTATAACCGTGCGCTATCTGAGGGCAAGAAGCCTCCTGCTCACAAGAATAGCCTCCCAAACGACGTGGCTTTGGAGCCAGTGTTCTCCCGACTGAGTTCAGGGCTGCAGCGATGTGGTGTTGGTAGAACTCATACCCACACCAGGACCCCTAGGCAGTGGTCGGGTCTGTCGATGATGTCGTGCTTGTGCAGGGCATAAACATAGTAGTTTGTCATCTTTTTCATTTTCTTCCGCATCCCCCTTCCTCCAAGGGCTCCCTTCGAGTCTTTTTTCCACCAGGCCATGCAAAGCTGTTCCTATCCTTGTATGCACATGATTGAGACAGTCTTTCTTGTGCACATTCACGTAGATATACACTTCCTCCTCCGTCAGGGCATGGAAGGTGCGGCTGTCACCATCTGACAGGATGGTGCTGTATCGTAGTTTGTGCTTAGCAAGGGACCGACGGAACAAACTCGGGGCTTAATTGACTTCCATGCCTTACAGTCAATGTTCTTTTGGCATTTATGCGTTTGTTGCCACTCCACAAAGTCCTCGTCGTCAGGTCTTGGTCCTGTTGTGCACCCTAAACAGAAGTTTGATAATAGTTTGTGGTCTATCACGAGGCGAGTGTAAAGTTCGATGATGCATCCCACACCGATGTGGCATTCATGGCCTCGAGTCTTCCGGGTTCCATCGAAGATCACATCAATGTTTCCTGGGAGATTCATGAAGTCATTGCACAAGTCCATCTTCGCTGGCTGCAGCAGTTGGCTCAGCGGCGTCCATCATCTTGTTTGTGTGCCCATTGAAAGTTATGTGGTGAAGGCCACTGTGCGAGATATTCATCTACACCCAACAGTCAGGCAGCTTCCCAATGCTTTGCATGGCCTCTATGGCTCTGAGATTCACCTCAAAAGGGGTTATCTTGGACCTGCCGGACACCCTTGGCGAGGAGAAGCACTGCTCACGTAGCTCACAGGTTGAGCATACTAAAACTAGCTTTTGCGCAAAGCCGTATACCGTGCCGGTCTTCTCCAGGCTGACAGTCTTCGCACCACACTCTGCAGCTCGTAAGCGAAAAAAGAAACTTGTTCAACACTTGCATGTCCACAATTACAAACTCCATTTCATGCCCAATCTCTGTGCTCTCCAAATCGGCATTGAGCAGGTCGAACTTTCGCCAACCTGTTGACTCTGATGCTAAGCGACATTTCGTTTCTTCATCTTCTTCCAAAATTTTGGACTGCTCTTGCACAGTGTCGTAATTGGTGTCAACCTGGTTTGCACAAAGTCCCGACGTACTTGGCATTGCTTCGAGATCGGTGCCTTCGGAGTTGCTATCGGAGCCTTCAGAGTTGCGATAAACAACTTCGAGGTTGTGATCGGCGCCCTCGGTGTTGCGATCGGCGCCTTCAAAGTTGCGATTGGCACCTTCAAAGTGGCGATCGGCATCTTCAAGGTCATGATCGGCGTCTTCGGTGCTGCGATCGATGCCTTCAAGGTCTGTATTGGTGCCTTTGTGGTCGGTGTCAACAAGATTGTCTGCATAGAGCCAGGCACGTAGCCAGGATTTTGTTTTTCGGGGGGTGCCCGCCCATGACAAAATGCTGTATGAGGGGGAGGGGAAGGTGAGGTCCCAGCAAAATGGAAGATTTGGGGGGGGGGGGTGGGCATGGTCAGTCGGCACTTCCCATCCCTCGTTCCACGCACGTTTTTGTTTCCTGCCGTACGCTTGATGGGTTCGCAATTTCAAGGGAGGGTCTCCTCCTATGTCTACCAAAATTTAAAACTTCTAAACGAAACAGAGCTTGTCAAAGAAAGCGGAGCGACCACGTTTTACGACAAAAAAGCAGCAAAAAACTTTACGAAAACGTGTAAACTGGTACGCAAGTTAACAATAGAAGAAATTAAACTTACGTAAACAAAGCCAATGTTCCCGAAATAGAAGTTAGACAATCTTGAAGAGCTTTCCGATCGGTAAACGAAAGCACGCGGAGAAGCAGGAGCAGTCGACAGAGCATGCGTTGAGAACTGACAGAACGAGAGAGAGGAGGATGCGCCTTGCGAGAGGAGTGTGGGAAGGAAGCCAATAGGCAGCAGCACATTTCGGAGAACCTCAGCCAACAAGCAGCTTGGGATTGTACCGTGGGGAAACGGCAGCAGCCTCTCGTGCACTGCACCAACATCATTTGGAAAGGTGGCAAAGAAAAACACGATTCCAGCTTTCAACCGACACCAAAATGGCGGCGATCGGAGGAGCGGTTTTGGAATCGCAATAACGCGAAATGAGGCATTATTGCAGCGCTTGTGCATCGCTTCAAAGCCATGTGGTTCTTGAAATAGCAGTATTTATTATATTTTAGGATCGTTTTTGGCCTAGATATTTTGCACAACGATAGTTTGAAGTATAAAGACTCTATTAAACTAATTTTCGGAAAAAAAAAAAAAAAAATCTTTTTTCGAGATTTTTTATTTTTTTAGAGATTTGCATTTCCTTTTTAATGAGGCTCAAACCCAAAAGCCCACGATTCTGAGCCCAACGCTCGACCACTATGCCAAGGGAAAGGCTTGTGGAGCAGCAGTTATTTTGCTATGCCAAGGGTGTGAAGTATGATGGTAAATGTGTGACCATATCGTATGACCGTGGACGCCATAAAAAAGATTCGGAAGAGCCACGGAAGAGTAGGGATGGGAGCAAAACCTACATATTTTGTGCATATTGATTCATAATATTGAGGTAGATTTAGAGTTTTAAACGCAGATTGTGTTTCTAAGTCCAGAATGCAGAGTGCACTTCTAAGTCTAGAGCGTCCCAAAAGGTTGCAACAAAGATATGACGGGTGTCTTCAGTTAAAATTACTCGAACCTTGGTGGGAATCGAACCAAGAAACTCTTGGTCAGTAGCCCTACCGGAGCAGCTTAGAAGACAGTTATTTCAGCTGCTGTGTGTATATACGTCTGGCTGGAAACAATTTGCCACAGTGGTTACGGGATCATGTAACCACTGCAGGTTACAGGAATAAGAATGATAACCTACCCCGATATTTTGCATAAAGCTGACTGATGCCGAATATGTTGTATGTTTCATTCCTTAACAGACCACCCCAAATGCCTAACGAGCAAAGCGGGTGGTCCAGACAGATGGAAAGAGGTCTGTAGCGTTGGCGAAAGGCCCCCGCTATACAGATGCGTCAGTGTTGAGTTGAGGCTCGAGCGTGATCTACGAGCTAATACTCTTTTCACTTTAAGCCGCAGCCGACGAAGCCCATCAGACAATGCCCAAAAGCTCTCGTCGCCTTTGCCATTACTGGCTGGGTGCGTGAATCAATGAATGCCCCACGATCCTGTGTGATTGGTCTGTTCAGCGATAGCAAACTTGCAAAGAGGACAAGTGCTGTGGCGACGCACTTTTGCAGCCGCTCAGTGGGCTCCGTCGGACGGTAGCGCCGGCTGCGATCGGACCTAGTGTGAAACTCAGCGAGGCAGCGCACAACGAACTCTTGTGCGGCGCAGGTTCGTGGACCCCAAGAGCGGCCGACGGATGCACGCCAGGGCCGCCTTCCAAGTGCTAGTGCAGCCAGGCTCCTACACAACCCACCCCGCAAGCGCCGCCGCGACGGGCGCCGTCGCCGGGCGCGAGCTGGTTGACGTCCACTTCGGCGCGTCGGAGCTGGAGTGGCGCACCAAGGAGATTGGCGCCACCGTCCTGCACGCCCTGCTGGTGCGGCTGGAGGCCCCCTCCTGATGAACGGCCCCCAGCCTTCGCGCATCGTCAACATTTGCGACGTTCCCAGGCACCTCCCCCTCGTCCCTTCTACGAGTTTTTATTTTGCTCTCGTTCATCCGTACAAATGCTTCGATTTAGTTTAACGCCTACCAAACGCCACAGTGGTGCTCGGTACGGGTGCCAAGAGTCGCTACGCGTGGGGCGAGCTGCCAAAATCGTCCGACGCCGCACGTGTTAGAATACCGATTCTCTTCAACTGCTTCCTGCGCGTCTTTTCACCTTAAGGACGTCCTCGTTTCACGTCATGTATTACCACCTTTTCTTTCTTTCATTTCCTCCGCATGGCATTGCCGTCTCTTCTCACTTTACCTTTTCCCGCAAAACTTTTTGGGGTTTTGCATATTTTTTGTTGGGCAGTTATCAGTTGCCTGGAATACATTTCTGTACCAATTATTTTTGGTAGCAGTGACAGGACTTGTTTGTTGTGGTGCTTTTTTTTTTCATCCGGTCCAGTTGTGGGCAAGCCACCTGGTTCTTTAAATCATCTCCTTTTCATTACTGATGCGTTCTTCTTTGACTCTCGATAAGCCTGTCTGGCTCAATTGCATAGCACTTGAGTCCGACACCTTGCTTCGACAGTTAAGACTGGTGCAGGCATTTTGCTCCGATTGTAAACGCAGCTGCTGAAGTGACAGCAATGACGAGTCGGCGGGATGACCGTGCGCTTCACATCGTCTGGCCATTGATGCAACGACGTGACATGCTCTCGCAAGTCGAAAGGACAACCACTCGTAGTATCGTTCCGCATCGGTGATCGGTCGATCGCAAGCAACGCAACTCACCCGTCTTCTCCTCGAGGTGGTCACGATCCGGCCTCTGAAGCACAGTTGTGCCAGTGACTGCCGTTTCATTTAGTGCGAATGCAATGAAGTGTCCGAGATAGCCCGTGGAAACTTTGTTGTCAATGCCGCTCCTGAAGGCGGTGGAAAGTTTCAGTCAAAAGGCCTTCGTGTGTCTATTGAGCTGTTCATTGTGATTGAGTGTAAGTCCCTCCACTAGGAAGCTGAAGCTATAAACGCAGTTACAGAGCGGGAGTGGAAAGTTGCTCGCCTAGACGTGTAATCCAATAGACAGGCCTGTACCATCACGGATGGCTACAACAGCCCCTTGGTGTACCTGCCGTCTGGAGCCGAGGATGACTACATCGAGTGTTGCAGTCCTTATTGTTTGGGAGGGGTCGTGCGAATATTTTTTCTGCTGTAAATAATTGCTCTAAGTTTCCAACTGTGTGTGCGTGTATAGTGACATTTGCGTGTTATACCTAGCTAATGCTTCTTGCCTATAATTCAGGAACAAACTTTACCTCACTTTTTTGTTTCGAGGGTTGTAAAAATTTGCTGTTTTATGCATCAACTTTTTTGTTGGCTCTTTGACCAAAGCTTTTTCTTTTTTCACAGTGTTTGTTGTCGGTTTAAGTTTGATACAATTTTGAGACACGCCGATGACGGCACGGCACCTGGCTAAGTTGTCACGGAAATTCTTTTACAAAAATCTTCCAGTTCAGATGGCTGTGTCAGTCCTACTGCTCAGTTGGTTTCTCAGGTGGACTGTGGTAAAGACTGCCACTTTGAACTAATAAGAATGCTTTTTTCGAGTCAAACAAAGGTTTGTCAGGTGAGCAAGCCTTCTGTGGACGTCTTCGTGTAGTATAAATGTACATATGCAAATATGTTTGGAACGCAGCAGTGCTGTCTGTAGAATTGATTTTTGCTTCATTTTTTAAGGTCTGAAATGTGATTACTGCGCATATTGTTTGGTAATACAGGCCGATACGCTCGTTGTGATATATTTAGAAGGGGAAGTTGCGTATGCCAACTCATTCCCCTCTGAAAGTGTGCAATTCTTCGTTCGGATATTCATTCCTTCATCGCTCACTTTTATTAAATGCAGTCTCGTCTTTTTTAAATGAAACATATCACCAAAAACTTGGCCTAACCTTTTTTTTTTTCTTTTTTTCCGCCGCGATGAGTGCAAGTTTTGCAATCATCGCTCTGTCTGAGCGCGGCACGATCTGACAGAGAAAAGGTGGGCATAAGGAAAAAGAAGTTTCTTAAAGTGTTCAGGCCACGGCCTATGCCCTAGAAAGCCTTGAAGGCTTTCTGTGAAGCTTCCGGAAAAGCTACATCGAGCCGAAATCAACGGAAGTGCACGAGAACAGTCGTATTGATTAACATAAAGGTCACATTGTGTAGCATTGTGTAGAGGGAAAGTTTCCACGACGCTTCCTTCACCTCCACTAGTCACCCCTCGGTCCTTGCTAAGGAACTGACGAATGTCTGCGAGTATGTGCTTCACGTGCAGTTACGAAGTTGAGGCAACAGTGTGAATTTTATGACCCTCATTCTTAATGTATAGCAATCCACTCTCTGGAGTGGTCCCGTGCTTTCGACATGTTTGGGCTGGAAGAAAGGTGCCCAATTTAGGTGAAAACAGTTCCAGCCAATGCAGTGGAACATTGCCAGCAGCTCGCAGCTTCATAATCTCTGATGGCTTGCTCTTGAGGGCTTCTAGTCAGAGGCATTGGAAGCTTTATAGACCACGCACGTGCTGCAACCCTTCCGGCCTTAAGATGGGCAAGGATTGTCGTGCCTGGAAAGGGCAAGCTGGAACCAGAAAGGAAGATACCTTCCCTCTCTTCCACGAAGTTTTAGCTTTGGGCCCCACTGCATTTGGCTGACGAGGGCAGGGGGAGCGTGGGACAGGGAAACCGGGGAAAGGCTTGTTCAGGTGGGCTAAAAACGATTTGGTACATCGGCTCTGAGGCGCGCATGCTCGCGTTACTGGTAACAAGGTGCAATCTCGCAGTCGCAGCACGTACCTGCATGGAGAAGACAGGCGTGTTCGTGTCACCTAAAACGGCTGGCACCTATTTCGAGAAGGTGACTCGCTAATTTATCCGTTTTTGAAGCGTGTCAGAAGAGCTAAGACGAAGCAGTCCTGCTAACAAGCTTCCGACATTTGTTTTTGGACAAAATATGGTATTCGTAGCTAGACGATAAAAAGTGGCACGGCTGCTGTTCAGACCAAATGGTACGCAGAAAAAAAAATGTCACCAAGAAATTAACATTGAAATAAAGTTTAAGCCATTGTTCTTTTTTCTCAAACGAAGTGCCTGAAACAGTTTAAATTCGGGCATATATTGAAGATTGAAAACTTTTTGGGTGAGAAACGTTTGAAGACACAAAAATCTTGAAATTCAAAATAGTTTTGTGTAGGAGAAGCAGTCACTTTGTTAATTTTCTAAATTGGTAAGAAGAAAATTTTATAAAATGGCAAACCCCTCTTTCAAAATAGCTGTATAAAACTCTAAAGACTAACGAGCAATAATGAATTGCTGCTGCCTACTCGGACTAGGTATTCAAGAGCACGGAAAAGAGAGGAGGTTACGAGACCTGTGATTCCACTGTAACTTTGTAATATATGCTTTCATAATGGGTATGACTATTCATATACTTGAGTTTATTTGCCACCATTTTTTTTTTTGTAAAAAAACTGGTTGTATTTGTAAAAATTTGTTGAATGTTTGCAGTTGTATAGATGATGCCCATGTTGTTTGAAATGTGGTTAAGCTTGTTGAGGCATCTAAAAGAGCTTTCAGTGCAAATGTCTTGACTTGAGGTGTGTAGTGGTTTTTGTGAACATTATGACAATTAAAAATTGACAATGAAAACATTTTATGTCTCACGTCTTGGTGACATTGCATCATGCAGCTACTTAATTACACGGCACTCTGCATTAACGCATCAAGTTGACCTTTCCCAGCTTTTGTAGAATTGCAAATGTTCAGTTCTATAGTCTGCAGACGACAGTCGAGTAATACTTAGTCGAGCACGCTTTTCCACAAGTGACCATCGGCTAATGCTTAGTAATATCCCGAGTCATCACCCACCCCCCTGCCGCCTGAACTTAAAGAAAAAAGTGGGTAGGGCCATGTCTCGGTGGATAAGCAAAGTTTAGAAAAATGCCAATTTTTCTGCATATATCCAGTGCGGCTGCACAAGTACATTAAACTCAAATTAGTTTTGTTGTAAATGCTCATGAAAGAATGTTTTACTATCCCAAAGTTCATTGCTTGCATATGTGCGATGAACATTGCTGATCGGCATACGAGTGTGGACATTCGTTCCGTGAAAGAATTTCTAACACCACCATGTTCTCTTTGTTAGCAAAAAAAAAATGACCGCATCTCCACGTGGTGAATGATGTTGATTGGGGCAAAGCTCTGGTGGTGCTGATGATACTGATTTTATTGTTCCTAGGTAGTGCTGATGGTGCTGATTTTTTTATTGCTCATAAGTAGTGCTGAGTTCCGGGTTGCGTTTCGACTTCATTATTACTGCTTTATGGTCGGTGAAAAATGCAGAGCAAGTGGTTCTCCTAGCGGATCAGCTTGGATCCGCTAGAAGCCGTGGGAACGCATCTCCACCGCTTAAGTCAACGGTCCATGTCAGAAAGAGAATGTGTGGTATGGATCGTGGTTATATACGCAGTTGAGCATTTGACCACAGCACCCTCTCGTCTATAAACGTTGAGCCAATGCATGCGGAGTTTAACACAATTATATATGCATTTGACCGCAGCACCCTCTCCTGTATAGGCGTTGAGCGGCTACATGCAACATTGGAGTGTAGTGTAGTGGTTAAGACGTCTGCCTCGTAAGCGAGCGATCCCAAGTTCAAACCCCCGTGCGGGCGTACGTTTTTTTTTTTAAAGTGGGCTGATCCTAGAGGCAGTGCAATCTATGTGAGCACGGACGTCGGACAAAGCTAGACCCTAAGGAGCTTCGCCCCTAAAACGTTCTATGCCACCACCACGGGAGTCTTGACGAGCCCTGCCCCACATCGGGTGGTGTGCATTAAAATTTCCTAAGATTAAAAAAGGCTTTGGGAGTTGGCCCACAAGTTCTTGCAGGTCATGTAAATGCACTGGAAGGTTTGGTAGAAGGTAAAGCGAAACAATAGTAATTAGGCAGTCAAGCAGAACACAAACCGCTACCGCCTCTAAGGGGGTTGCGAGAGGGACAGGAGCACAGGCAATACCACTCTGCACAACCACAGCTAATCCACCAAAAGAGGTGTTGCAAGAAACACGGTCTTTTCTAAGAACCTGGTGTCGCCGTAGTACCTGTGTGTGAGTTTCATTAAGATGAGTCTCCTGTAAACAGATGGCAACAGGCTGGGGCTCATCGAGAAAAAGTTGACATCATCAATATTACGAAAAAGACCGCGGCAGTTCCCCTGCTTACTACTTAGGTATATTTTTAACCATTTGGAAGAAAATAAGTTCAACATAAAAATTATATGAAAAAGCTATGTTCCTTAGGGTTTAAAATCTATTTTCACATGCGGTGCACTTTGTTTTTTTAGGGGAGTCTTTCTGCTTCCGACTAGAGTCACCGGAGGCAGAGGGGGTGGACTCTGATCTCGAGAGGAGAGCCTCCTCATCAGATCTCGGCCCAACCTCGTCCATGGGCTTGTCTGCAGCTGCCGGCAGCTGGCTCTTGGAGGTCAACTGCCTTGGCACTTCCCCAGGCTTCCTCTGGGGAGCAGAGGTGTGGGGTGGGAGGCCCCGGCCCCGAGAGGTCGAAGCAGCTGGTTAAGCAGGAGACGTCGTCTCCTGCTCTCGGGTAGATGCTGGCAAAGCAGCATTCACCTTGCAGTCCGGAGGCGGTGCCATTGGTGCCGCTCCCGGGGGTTTGGAGGGGGACCGTGATTGGAGATGCAGGTTGTCTGGGGACGTCTGCGTTCCCATCAAAAGCACTGGCCGCGCTGGTCCCCTGCGCACGGCCTCGACATAAGAGCCTTTTGATACAAAGGCAAAAGCGCTTCTTAGCCTCAGTGTAGTTGATGTTTTCAGCAACTTTTAATGGAAGGACTTCTTTCTCGCCTTTCCACACAGGACAAGATCGGGAGTATGCCGGGTGGTTGCCACTGCAGTCCGCACAATGAGGCCCATTATCGCACGCATCTGTGACATGCTCCTTGCTGGAGCACTTTGCACAAGTGTCCCTTCCTCGACAGTTCCGTGACCCATGATCGAACCGCTGGCACTTAAAGCACCGTTGAGGGTTCGGCACATAAGGTCGAACCCGGCACTGAAGGTAGCCTGCCTTTACAGTGTGTGGCAGAGTGGTAGAATCGAAAGTCAAAATGATGTTTTGTCTTCCGTTCCACACCATCCCAGCGGATAGTGATTCGTCGTGCAGCTATAACTCCTTGACTAGAGAGGCCCTCAATTATCTCTGGCTCAGGTGAGTCAAGCAAGTCATCCTCAGAAATGACCCCTTAAACACTGTTCAGTTTGCGGTGAGGAATGACGCTTACTTTGTAGTCGGAGACAAGGCTGAGTTTTAGACGGGCATCACTTTGCTGCTTTGTGTCGACCTCCACAAGGAGATCATCGGATCCCATCTTCTTAGCACTGTAATTGGCGCCAATAACACCCTCAAGAACTTTGGAGACCAGAAAGGTGGAAAGTTTGCCAAGTGGTTTGTCACCTTCCGAGTGCATCACAAGAAACTTCGGAAATTTCAGCAATTCAAAAGATTGTTTCATTGTGTTGAGTGCTTTGGTGCGGACCCTTTTGGGGGAGCCGATCAAAAGGTTTAAGTTTGGAACCCATATGAACGGGGAGGGTTTTCGGGAACTGTGGTGCACCACCCACCACCAAGGGAATAGGTAACGCTTCATAACAAGAAAGGCTTGGCTGAAAACATTCCCCTATCAGTGTTGCCCAGTCTGTATAATTAAGTGTGGTTCTGGACAAGTTGTCTCTCGTCGCCCAAGGTTAGCCCATGCCGCCAAAGGAGTTGAAAAAAAAAAAAAAGTCTCTGCAATTGCTTTTTTCTTTTTTTGTCATTTCATAAAGAAGAAAGAGAAGAGTGAAAAGAAGGAGAAGACAAGGGTGAAAGGAGGGAGGGTATAGTAGAAGTGGAAACTGACTGAATCATCCTGGTTGGGCCAAGCCAGGACACCCGTCTATGGGAAGCGGGGGCCGAAGTGGTGTATTGCCTCCCCCGAGGGGCCCCGAGGAGTCCAAACCTACCCCGGGCTCGGCTCAACCACCAGGATGCCCTTTTCCCCAGACAGGGGAAAGCCACGCACAGCCAGACGTGGGCGGGCGAACCCGCATGGCTCATGGTCCGTGGAGACGCCACTCTCCAAACACCTGCTTTCACAGGTGCCCCCTGTGGGGGTATTAGCAGGCATCCAATTTTATCGCTTAGATTAGTGCCTGAAAGGACCACTCTCTACCACACCAGTTGTTCCAATGACAGCCTGGGGACACTGGCTAAAGGTTGATCTTCTGAACTACTAAAGTGATCGGAATGAAATTTGCAGGGGAGATTTAACTTCGGATGTAGGTGTACTGTGCAAACTTTTAGTTCTCTAGGGCAACTTTACATGCCTGCATAAGATGTGTCACACTTCATTAAGAAATCTATGATATGCAAATGAAGCTATTAAGCATAATTTTAACTGCTTGAATATAAACTGGGGGATGTGGAAATTTAGGCTATCTAGTTTTTGTAACTCAAATGTAAATATTTCAGGAAGAGTGATTACCTCAAAACATGAGATGCATATCTGTCCTATGTCAATTTTCGTAAACATAGCTTTTTCTCAATGAGGACTTTAACTTAAAACAAAATAAAGTAGACAGCCCGATTCTTCAGTAAATTTCAGTTCAGAAACATCTTGATTGTGGTATCAGAATAATTTTTCTTTCAAACAAAAGATTCCTTCGTATGAAATTTGCAGCAAAGAAAGGAACTGAGAAAACTTTAATTTGTTACTGCCTTACAATGTGTTGAAAATATTTTATATCAACGTAACTATTTGGCGCATGGTTACGAAATTTAGTGTAAGGGTGTATAATTAGTTTCTAAAATTGAAAACCTCCAAATTGAAAAATTAATTTTTTCAAAAAATTTATGAAACTTAGGCTCATGTTCCCCCTTAAAGAAAAACCGGCGATCACTCGTTCGCTCAACAGCATCACGCTATGCACAGTCATGCAACATGTTAACAGTACCAGTTGCAAAGCACCTTGTTTCATTTCCGCAGACTCACTTGCTAAGCCACAAGGTTAACAGTCCCATAGGCTTCACCTGATAGGCAAATTCAATACTCAATCGCTACTCCTTCCAACAAACAAAACCTTTAGACGCTCCTTCTGACTTGTGAACAGGACAGTTGAAGTGGAGCTATCACATGGGTTTGGTGAGCACTTAAAATGTACAGTGCTCGTCAAACTTAATCAGAGCACACTAACTGCACATTTTCTCGTGGAAACATTATCCTGGAGGTAGGTGAACAACGGCCCTGTGACAGCGTGCTACATCCAACATCCTTGGCTAAGTCACAGAGCCATTGCTTGGCTGTCACAGCGCTTCCATAATGAAAGAAAGAGTTTTTGTGTTTCTTGTAAGTTGGGGGAGAACTGTACCTGAAAAAACACAAGTGCTCAAAATGCACCACACACATATGCTGCAATTTTGTAAACTGATTGCAGATTTTGTGCAATCAGCTTCAGTGCACAAAAGCACTCTCGCAGGGACAGCAGAAGTGGCACAGGGTAAGCACCTTCCGAATAAATAATGCCCATTTTCCTTTATTTCCAAAAATAAAATCTGAAATACCTGACTAATAAAACAAACACTGTGCGAAAGAGCCTTAGCAGAACAAAAAGGCGCGCTTGCAAGCAACTAAAAGTGACACTCTTCCGCCACCACGGGCCATCTGCTGGTTGTGTGCCATTACCCAAGTACAGATTTCAAGCCCATCTAGAAAGATTGCTGTTTCAAATGGCTGGTTCACTCCACTGAGTCTTGTTACCTACATCGAGACAGGCCTTAGGAAACAATCAAAATATAATATTGCACGCAACTCTCACTTTAAAAAAATGTCTCGAGAAAGCCGTGCGAAAATAAATACCAAAAAGCCTCTGGAACTTAAAATAATGGCTTCACAACCTCGCTACGAAGAAAACTAACAATTGCGTGGCTGTTAACAACCACTTTTAAGTTGCTAGTTACGTATAAAAAGTAAGCTCAGGGAGAACATCTCAAATGCGGTCGAAATCCCAAGCCTGCAAGAAAAGTTCATGCTTTCCACTTTGCACCTGCGCTTGCAAGCTTACAAATAAACCAGTTTCAAGAAGGCCGACCGATAAAACGTATCCGTACACAATGTCTGTCAATCACGATTACAGAATAATAATAAACGGGAGCTGAGTGACACCTCAAGTAATTATATGCCAGTTTCAAGGTTTAAAACAGGTGTCCTAAAAATAATTGACAGGGTTTTTTTCACCGCATAAATAGATGACGTATCGCCGAACGCTCACTCCTCGCCCAAATGTAGCGCTAGCAGTCGAAACCAGATGCCAATGTTCCAGAAGTAACCGGTTATCTTATTCAAAAGTTATTGGTGATTTTCTGAGATTTTTAATGGAAAAATGGTGGCCGACGGAGCTCTCGAATACATAAAGCTGAATGGTGCCAGTCACCGAAAACGGGCCCCATTTTCCCATTGAAAGTTTCAGAAAATCGCATAACTTTTAAATTGGATAACGGTTAGTACCCACACTTTGGCATGTGGTCTAGACCGCCAGAGCCACGTTTGCACACACAATGATTTTTCGGCCATGTTTAGTTCATTTCTGCAATAAAAATGCACTAGTCTTTTTTTTTCTTCTTTTTTTTTTTTTGGGGGGGGGGGGGGGGACATGTTGTATATGTAGCAATGTATATAGTAGAATTGTGTAGAATAGGCAGATCAACTCCTAATCTTTCAAAGAAGTCTGGAAGTTCAATGCAGACAAGTGCTACGATGGCAGTCTCTTGAGAGGGCAGCACATAGGCATGCATGACACGCTTTGAAATCAGATTCCAACAAAGAGTAGGAATGTTTCTGGGGAAAAGTTGCTCTTTTCACCGCAACAATCACTGCTGTCGTAAAACATGGGACAATAACGTCTGGTATGAGATTAGTAATGTGCGTCCTTTGACTGACAGCTGAGCGTAGACGTAATACCCATAGACAGTCGACAGAGACGACAGCTCGGTTATCACAGAGGAAGGCTTGTGGAGCCTACGAGGAAAGTACCGCAGACACACCCATGGGTTGCTCGACGCAATGGCTGCGTCGTAGCGTCATCGTGGCACAGACGATAATCCCTCCTTTTTATACCCTCGGATAGTAACGTTCATAACCAGCGAACATATAGCCGTAGTTGTAATGTACAACGGGCACCCATGCTTATAGTTATAACAGCTCTTCTTAGCTGTTGCAAGAACTGCGAGAGTGCACTTAAATTAACATTCGCTCATCCAGAACTTAGCAGAGCTACACAATTGCCTCGACCCTTTCGCACGCGCCTGGAAACTTTCGTAACTCCGTTCAACTCGGCGACTCTCAGCTTTAAAGTAAAAAATTATTGACTGAATAACTCGCGCGACACAACTGCACAAACTTACACGAGAGGATTAATTGATAGTAAATCCATTTATGAAGGCAGACGCTTCCTGCGACACTGAACACGCTAGTTTCAGCGGACTACGGCTGCTCGTTCATACGCAATGCCATCCGCCGGTGTGTGGTGGACTTTGGGTAGGTACCGCCCTTACAGCTAAGGACTTGATTGGCAGTCTCTTCCGATCAAAGCACGGTTTTCTAGATACATGGAATGAAAAAGTCCCACAACTCGCACAGAGAAGGCCTTGCAATATCGCTTGCACCCCGACTCAAGCGGTCCACGTGACTGCAGTGCGTACGTAAGAGTTCAAAAGACGCACATTTCACATTCCTGCCCGGCACCATTTAAACCGACCAGCGGGACGTGCCATTTTCAGGTGCCGTCATCAGACGTCGTGGTCGGTGACCTTGACCGTGCTCAGGGTAACGTCGTACTGGTCCAACTTGGCCGCCACGTTGCGCGCGTGGTTGTACAGGAACACACCCGCAGTGACCACAAGTGTGCCCAGGCCACTCAGGAAGGTCACGTTGTTCCCGAAGACCAGGATGGACAGCCAGATCATCAGTGCCCGCTTGACCGTGTTGGCCACACTGAAACAAATTGGACGGCCTCTTGGACTACTGCTAGTGTGCTTCGCCAACTCGGAATAATTTCTAAAAAAATGCGCTTGAAATAAAGAAACAATTCTTTTGAGATAATGTTCGGTCTTAAGCAATATTTACGAATTACCTAAAATCCTCTAATGACCTTTCGAAATTTTTGCCTCACATTCTAATTAAAGATTTGTTGCCCGTCGCCAAAACATGCCAAAGCTATTGTTAGAATTCAAACAACTAAATTCTGCTCCCTGCTATTTTCTGGCAAATTTTAAATTTTAAATGTGAGAAGACTGAAGGACCAAAATCAACATAAAATTATAGGGCGGTCCATTAAAGGATCCTTAGGGAATGTGTCAGCATGACCCTTGGGAAACACATCACACGCTTACCCCTTCACTTTTCTGTTTTGGCTCTCTCTTTTGCGTCCTCTATGTTTTGCTGCCCCTTTGTGGCCTTGTTACGGGGTCAGTGTTAGTGTTTAAGAAAGGGAGACATGTGTGGCATTTCCCAGGGGTCATGTTAACGCATTCCCTAAGGATCTACCAATGGGTCTTCCTTTAATTCTTTTTGCCGCCTACTTGGACCAGTGCTAGTATTTGGTTCACATTCCATTTTGTAGCACAAACTGAGGCACCCGCACACCTGCAAGCGACGTCGGCCTCCGCAGCAGGAGCGGGTAGCGAGTCGTCGCAAGCCGATCTGACAGCAACACGTTATCATTACATAGTCATAGAAAAAGTGCACCACACCCTGATGTCTCCTCAGGCTTTTGGCGCTTTTTTCTCCTTAGTTTCGGTACGGCAAACCCTAGACAGCCCAACTTCGTCAGCGTGGAAAAGAATTTAGTTTTCCCATTTCTAACATGCTACTGCATATTTGGATGATGGGCAAACAAAACTAATTGGAATGTGCCAGATAACACAAATATACAAAAGGTTAATTGGTGAATTATATGTAATTAGGTAGCTAATTATCGCTTTTCGCTCGTGCACTGACGTTCACCAGATTCAACAATGTTATGCCTCAGAAATATTTTTCCCGTTTCAAGTGTCCTTTTTTGCAATTGAGGGGCTACGTGCAATAATGGTACAAGTACAGTTGTACCATTCGAGATATTTACGGTCCCAGATGTTACACTTATACGTGTGGCACTCCACTTTTGGTGGTTCGGCTTAGATACTCTAAGTTCAAACGCTATATTGACATTGACATGCGCAGAGAAAATTATTGAGCAACTTCTTGGCGAGCTCTGCATTTGCACTTGTACCGCTATTGCACATAGCCCCTTAATTACTCCCAGTTGGTGAAACACCTTGTATAATAGAAGGGAATGCAATAAAATATTGTCACGAATGACAACTGATGAGGCGGTGATAACTGAAGAAACTAAACGTTTAATGGGGCGAACTTGTGCCCAAAACAAAAAGGGTAAAAAAAAACAGCAGAGCGTCGCGGGCGTCGACGTCGGAGAAACCGCAGGATCGAGCGCTGGGGTGAGACTGACCCAGGATCGCCATGCGGAGCCCCTTAAGTACACGCGTTGGCTTCGCAGGAGAAGGGTGAACTTCCGACCACTCCTATGACACCCCAAGCTGCCGTCACCGACAACGTAAAAAAGACAATGCTCCTGCAAACAGCTACAGTGTGGAGGAAGCTAAGGTACCAAACAGCGTGTATTGTCAAGAGTTCTTTTCGATGGCAGAAGCCAACTACCGTTCATAACTGAAAAAAAGATCCAAAAAACTCGGGTGCCTACATCTGGGTCGTGAGAGGCTAACAGTGGGCACATTTGGTGACCATAAAATCGAAAGAATGATCAGTCAAGTTTTGGTGACTCTTGAAAACAGAAACAACGGTCAAATATTTAAGCTAAAAGCTCTTAAAGTTGACCAGATTGGTGGACAGCGACTACCTTATCTATCCAAGGAAGTTACTCAAATGCTTGAAGCAAAGGGAGCATAATAGCAGACCTCTACAGTGAATACTGTACAGTTGGAATCAACATCCTAGTTGAAAGTGATCATTACCGGGATTTTGTTACCGGAAAAATTTGCAAACTGCAAGGGAAACTTCAAGCTTTCGAGGCTAGCCTTGGCTGGACGGTACAATGGAACTTTCGTCAACGGTCGTCCAGTGCTCCCAGGTGCTTGTTCTCAAAACAATAGCTGAAGAGAAAGCATCAGAAGTGCTACACAAGTTCTGGGGCCTAAAAACGATGGGTGTAACTAACAAGAAGTTAGGGCGCAAACAAGCTGGTGAAGTTTTTCATTTTAGACAAAACCCCGAGACTGGAGGGGGAAACCCCCAGTCTCGGGGTTTTGTCTAAAAGGGTGTAATTAAACAGTTTGAGATGGAAATTGATTCAGTGAGGAAGGTGTTCCAGGAAACTGTCAGAAAACCTGGTCAGTGATACAAAGTTTTACTGCCATGGAAAGACAACTCGAATTTAGGTGACAACCGACAGATTGCTGAAAAACGGCTTCAACTGTTAACGAAGGGGCTCATCCGCTATGCGGAACTGATGAAGATGTACAATACGACAGACGTACAGCGACACCGATATCGCAGAACCAGCATCCCATAAACACACTGGATGGATCTACAACATGCCTCAACAACCAGTTCATTGGAAAAGCAACACCACATTCAGCCTGAAACCCAAGCAGCTGAGCGGAAGTACCAGTCGGGACAGATCCATCTCGCCGGTGGCATGCCATTCCTTGAACTCTTCAAATTGGGACGTCATGGCCCCGTGCCGTATGCCGTCACGGACCATAATGCAGCCCGCCATGATGCTCGTGGTGCAGCAACGCATTGTGTCCAGGTCCATGACACGTGATCCAACGTCAATGAGTTGTAGCCACGGTATGTGCAGCATCCATCCATCCGCCATAACTGTGTCTTCGTCGATGCGCCATCCCGGCAGCAATCCGCCGCGGTGCTCTCGTTCACGGAGAATTTTTCGCCGCAACAAGTCCGGTCACGCAGAGCGCCCGGACGCGGTTCGGAAGGGGCCTGGACCTTGACGAGGACCGGTGCGAGGACCAGGAACAAAATCGAGACCAACGGGACCGCAGTGGAAGTCATGCTCGGGACTGTGACAATCGGCCCAGTCGAAACTTCTAGTCCCCTGAAACTGCGGATTTGAAAGAATCGGGGCCATGACATTGGCATTGAGCGCAAATATGTTTGGCACTTCGAGGACGGCATTGAAGTGGACGTTGACGACCATAAGTACAGGTATTAGCGTGGCTGTTGTCGCAGCATGGACGTCGTTGCCGTCAAGCGGCAAGATGACTACGTTTGTGTGCACCTGTACCAAGACTTCAAGCGGCCTCCAGGTCGGAGCCTACACCATCCAGCTTGAAGACCTCGAAGACATCTTTGTGCTCAAGAGGACTAGCAAGCGCAGAAAGAAGAAACCACCTCCACCCCCGCCTTCCACAGGTATCTTTTGCTACCTGGCGAGTCTGGTCGCAGGTAAGGCTTGTCCGCCCGCCGAGCCGTGCTCCGAAGAGTCTGAATATGATTTCGAGTATGAACTAAAGAAACTCATTTGCGAGCAGCTAGAGCACTAGTGCAAGCGGATCAACCTCAAGCAGCTCCTGCAGGAAGTGAAAAAGGAAGAGCCCAAATCAGAACCAAATTCGGGACCGCCCAAGAAAGAGGAGACCAAACCAGTCAAGACATGAAGGAGCTGCTTAAGGTCGACGTTCTAGTCATATTCGTCTTTGGTGAGCCCGGGTCCGGCAAGGGCACCCAGTGCACGAAGATTGTGAAGTATGACTTCATGCATATCTTATTCAAAGACTTTCTCCCAGAGGAGGTGCAGGCAGGCTCGGACAGGGGCAAGGAGATCAACGAGATCCTGAAGAGAGGGCAGCTGGTGCCTCTGGATGTCGTTCTTCAGTTATGCAAGACAAGGTAAGTTCTTGCGAACTAAGACTTCAAAACGGAACTACAGCGAAGCGGCCTGCAAAGCTGGTGTACTGCCTGGAATCCTCGGAGTGCAATAAAACAGACCACCAACCGTGTTTTCCGGGGGGGGGGCAGATGTTGGAACTGTTTGGCTCGCACAACAGAATAGGGGATGCTACGAAAAAAAAAGAAGAGAATGAGGATGATGGCGCTCCGGGTTCGGAACAATGTCTTTCGATGTACCAACATTGCTTAGTATAAACCTGTTTGTTTTTACTTTAGACTGAAGCGTCAACCTTTAATGAAGAAGAACCGTCACATATATTGGTTGGTTGAACTCGCATAATAGTTGATTGGCTGATTGGACTCACCTATGGGTTGACTCATCTATAAGTTGATTGACAGAGCTCACCTGTGGGTGACTGGCGAGATGTAGCCGAGCAGGATGTACTCGGTGAAGCTCTGGCAGTGGAAGGAGATGCCCCCCAGTGCCAGGGTGCCCAAGCAGGACCAGCTGGTGTGCTCCCAGACCTTGCGGAAGTCCACCAGGGCCAGGGTGGCCGGCACCAGGATGAACACCGAGCTCAGGCTCGTGTAGCACTGCAGCTCCACCGGCCTAACCGCAGAAGGGAAAGGACGAGAACGGCTGCGACACACTGTGGCGCACAAGTGTCACCCTATGTGAGAAGCTGCAGCAGACCTAGGAAAGCCATAAGGATGCGTAGCTAGCTCAGACAAGGGCCAACAACTTTAGTCACTATGTTCTATTCGCGGCTCTAAATGAGCAAGATATTTTCTTTCCTTTTAGATGCATTAGCATTTATTGGCCTGGTACACGCGGCCGTCTTTCGTTTGGACTGGTTTTGTGAGGCTGCAGTGCACCTCCCACCGTGCTCTTTCCCTCTGGTCGTTTGCTCGTTACGTCCACTTCTTGTCTTACAAGAGGGAATGAGTCTTCCGGCACGCTTCCAATGACATGCCGCGGGAGAGGAGGGGATCGAGCGGTTGTGGTACAACGTAAAACCGAGGTGCAGCGACGACGTCGTTTGCGCGAGACCGCCCAAGAGAAGCAGACTGACTCTCCGGAGCCGGACACAACATTATGCGGACCATTGCGAGGTTGGAATTCCCATCCTTCGCTACGTCGGATCCCCTGCGCTAAATGCTAACGCATTTTGTCGACAATCAGCGTAGCAACAGCAGCAATTTCGGCATCATTTTTTTTATTGGAGGAATAAAGGATAGTAAGAGACAACCTGTAAACCAAGTTATCACCTTTTTTAATGACCTAACAGACAACATTTTGCTGCCATGACCTAACCATAAACTTTAAAGCAACTTGGAAAAAGAAGTTTAATTGAAAAAAGAAACTTGTTAGCGTCAATTGCCAATTGTTGTTGTACAGTTTTTATTTTGGGGAGTTTTGGAGCGAACCAGTGCTGCCAGGTTGAGTAATGGAAGCCATTTCTTGGGTTAGGCCGACCCTATTATGTACTCTCATTCCAAGCCATTCCATGGATTTATTATTATAACAATTATTTTTATTATTTATTGGTTCCATTTTTGTTATTATAGCAGTCAATCTTGTTTTATTAACTATGATTATTATTTGATTATGATATTCTTTTACTATTATACTAACAGTTATTCTTTTTTTACTTATTACTATTAATTAACTATTTTATTATTAGAAGAGTTGTTCTTTTAATCATCATCATCATCATTATTATTAGAAATAACCTGCTTTCTCAGAGACACTCAGTCATACTCAATGGCCTCAGTCATTACTAATGTTTTCAGCGAAGTTGCAAACTTTTCTATGAGAAGCAACACACTGCCCCAGCATGTTAAAACTCTACTTCCAAATTATCATTTCGCTTTTCGAGAAGAACCTATTCTACGGCAGAAGCAGCTTGTGGGGGCCCCTTCTGGGCGACATGCGGCGGCGACCGTACCCACAATTGCGGGGAGCCACCGATAATCACTCTCTCTCCATCGTCAACACCCCTTGCACCACAGCCACATCATCTATTGCTCCCTCTCTCGCTCCCTGTTGCCACTAAGGGGCTCTGCGCGGTTCACCTAGATGTCTGCACGGCGATCGCTCAGTTCTTCCCCTCCCCAATGTCGCCAGATGACGCGATTCGCTCTCCGTGCAAAGAGCGGGAATGGCAAGCGCGCCACGCTGAGCGGAGTTAAATGGAGGGCCGTAGCGGCACGAGAACAGCCAAGGATGCAGGACCCCGACTGTCATGCACGAGAGGCAGCGTGCAAGTGCCTTTCACACATCCAAAGCACACCCCCAACAACTATTCTACTAAATACAAAACAATTACCCTAAAGTGCATCAACTAAATAAAATTTTCTTTCAACGATGGAACAGCTGCCACTGTCGATTGCAGTACACTTTGCACGGTCATTACTTTTTCTTACTAGACCAGAAGCAAGCAACCTGCGGCCTGCGAGGTAGATTTGTGCGGCCCCCCACACGACGCCCGAAAAGCAGTCCTTCCTGCCGCTTCCTCACACAGACTCGAGGAGCAGGCGGTAATTTTGACCTTGAATGGGGTTAGACCGGAACAAGGAGCAGTTCCAATAGACCCTTTGCAAAACGTACAGCGCCACGACGGCACGAAACTCTGCGAACCCTCTGTACAGGTCACGCGCTTTCTCATTGTGCCTCTGCGACTGCACGCGCGTCCCGGCAGCTACCGCCAGCAGCCGTTGCAGCCATCCGCCGAGTCGTTCGTTGTTGGCGGTGTACCGCATCTGTGGCAGCGTAAAGGCATCGCGACAGGTGAACTTATTTCAATACGTTAATCGTCGTAAATTACCTTCACAGATTGAAGTGTCACCGAATCCATTTAGTTTGTACCGCAACCATGGCAGGCTTCGAGGACAAAGCGTTAATGCAGCAGACGACAAAGCTGGTACAAAGGAGAGGGATGAGAAAGGGGCAGCCATTAACTCGTCGCTCGCCCGACTCGGATGCTCAAAAGTCGTGGCCGTGGTAACCTGCGCTTGCTCGCGTATGCCACGTGATCACGTGGTAGCGAGAGGAGGGGCGTACCGAAGACTCCCATTATTCGTCGCGTGGCGCGTGCGGGCTTTTCGGATTTTTGCAAAGGGTCTATTGGCATTATCTGGCATTCCCATACTTGGGCAGAGAACGTCTTTACTGCTGCCGTTTCTTTGCCCGTCGCTCCCCCTCCCTTTGCGAGACACCGTCCGACTCTCTCCGAATCGGCTTTGCGACAGCTCGGTCCACAGCCGCAAAGGGGGCGTCGACCCCCTTTGCGGGTCGACGTGCCCCTTGCTCAGCGTTGGTCTAGACCAATGCTACAACCCTCCAAAACAGAAAAGAGTGTATATTCTGCCAGTTATGTTCAGCCACATACTTGCCACTGAACAAAACAAGTATGTTCAAAACACCTAGAAATCGCCTCACTCAGCACGAGCAGCAAACTGTGCTCATCAAAACCATTCTGGGTCAAGTTTGTGGTGGACGAGTCACGTTCCTCCCCAAAGGGCAATTCCCCTCAAAATTTTATGTGGCAAAAGAAACATTTAAACCGGTTATTCCAAATATATTGAACGCGAATTTGCTTTGAACTTATCGACGAGGGGTAGGTTCGCCTTTTAGATACCAAACAGCAACACTGGTTCAACGACGAAGAGGAGCAACCTTACCCGTTGCCATAATCATATCGTACGGCAAATACGTTGACTATTTTTTTTGCAGTACCGTCGAAGCTAGCGTAGATTCTACGGTGCCACAGCCCCCCACTGCCACGAGAGCGTGCTTCTTTGTCTTCCACCTCGTTTGCACGCGCTCTTGTGCAAAAGAGGTGCCGAACGAACCCACACACTCGCGCAAGTGGCTCTGACAGCCCTGCGGAAGCTATGCTAGCATCGGCAAGGTAGCTCAAAAAGCTGACATCAAGTCTTGTTACAAGGCATGCCAACTGCTCCAAGGAAAGAGACACTACAGCGTCAACTTACAGGAGTTTGACTTTTTCGTCGCTCAGCAGACGCTTGGAGAAGACATTCTGGAAACTGAAAAATACCAGTCACTAACACACCTAGAGGAAGTTGAAAGTTTAGATAGTCTCACAAATGCAATGTACACTGCGCGACACCATTAGTGCAAACGTGAATCGGTGCTTCTTCACATTTTACTTGAAAGGAGCATTGGCGGGCTTAGATTAGTGCCCTAAATGAGTCTTTTGCAGCAAACTATTAATTTTGATGACAGCTTTTTAATTCTTAGACAGAAAAAAACTGGTGATTGCTCGTTCGTGCCAACAGGGTCACACTCCGTACAAAAAGTGTAAAAAAAGAGGGCGGGTGGTCGAAGGGCATACATGAGAAGGTCTCCCAGGACGACCTTGCAACGGTGATCTAGGGAATACTAAGTCTTAAAAAAACGTGCGCCCCGCCACCATTATGAGGATTTTGCAAAGATCTGTCTGCTTTCCAGCGTGGTCCAAAAGACTCGACCCCGAAGCGTGTGCATTGGAAGGCGTTGGCTGTACTGCGTGCGTGCAACACGTCAAAGGATCTGCCGTCCTGGCTTATTGGCGGCAAAGGCACATACAGTAAATGCGCCTTTCCCAGTCTTTTTCCGACCTCCCTACGACGGTGGTCCGTGTGCCAGAGCTTAGGCCTCTGGTCTACACCAGCTCTTTAGCTAACATCTGCAAACACAAAGTTTGGTCAGGGTCATACCCATCACCAACTAGAAAAAGTAAAACCGTACGGGACAAAGACCATCTAATACAAAACCCTGCAGCCAGGCAAGCGGGAAAAGGGAAAGTAAATGACCCGAGTCCCTGACGTTGTCAGAGAGAGAATTTCTGGAAATTCGAGAAGAAATCATAATAAGCAGACACAAGAGAGGCCTTCTGTGTAAAATGGAAATATAGTGTTGCCCCTTCTCCCTTTCTTTCTCAGAGCTGCTGATAACTATGACTCCTCCCCTCTTCCCTTCCTTGGCTGGCACGGCTGCTGCAACTTATCTGTTGAATACATCCTAAATCTAACTTCTTGTGTTTGTCCTATGTAGTTCTATTCTTTCTAGGTGAGTTAATAAATCGTTCACTTCTGTCCAACACGTTTTAAATCTCCTCCAACAAGGAAACATTCCCCCAGGATCATTACCCCGGCGGTCGTGCGTCGTCAAAGCATAATACTAGATGTAAAAAATTCGGGTCAAGCTGCTTCAGTACGGTGCTGGAATGACAGCATCCAGCACCATGTTTTTCAGTATAAAGTCGCCTTCCAAGATTATTGTGTATATGAAGAATAGATGAGAATATTTCTTTACTGCTTAACTCAGAACTAAAGCATATTGCTGTTGTTGGTTCAAAGCTTCGTTGGAGAGCACCAACCAAGATATGGCCCTTCACCTTTTCTTATGAGGGTTAACACCAACTAAATTCAGCCATAATAATATTTATTTTGTGCGAATGATTAAGATGCCACTGTCTAGCATTCCAATTGTCTACCTGGAGGAAAACCTACATTTCTAGCATAGCCAGCTACGTGTTTATAGAAACGCACAGTAGCTATCGATATATAAACAAGGAAAATAAAAGGAAAAATCTATTGATTTCCCAGATGGCAAAATATACTCTTTTCCTTCCACCACTTAGTACTTTTTCTGGTCAGCTCAAGCTCTTAATCACACTGAAAACATCCATATCCATATTAAAACACTCATTTACAAGTGCAGGATAAATCAATCGAGGTTCCTCTGGCCTCGACAAAGGAGCTCTTAAAATGTGCGCTCCAGTCTCGCAAGTTATTTTAACCAACCTTTTTTGAGCAGACCGTCATAGACTCGAATGACCTCCGACATAGTAGTTGTAAATAAGCTCATCTTTCTTCCAAAGTGCTCTAATTTCTCATTCATACAAATGAATCAACACATGTTCATACCTATGTGTTCTTGCACTTGTTTCCGCATTCCTGTTTTTGTTAGACACCAGCACCTCTGAGCCAGCTGTTTGGTGTGTTGAATCTTCAACATCTGTCCCCCCCCCTTATCTGATGCCACCGAATAATGTCTTCAACACTTCCGCAATCCAGTTTTCTTTTCTTTATTTTTTTTTTTTTTTTTAAAGATGCATTTTTTAAGTTGGATTGGTTTCCAAAGGGATAGTACAAAAATTAAGTCAATGCGCAAGATTTTTCTTTTATTATCAAATGGCAGCACTTGCAGTGCTTGGAAGCTGTTCAGATTGAAAAGCATTGAATGAAAATATGTAGGCCGAAAAAGTGGCACCTTTCAGCCATTTGGTTTCATTACGGAGCGTCTGCTTTTACAACCTTCCGGCTGTCTGAGATTCCGAGCTAGAGGTACCTTACACAATTATTCCGTAGGATGAGCTTAATTCAATTTCGACAAGCATTGCAAGTCTGAATTGAAAAAAATTCGAAAGACACCTAAGACTGCTTACGTGTAGGAGTGCTTACACATTCCTAGACGCAGCGCATTCCCACAAACAGCATGCCATGTCTTCCTTTTTCACACTCCGGCGGTGACATCACGCTCCTGCGCAGGCGCAGCAAACCCCGCCGGCTTCACGATGGCTTCCGTGACAAAGCATCTGCGTTGCTGTGCTTTGCTTTGTGTTTTATTTATGAGGCGCGTGCTTGATGACGTATTGGTGTGACCATCTTTCGGGCACAACACCGCCGCTTTCTCGCGTAATGGGACAACTCAGGCTTTCGCCTTAAAAGCCACCATGGTCACTACTGCCAGAGCTGCCGACATGTGACCATCTCGAGCGAATCGTGTGCAGAGGGGGTCCAATTTTGGAACTATAACTAACCCCAGCAAGAGGAAACACGATCCAAACACAGACATGACAGATGTCTTGTGGTGTGCATGTTATAAACAGGAATTTTCAAGCGTGTAATCCGTACGTGAATGGCAACGAGGACAGTCAACGAATAAACGATGTCTCACCACTCGGACAAGTTGGTGCACAGGGAGGCCATAAAGCCGGGCAGATTGAAGCTCAGTTCATTGGCACTGCACAGGGCCAGGCCCCCCATGACGGGAAACAGGCTCATGTTGACCAGCCACGTGGTCGTCTCGCCAAGCACCAGGCGCGAGATGACCACCGTGAAGACCGGCGCAGAACTTTTGACCGTTTCGGCGAACGACACTGGCACGTACCACAGTGCCACCAGTCCCAGGAACACGGTGCTGAACCTGTGCCTCGGCAAAGGGAGCACACCAGTGACAGTTTAAAGAGAGAGGTAGAATTTACTGATTTCTGTTTCAGTTAATGCTCCTAATTGCAGCTATTCCTCTGCAGAAAAATTGCCGCACTGTTTGTAATTGAGGCCTGAATGTCACTTTTCCACGGAGCAAGCACATTGGAGCCCCTAGCGACTAAGTTGACATCTAAATCCATGGAAACAACATCAATTACTCGTGCTTCTGACGCAGCGGGCGGCTGAAGTTGCCGAACGCCGTGTCAGCAGTTGACCGAGGCTTGTGTTCCATCAGTGAAGCACAACCTGCACATGAATTCCAGTTCAACGCTGATGCAGCACTCGTGGCAAAGCTGCGTCCTGCACTCTATCAAAGAAGATGACGTAATGAATCCAGCCTTGTGCTGCGTAAACAGTGAGCTCTACGGAGAACTATGGAAAAAAAGCTGTTGCGTAGTCAGGCCTAGAAGCTGTTTGTTTCCAAACACATGATGGGAAGCGAATTCTAAGCATAGGAAATGTGTTCGTGGCACTGTAGTGAAGGCGATGTTTTCCAGTAAGAAAATTACCTCCGCATTGTCGATACGTGTGCTATGTGAGAAAGTACACTAAGAAATTCATTTATAAACAGTGCAGCAATTATGCGAGTAAATAAGGTAGAATTATACAAGAGGCACTGACATATTATTTTATTATAAATGTCCTCTCAGTCTCAAGTGGTGGTATTAAATTTACATTTTTTTTTCACGGACTATAGCAGACGAGCGGAATGGACTCCAAGAATGCAAAGCTTCGTTTCACATTTTTATACTCTGTCCTCCTCGTCATGACTTACAGTCTCCACTTTTCCAATTGCTACTACTATCTACTCCGCAAAGACTACATGCAGAGACAAATAATATCACAGATGACAAATGATGAGCGACTACACAAATGCCCTAATATGGAACAGAGAGTACCCCAGATGACAAATCCGAGGTGTGCCACGAACGGCACCAAAGGGGTCTATTGCCTACCTGAGGGAACCAACCAGAATGACATTGTGCATCTTTGGAGAGTTCTCTGCGTGCAGTTTTCTCCTGGTGGTTGCCCGCATCTGTACGTAGCCGCAGATAAAGCAAGTCAGCATCTGCACTGCACCTGAAACCAGCAGGCTCTTGTCAAATGTGGCAGAGAGGAAAAAAGAAAGTAAAATACTGTTTTCAATCCCCATTGGGTGGGAAAGTCAGCACCTACATGTGAGACCAACATGAGACAAAAATGAGACCAGCATCCTTGCTGTGGTCAACGGCAGATCGATGAAGACAACCGAGTTAGTGAGGGGTGTGCCTGCAGCGCCATCCCGTAATAGACACACTGAGCAGGCGACCGCATCGTACGCCTTCGACCAAGTCTGCTCACTGTGCATATCGGGAGATGGCGCCAACCCTCGCTCACTCGGTTGTCTGCATCCTTGTCGACCCTGGCAAGGATGTTGTTCTCACTTTCCGCAGGAGTGGAGCTTCACCTCGAAATTTCACGAGGTAAAATGTGCCACTAAAAAACACCTTTCACGAAAATTTGGGATAGCTACAAACAGGTACCAATTTGTTTTGGCCGGTTGTATAGCAAGCTTGGGGATTAAAAACACCCTATATGTGCTTCATATTAGGCAATTCCTAGATCAATATCTTCAAAAACGTCAGTGCCACCAGGGAAATTAATTTACACTCAGTTCCTATTCTTTTACTTCATTTAATCCATTGCGCTCACTGATGCTGTTATAGGCTCCATCTCAAGCCTCTCTTTCAGACTTTTATTGTTACCAATGCTAAGCATGTCACATCAGTCATTTACAGCAGATGATTGCATATCAAAGATCTGAGCCGATGTTGAATATTGCATCTTTTAGGAATCGCATCTTCCGTAGGTAGTCCAGTGCTGTGAAACAACAAGGGGCTCGGACCAAGGTTCGAAACAGCTAGAATATTGCACAAGCGTTTGCTCAAGTAAAACAGCTTCTGTAGCGACTTTCATGAACGTGTGAGGCGTCACATTCACTGTCAGAGCAAAGGTTAAGGCCTCAGACATGGGATATGGGTACGAACATCCAAAATAAAATAGAGCATATTAATATTATGTTAGTAACAACGAATACTGAAACAAAATGTGGGTCAACAATGTTTTTTAATTCAAATGGTTTTTTCGGTCAAGCAAAGAAATTTTTCATTTCTCCCAATAGTTTTTACATCATCAAAAAAAGAAGTGGCACTCATGCAAAACAGGTTTATAGCCAACTGCTACGGACAATCTGCACCTGCAATCTAGCTTTTCAGGTGGAATACAGGTGCTACAGCATTTTGCCTGACATTTTAAACATATATTTCCGAAATAATAGTGAGTGGGTAGTCGAGTTGGTGATAATGAATCATAATGTAACATCTGAGACTGTGGTGCAGAAAAGGCATTCGAGTCGAAGAAAAAGACAACAGTAGGAAAATGTCTCAAACGCAGCTAAAATAATTAATTAATGCGAAAGCATTAACTGTTTCATGAAGCAAGCTGACGTCATCAGTTTGAAGCGCGAAAGTGACTCCTAGTTTCCGCCGCGATCCCAATAGGAGCGATTCGCCTTTAGTTCCATTGACTGGCGCGCATTGATGGGGCTCCCATTGGCCACTGCGCCATGGTGTGATGATGTGAATGAGACATAGAAGAAAAGGAAAACAACATTGCAGATCTGACCAACGTTACTAGAGCAAGCTCAGTTTCGCAGCTCCCTATTCTCGCCTGTGGAGGCGAGTGGCCTAGGTGGCGGTCATGAGAACTAGCAACACTGCAGTCGGATCTTATTTCCCTGTCTCGCGCGTCGTCTGCTACCACCACGTTGAGAGCTTCCTTTTCTTTTTCTTTTCTTCCTTTTTTTTTTTTACTTCCATGTGTATAATAGCAAAAAACGATGATGAAGATGAAGTGTAATACACCACAAAGCTAAGAGTCACGCACTGTAAGAGTTTTCTTTGAGTGTTTGAAATTTATTTTTGTGTGCATCTGTTTCCTCACGCTGTGAAGTGTTAGTATGAATCAACAACTGACCCAAGCTCAAGTATTGCTATTCAAACTTGGCGGACTAGACAATCCGGAAGCAAGGCTCGACTGCAGAGCTGCTAGTTCTCGTGACCGCCACTGAGCCCACGTCACAGGCGGAGCTGCGAAACTGAGCTTGCTCTAGTAACGTTGGATGTGACGGCTCAGGCAAGCTCGTGCAGTGTGGTTTTGGGGCTAGACATAGAAGGAACGAACACAGCTCAACGCCGTGGGCCCCAGCAGCCAAGTAATGTCCCGGACGGACGTCCGAGGCCCCTGGGGGCACCAACCAGGCTTTCCATTCCACCGTGTCGGAATCCCGAGTCCGTACTTCTTACCATCCCACATGTCCTCCGAGATCCCGAAGTGCGCGCGCGCGCTAGTACGCAGCAGATGACAAAGGGAGCGGACGAGTGGCTTGCATGCTTTCCCATTCACAACTCATAAGAAATGCTTAGATGTACCTCGAGCTTTTTTTTCTCGCTCCTTGTCTACACCCGATGCTGACGTCACTGCCCACCTACACAGACAAACTGTCCATGTACCTGTGTACCCAAAGAGTGTATCTGTGAGAAGGTCAGTGACGTCAACATCGGGTGTATATACTAAGGAGGAAGAAAAATAAATAATTTTAGTTGCGTTTGAGACGCTGCTGTTGTCTTTTTCTTTGATTTGAAAGTTTCTTTTCCACACCCCACTCCCAAGTGTTCCACTATGATTACTACATATATTTTGTTTGTTTTTAGCACCTACATAATGTTTCGTAATGATGGATGAAAATGTGAAACTGAAATTTGAGTACCGAAACATCCTGAGAGATGACCTTCCCCAAAAGATGACCCACTCCTATTTTTGGCATAATCTGCTTTTTTCTTTTTTTCCAGCCAACGAAAGCTAGCCCACTTCTACTAATTGCAGGGCCCTGGCCGATGATGACCTTGGCAGTAATGTTGTTACTTAGCCACGGCAAGAGATCAGTGAACATTGCTGATTGGAAAGGACGTTCGTCTTTGGTTCATCGCCCCTCCCTGTGATCACGAGTTTCACAGGTCACAAAAAAATCTAAAACTAGCACTTTTTTTTATTTTTTTTTATTGAATTTTGAAAGTTAGTTTATTCCTTATTTTCTCCCGATTTGCTTTCGATTTTAGGTGGCCTACCTCTTGGGATATTACGATAGGCTTACTAGGATGAAAGAAGCGGAGAAACAATGGACCTCTAGTATTGTGACATCTTCGAAGATTTGCCATTTCTAGCTAGAGGAGCAGAATATTGTGAGCTCGAGGGATCGCATTTTTCGATAGACCTTTTCCACATACCGACGGCACCAGGCGGTGGCTGCACGAACTAAAAATCGAGGAGGAAGTGGCCTGCGCTACCAATCAATAATGGGAGCTACACTACCAGTTTCTTCGCTCTCTGAGTTGCGGTGCTTGCCCAACGCGACACATCTGTGGCGTCCACCCAAACGTCGTGTTTTTCTTTCCGTCCACTTTCTTTTTTTGTGTAACACAATCATATATATGCTGCAATTGCGTGTTCTACTCACTGATCCACAGCCTCCTTCCGAATTTCCTAGATTTTCCGCGCCGACTTCCGCTGCATGGCATCGAGCGAACGCGCGTGCGCAGAACGCTTCTCGGAAAAGGTTCATAGTAACTGATCACTCGCCCTGCACCGGGTGACAAAATGGCAGCACCCACAAAGCAATTGGGAAATAGGGCATTGACCCTGAACCTCACTTAGTGACTAAAGTAGAAGTTTGGGCTAGTTGGTATTTCATGATTAAAGATTAAAACAGCGCAAGGACACGGACAAGAACAATCTGCTTTTTTCTTTTTTTCCAGCCAACAAGAACAAGAAGGTAGACAAACAAGGCGCTGTCCTTGTTTGTCGACCTTCTTGTTCTTGTCCGTGTCCTTGCGCTGTTTTAATCTTTACTCACTTAGTGGCTCTGCTGCCTGGAAGGCATCTCGTAACGCTGTGTCTAACGCCCCAGCCATGCACCCAAGGCGGTATCAAAGTGTTAATGAACGACCTCACTAAAGCCGTCGTGCCATTAGATGTCGTGATGCCGGCAGTTGGGCATACAAGTTCCGGCAAAAAGCAGGAACAAACAGGAGTGCCGCTGTCGGCGCTGCAACTCCCTGCTGCCAAAGCTTCCGCAGACTGTCGAGCTGGACATCGACCGAAAGAGGCCATATCCACCTCCGCGATGCCACGTGGATCGCGGCAGGCACGACAAGTGCGCCACACCGTTGGGAGGAGATCGGGGGACTGCTTTTGAGGTAAACGGTCGGGGACGCAAGCACGGTAGCTCTATCGAAGGCCTCACCCAGCACCACGGGGTCCCCGCTCTGATAGGTCAGGATGCACTTGTTGAGCATGAGCGTCGTGAAGCTGAACAAGTACCAGACGACGAGCACGACCACGGCGTGCCCGCTGTATAGGCCGCTCCGCTTCTCCAGGCTCCCGCTCGGGAGGCTCTTGAGCTCCACCTCGCGGGAGAACGGTCCGTAGAACGGGTGCATGCCCTTGGCATTGAGGTCCTTGGAGCCCCTGTGGTTCACCCGCTCCGTGTAAGGCCAGCCCTTGAGGACCTCATTGTCCTCGGCGAGTTCTCCCGGCGGCTGGGCAGCCATCGGGACGGGATCTGCGGCCGGAGGAAACGGGCAAGGCTTTTGCGGAAGGGTCGAAACAAGCGGCCTCAAAAATACGCAGAATTTCGTTGCAGCGTGCAAAGAAGCGACAGTGATAGTTGTTACTGCGTGTGGCAACACTCTCTTTTATACGTATTCACACCTTATTTATTTGATTACACGCAACACAGCCTTATGGTCACTGAAAGATGTAGAATGGGAAACACACTGCACATGAGTCAACGTCCCCTACCGTTACGTGGGGGAGGTTGCTTTACGTACGATAAAACACACAGACTAAGTTCTACAGTGAGGAAAGTATAGCGGGGCCCCCTGGCAACCGTAGAAGACGCCGCTGTCAAATCAAGAGTCAAGTGCGTGCAGCTTGCCTGACGTCATGGGGCAGTGCAAGCGGAAGTGCACGTGAAACAGAGTTTTCTGCTTGGCACAACGCCGACACCGTGAATGTAGCTGGGAAGTCCCTACAGCAGCTATTAAAATAAAATGCCCCGTGACCTAAGCGGCAAACAGTAAAGCCCTAGTCCCATTTGAGCGACAAACAGCAACGACCGACACGGACCAACTTCGAGCATGCGCAGCATTCAAACGAAGGTATCTTTGACAGGCTTGATATCACTCGTGCTTACTTCACAAGCACCGAGAAACTGCCTGCCAAAGATACCTTTGCATGAACGCTGCAGGTGCTTGAAGTTGGTCACGTCAGTTGTTGCCGTTTGTTGCCTAAGTGGGGCATAAAGGTTGGAGGAAATAAGCAAGAAAGGAACAAGCTGTAAAGAGATTTTAAAACGCTTAGGTTTTTTTTTTGTTTTACTTTAAATAGACTTGGGTGATTTGACTTGTTCAACTTGGCAGACCGTCCCGTCTCACATCTTGTATACGGAGCGCAGAAAGAAAGACGGAGAAATAACTGTGCTTCAGCTTGCCTTTAGATTACTGTACTCCAGAGAACATTACTAAAAAAATTTATTTCCTACGTGGCTCGGTATAAGAAGACCTGAAAACAGATTTTGCGAGTACTTTTTAAAGGGGCGATGCAACGATTTTCGGACTTTGGCCAATTAACTGCGGAAATTAATTTGTCAAAGAACAGAAAACCGTATTTTCTTGTGAGCGCTAGTTTTTATTTTAAGAAATAAAGCAAATCGAAGGTCAAAGTGCCTCTCAGCTCTCCACATCGCCTTTCGAGTGACGTACTCTACGAGATCACGTGGTTTCCCATTGGGTTCTTTGTTCAGAGACCCCAGCTCCCCCCTCCGCCATTGTCGACTTTTAAAGGATTTGCATCGCCGAAGGTCGGGGCAGGCGATCGACACAAAAGACGGTTTGCCACGGGGCTGACGGCGAGTGTAGCAGCGGAGAGGGACAGGTTTTCGTTGACTTCCGCGTATCCCCCAGAGACGCCGTCACCATAGTTCCCGTAACCGCCACACGTGGCCGCAGATCGGCAAATAATTTGTTTTTCTGTTTCTGATTACTCAGCGGCATAGCAGTTTTTCGGGGCAAGGTGACGCATTTTTGGTCACTTGTGCTTGGATAAACAACATAAAAAGTACAAACTGCCAATTCTTTCAACATTAAAATCCTTGCACCACCTCTTAAATTGTTTCACTCATTGCATCTTTTTTTTTTTGTGCTATATTTTGCATCTAGTGCTGACATAACAGACTCATTTATCTATTTAACTTACATATCCATCAATTACGCCTATAATAAATTAAACAATGTGCAGTCAAAACTATCTAAAGTATTTTTTTTTTTAAGCTTTTAACAGTTTATGCTACGTTTCATACTTAGTGTACAACGCTGTCAACGATGTTAACCCACGTGGCCCGCTTGTGACCGCCGCGACAGCCGGCCGTTCACTAAAGTGTTTTCAATGAAAAGTGCTTTTGCTAAGGGCTGTGGCTAGGGACCCGTCCAGGTGGAACTATAACTGCTGCTAAAGTCCCGTCCAGATGGAAGAGAAACACGTCCCGTTCAGATGAAAGAGAATCGCGCCACTGAAGCTCCGTCCAGCATGCACGAGAGTTTATCCCTACGCTCCTCCCCTGACCCATTTCTGGTGTAACAACTGGCAATGTCCCTATGCTATCTTTAATGTAGTCTTCTTCAAGTCAAATGCACTTGTCCCAACTATCCTACAACATTTCTACTGCTTCCTAGAAAAACGTTTGTCCCAACCTCTGCAAACTACAAATTTCTAGCCTCTATTACCTCAAATACTGAGTTAAAATCGTGTCCCACGCAATTTTTTTTTTTTTTTTTATAAGGGTTGGTAGCTATTGGGAGCCAGATACAGTGAATGCGGTGGATACCATTCCCAAAGCTTTATTTGGGAATAGCAACCATTGAAATGCAAGACGAGAGGCTGGGTGCATTGTCGTACTGAAGAAGCATTCCGTCTCAACTTTCCACGTGTTTCTCCTTGATTGCAGCGCATAATTGAGTGATTAGGCTCTCATAATAAAAACCTGGTAGTGTGTCTCCACCTCGCAAATAATCGCGAGAAAAAACAGCCTTGTTATCGCGACCTTGTTATCGTTACTCTAGCTTGGACGAAAAGGAACAATATTCTCTACTGGGCCCTCGGAACGGAACCAGCGGGACTTCCGTCCGGACAGAACTCTACTGGGCCTGCTATCGTTCCGTCGGGACGGAACTCTAGACACTCCATTCGCTAAAACGCCATTTGACGAAGTCCAAGGCACTGGCGCGAGCGCCTGGCGCTTCATCTATTCTTTTGCTTACGCGACGACACGTGTAAATGATCTGCGAGAACAAACCCCATGCTCGCACCTGAAGCCTCGACAATGTTGTACGAGACAGGGAGGAAAAAAAAAAGGGCATACCCAACGAAGTTGTTGACGATTCGGTCATTTTGAGAGCCCAATAAACGCACAACTGTCGCCCGGTGTTTTTTTTGTTGTTTTTTTCGCGTCAGACTGGCAGTTGTTGATGAAATATTCCATGCAAAATAAAAACTAAACAAAAAGCTGCAAAGGCGCAGCTGCGCCCGATAATGAAATTTGCGCTTGCACTCGTGGGAAATTTACCATGAATCGCAGTGTTAGGCAGGAAAGCCGACGTACACCCTTTTCCTCCGTTTTTGCGCTTTTACGAGGACACCTCGACAAATATATGGGACGCCTCTGGACGTCTATGGTCCCTCAAGTTTTCCGGTACAGGTTTGCCGATTTAGTTATGTGAAATATTTTGACACGTCGAACAAACCCGCTGTTAACCATACATTGTTGTTGTGGCATTTAACTCCTCCTGCACGCCGCCATTGCTAACGCAGGTTGTCAACGCACATATTGCTTTCGTCTGATTGAAGTCAAATCTGTATCTTAACGCAATCTAAAAAACAAAACAAGTTAGTTATTTGCATAAAATTACTACATTAAAGCATTTTGAACATTTTTAAAGAATTATTTTTTTTAAAGTTCTGTTATTTAACAGCATGAGGCAATTATAAGTAGCCAACAATAGCCAGTCGCAGCCAACAACGTCACATTGAAAATGGTTTCCCTGCAGTACGCCGGAAGAGAGCTACGAGTTACGTTAATGAACAACGACGCCAAACTTGCCTTCAGCAACCTTCACGAGACAATCTAAAGGTAATTTCGCTGTTTCGTTTTTAATCTCGATTTTCTAACCGCTGTGGGGTGCACTACATTCTTTCGCGCACCCTATGCGCCCAAGTTGAGATCGACTCCTCCAAACGTCGCCTTTGGACCCTTTGGACCAATTTGAACTCGCAAAACTGCCATCGCTTTTGATTCGCTAAAGCGTCGTAGCGTACCGAAGGAGAACATCAGTCACTGTTCCTTCCCTTTTACATCGCCCACGTGCACAGCGGAGCTTACCACGCCTTTATCCCAGCATAACATAAACATGATGTCGTGACCCATGGGTGATTCCGTCCAGCGATCAAAGATCACGTAACGTTACCGGTCCATGTCGCGTCGGCAGAAACCATCCTCATGTACTTTTATTTATTTATTTTTTTAACCTTCAGGAGGTTTAGAAATTTCAAAACCCAAACAGAAGCATGTGGGAGCAGACCAGTAGGGCAGTTGGGCGTTGTCTATGTTAACGATCAAGCGAATCAAGCGGTGGTTAGAACTTAGAAGCCTTAATTGCTTGGTCTAGACATACATCCTCGCCGCGAGGGACGGGTTATTCAATTACAACACAAGCTACAAAAGTTGCTTTGCGCGCTACACTGCAATTACGGGTCGTTATGTAGCCACGTCGTGGAGGTTATCGCGAATTTCTAGGGGGTTTTATTGTTTGTTTTTATTTCGCGTTTGTTTTGGTTGTGTAGAGTGCTTGGAGATTTTTGTGTCTCGCTAACTGGAGGCGTGTTTTCCCCGTAATCAGTATAGAGGTTATTCCGTTTTTCTTGGCGTATTCCGCACATTTAATCGTTACTTTCTCGTAGCGGAATACATCGATAAGGCACATGATTCTCTGTACACTGAAGCTTGGTTGTTTTTTTTTTTTTTTTTTTTTTTTTTTCTGTTTGTAAAGCGAGCTAAGGTGCCAGGTACTTGCATTGTTTTTTTCCCGTGTTTTTCTACCTCCTTCAGTGCATCTTTGTTAGATAGTTGAAAAATATATATCGGTCGAGGTCGTAAACGTTTCGTGTCGACATCTGCGTTCTCCAGGTGTGCCCGGCAGCGCGCGCGCGTTTACTTATTTATTTATTTAGTTTTTTCTCTTTTTTTTAAGTATATATCTTTAAAACGTTGCTGCCAGCTCGCACCAAATAATAGTAACACTTCGTGATTTTTTATTATTTTTTTTTTTACGCTTTATTTGTTGCAGCTTTTCTTTTGCCTGTCCCACGGACCCATAGCGCGGACCACAACTTATAAGGCTCATGAAATTCCGACAGCACATTGTCGAAAGCAACACCTGGCAGCATCGAAATATCGACGGGCGATTTCGAAACAATTCTAAACTTAGTCCCGCGACCGCCGATGAAAGCGCGGCGGCCTGGTTTGGCTTTCCCCCAATGCATCATGTAAAGCGGGAAAGCCACCTTTACAAATAACGAGCACGTTTTTGTTTTTAATTCTTTTTTCTTTTGTGCATGGTGTGCATGGATGACGAAGCCTGGATATTTTATTGTTTTTGTAGGCACTGTGACGACACACCGCTGGTAAGGAACAAGAACAAAAACATGAGTTCCACACCTTTAGAAAGGCTGAGCGTAGAGGAGAGAGAAGGCATTAAGGTGTTCATGTAAGTTATTGGGGTCGTATATGATTTTTGTTTTTTTCATTGATAAATGGTTAAATTTACATTGCAGTCTTCAGTACTTGATTGATTTTAGAAAAAGTGTAATTCTGCAGACAGTGGCAGTAATCAGGGTTGCAGAACTTACTCAAAATATGTTTCATATACAGTGACAGAGACACGTGTCAGATTGTACTTAGCCTATGTTCTGGATACTTTTTAAATCGGGTGTGCCTACACAGGCAGTACCGATTGAGGATCATAATTTTTTCATTTTTTTCATTTCCTCACCTTAAAAAATGTCTGGATACTTCTCTCAAAAATGTACCTGGATTCTCGTTATTTCTACTTGAAAGCTGCATTCCTTTTCTACACAATTATCTTTTTTACGAGTAAAAAAAAGGTGACAGCGCTGTTTGTGTGGCTCCTAGAAAGAGTTCCAATGAACTCTGAGATCCTTCCTGATATTTGAGAAATATAGTAAGACAAGCCTTTGCTTTCGGTGTGATGTAACCAGCGCTACTGTGAGCACCCCAGCAAAAGGAACGCGTTATGAATTCAAGTCGGATCGGTTGTTCTGGGTTGACAGTAGGAATTGCTGCGTCTTTAAGTGCTGCAATAGTCGTTCTGTCTCGTCGAGACAAAGTTTCATAGTTTTTCAACTCGCCGTTGTTTTGTGGGCCAAAGATAACGATAAACTAGCGCCTTACGACGCCAGAAATTTGGTCTCCCGATCGTGTCTGCCACTGTGTCGGCACAGCTGACATATCCTACACTGTCGCTTTGCACACTGTGTCTTTTTCTTAGGTGTCAGTAATGCCTAGACATGTTAGCGCGAATGGAACAAACTGAAATATTATCCTACACTTGCGGGTATGCAGTGCCCATTTCGTCGGAGGGACGCCCTCCAAAGACGTTTTGTCACCGTTTTTCTGGACCAGTATGGCTGCAGTCTGTACATCTTGAAAAAAGATTCGGACGACACAAAGTGAGAAATGTGAATCTAAAGAGGAAAAGTACAATGAAACTTGGAATCACTGAACAATCGACGTTTGAGTATGGCAGTTTAGGCGTGCTTTCTTTTTTGATCAGCCTCCTTTCAAACGTGGAAATTGTCTTTCTTCACATATGGGGTTGCCGGTAGGCATTAGATGACTGCGAAACAAAATGCGGGAATAGTTTTTGATAAAAAAAAAAAGTGAGATAACTAGTAGCCTCAATCAAAGATGAAAAAAAAAAATCATAATTATAAAAAAATCGAATAAACTCACCTTTCTTTATTATTTAAGTCATATATATATATATATATATATATATATATATATATATATATATAATTTCACTGAAAATGTAAATATATCGCAAACTCTAGTTCACTTCAAAACTTTTTTTCTGATATAAATCAGGCCATATTAGAACAAAAGTAACTTCGTTTGTTTGGTTATTGAGAAAGCTTGTTTTCCTGTAATACTTCAGCAAAACGAAATAAGAATAAGTCCTTCCAGATCCTCCCACCAAATTGTTTTCTATCAGGTTTGTGCATGCGGTCCCACTGTTGCCATTGCTTCTGAGGCCAGTTCCAAGCAAAGTGGTAAAAGTATCTCAGCTGCACCAAAAACTATAAGGAAAAAAATATATATATGTTCAGTGACATGGAATTACGGCTTTTGAACTCGAGCACAGTTTGGAAGTTGTTTAACGACAGTAACTTTTTCTTCCAATATTAAAGTGTGCAAGGCGGTAACATAATCTCATAAAAAAAAAAGCGGCAGACTCGTGTAAGACATATATGCTGACCGATGTAAGATCAACCTTCCATGTACAATTAAATCTGTCTTTGCCTGTCTCACTCACTCTCTTTGTCTGTCTGTGTGCGTATGCACGCACGGATACAAGTTTTCTTTGTTTCCTCTGTATTTTCATATGCTTGCGTAAGATGCCACGTAATTGACCAAAGAACTGGAAGATAGAAACAAAGCTCTGCTCCCCGATTAGTGCAGAAACCACCGCATTTTGCTCCTGTTTAGCCTGTTACACATTTTTATTTGCTTGATGTTTTTCTTTTATTAAAAACAAAATAATTTTATATGGACAGTGTCAAATTACAGGCAAAAAATAATCAAAATGTAATTATGATATTAGTTTTGTGGTAAAGAATTTTTGTGACAAAGGCGTTCTTGCAGAAAATCATCCTAATGAAATCGGTGTGGCTTAAGTCACGATATAAATCGTCTTGATTTTTATTTTCCACCTTCAATTCGGTGGATTCGTGGTAAGTTAATTTCAGAATATTAGTGCCTCATCGATTTTGTGAAAAAGTGCAGTGGTTGCATTTTCTAGGAGCCTGGAATGTTTCTCATCGGAAGCCAGCGTGCAGTGTGATTAATAGAAGATGTTGCGTTTATTTCCTGGGATATATAAGAAGCGGAGCTAGGTGACCTTTTTTAGTTCTTCGCCAGTCCTGTTTTTTCTCGAAGAACCAAAGTTCCATCCGTGCGCGCTTTCACCGCCACAGCTTCGCGCACAAAAGGGCGCCCCAGGCTTCTGAACACGTCTCACCGTCGAATGCCAGCTCCTCTGCTAGAGGCACTACAGTAAACTTTCGTTAATTCAACCTCGATGGGACCTTGAAGTTTGGTTGAATTATCCGAATGATCGAATTAAAAAAAGGATAGAAAAACGGTTAAAATTAAACTTCCTTCTATTGTTCAAAGTAATCACAGATGGTCTGCTGCCGTCTGCGCTTAAAACGCGTGTCCAAAAGCATGCTCCGGAGAGCAGCATAACTAAACGTCACGTCCTCAAAAAATTGCGTACAAAGAAAAAAAAAAAAACGAACAAAGTAAGTTTTACGAGCCAACTCTGGCGCCGAGTAGCCAGACCATCAGCAATAAAGAAAAATAACATAAAAAAAAAGAAAAGAGAACCCCCGCTTTCTGACGTGCAAGGTGGACCGCACACGATGCTACAGAAAAGCGCTTTGAGAGCACTCGCTGAGAAAGCTTTACGAGCCGACTTTACACCAAAAAACCAAACCGTCGGCGACTGGAAAAAAAATAAAATAATAATAACAAAAAAAAAAAAAAAATGACCGCATCTTTACGTGGTGAATGATGTTGATTGGGGCGAAGCTCTGGTGGTGCTGATGATACTGGTTTTATTGTACATAGGTAGTGCTGATGTTGCTGATTTTTTTTTTATTGCTCATAGGTAGTGCTGAGTTCCGGGTTGCATTTCAACTTCATTATTACTGCTTTATGGTCGGTGAAATGCAGAGCCAGTGGTTCTTCTAGCGGATCGGCTTGGATCCGCTAGAAGCCGTGGGAACGCATCTCCACCGCTTAAGTCAACGGTCCATGTCAGAAAGAGAATGTGTAGTATGGAACATGGTTATATACGCATTTGAGCATTTGACCGCAGCGCCCTCTCGTCTATAAACGTTGAGCCAATGCATGCAAAGTTTAACGCGATTATATACGCATTTGACCGCAGCGCCCTCTCCTGTGTAGACGTTGAGCAGCTACATGCAACATTTCATCCATGACAGAAACCCCAGCTCTTGAGTTACTACCACATCTCAGAGCCCCCTACTCGTCCCGCAGTCGTGGCCGAGTGGTTAAGGCGATGGACTAGAAATCTATTGGGGTCTCCCCGCACAGGTTCGAATCCTGTCGACTGCGCAAACATTTTTTCTTTTTATGTAAGCACGGATGGATGGACGGACAATGCTAGACCCTAAGGAACTTCACCCCTAAAAAGGAAAAGAGAATTCGCGCTTCTCGGCGCGCAAGATGAACTGCACACGATCCTACAAAAAAGCGCTTTGATAGCACGCGCTGTCTCCGCGCCAGACCACGTGCAATGTTCTCCGAGATACTCCCCGCCAGATTGGTTGCACTGACTCGTGTCATTTGCTACGGTCCATCTCAACGGCGCAGAGGAGCAGGCGCATACTTATGCACGTTCGGTTTTGCAGCAAAGGGCCCGTGTTTCGCCCTGCGTTGGTGGTTTTTCTGCCGTGGTGCCGTGCAATGAGAGCCCACGCGCATTAACTCGGGACGAATTATCCGATGCGGAGTCATCCCAAGTTTGAACTATCAAACTTATCCTCCCATAGAAATGTATAGGCGCTCGCCGGGACTTTTGAACACGATTCAATGAAATGAAAAGTCGAATTAATCGAGGTCAAACTAACGAAAGTTTACTGTACTTGCGTTTTTCAATGCGCCCACTATAGCTCCTGCACAGAGCGTGTAGTGCCAACCTCCTATTTCGTCTCAAGGCTTTTAACATTTAGAAGTAATGCCAGGTTGCTCTGAATTATTGCACCAAAGAGGACAATCCTCTTTTTCGTTGGTGCCACTGAAACCGATCTAGCTTCCCAGGGAGGCTCGCATTTTCATAAGACGCATTATCCCATATATATCGTACCAGCAGCATTTCACTTGTTGCTCTCGTCGGGTTTGGGATGAGGCACCTCTGGTCCTTTGAAGTGCTCGTTTCATCTCACATTCGATTAAAGTTACTGTCTCCTCTCTAGTGTAAGTTTCTTTGCTCAGATATGGTAAGTTTATTTTTGTCTTATCCGTAGTTGGTGACAGGCTACAAATGCTGGAATGTGTTTGTTTTGCTTGTACATTTTTTTTCTTTCTCTCCTGCGTTGACCGCAAGGTTTGCAGTATTGTAAATAAATAAAACAAATTGAGTGGAAGCTTGTTGCCTTTCACCGTGCTTCGGCTGCGTGTGTGACCAAGTGTTACCAAAGGCAGAAAGCTCCAGATGGGTCACGCACTGAATTCTTAGCCCTAACTATAGTTTCATCTTCAAGAAACTCACGAGTTCGTTTTTATCCACTTTTTTTTTGCAGTACCCTATCAAAAACTATGACAAAACAGACGTCTACATATTTCACTGAGGACAAAGGAGTGCAACAAAAGCATTCTTTCAATTTTGTGATATCTGTATATGTGTACTTTTGAAGTGTAATAACTTGAGATACATACTAGTTTATACAGATTAGGCTCCATGTTTTAGATGTTTGTCTTTTAGTAAGATTTAGGAGGGTGTTTCTCAGTTTAATGTATTTGCATAAAATGTGTTGTTCTTTTTTGTTGGAGCACATTTTTGTCAAATTCCAAATTATCCAAAATTCCACATTTAGGAGTGTGTTTGTCAGGTTAATGTATTTGCATAAAATGTGGTTTTTTGTCGGAGCTTACTTTGTTAAATTCCAAATTATCCAAAATTCTGCATTTATTTTGTTATCTTTTCATTTCTCTGAAATTCACAATAAAAAGCAATAAATACTAAGAAGAAATAGGAGAAACACGAATGCGTAAAGACCCCAAAAGCTTCAGTTTTCTTTTCGTTTTTTTGCAGCTCACATCCCAGCATATTTCTCCCTTGCAGTTGCTGCCGCCACAAAAATGTGTCATGCGTGGCCACTGTTATACACGACCCCTTCTTGTAATAAGAGGCCCTAACGGTATGAACCCTGAAGCTGAGCAGTGGCTAGCACAAACATGTTTAAATTGGGCCCTGTCAAATGTTGACTGTAGGCACTCTTCTGTTAGCCATCCATAATTTGAAAGGAAATGAGGAATTTCTCCTCAAGGCACTTTAACCTTTTGGAACACAAAAGGGGACGCTCCTACCACATAAGCTCTGCCCAGATGTAAGGAAGCTGCTGTGTCAGTGGCCCTCGTAAACTCACTGGCAGCTGCTAAACACCATTCATAGACTCTTTCAAGCGCTCCATTCTGTAATGCCAAAAAATAGTGTAAATTTTTCCAGTCTTTTTTTTTTTTCTTTTGTCACAGTAATCCAAAATATTGGAGCTTTTTTGTTGAATTTGAGCAGAAATAAAATTTCGGGCTTTTGGAATTATCCGAACACACAAAATGCTAATTATTAAACAAAACAAAAAAAAAAAAAGTAAATTTTTTTAAAATTTTTTTTTAAAGATTTTAAGTGTCTGGAGTCTGATGTCTTGTGCAGGTAGGCAGCCTTTTTAGTTTTTTCTGATGATAACAAAGAAAGGTAATGTCAAAAGTTAAAGAGAGTCAAAAAACAACAATATTTTGCACAAAAAAAAATTTTTGAGTTTTATTGTGTTTTATTTTCGTATCTTACATGCAAAAAGAGTAAGTGCCAGTTATGATCGCAAAATTAGTCAAATATGCATTTAAAGACCTCTCCGCAACCCAGAACAGCATAAATTCGAGCCATTTTCGTTCGCATGGTTTTCCAAATTGTGACGCCGGCTGTCATTGCATTTACTCTTACAACTTCCATAAAGTTCCGAGAGAACGCCCGCCCCGAGATGTCGCTCATCTCGTTTTTCTGGCTTAATATCTGTAACATAAACATTCCAAAACATCGCCCACCCCCCGATTCTCGTTGGACGTCACGCGATGTCCGACGATGTCTCATCAACCGCGCAATTCGCCGTGCCGGCACATCTGACGAGCGACTTCATAGCGGGTTCCCGCTTTTCTGTCTACGATCTGCACGTGCGATATCAGCTCCCGTAACACGCGAGTTGTTCTCGCGTGTACGTTGCACCGTGAAATGCGGATCTGCTGCGTCTGCGATTTGCGGTATCTGCTCCCGTGACATAGTAAAGATTCCCGCGTTTTTGTCCGCGATCTGCGCTCACAATATTGGTTTCCATAACAGGCAAGTTTGTAGGGGGTTCCCGCCTGTTTATTGCACCCCTTCAGTCACGCAATATGTAAAACGTGTGAGGAAAATATAAAATTGGAGATATAAAAGCAAAAAAGCTATTATTTTACTAAAAAAAAATTAAAAACGACTTTGGTAGTTACAAAATTTAGATGGCGTCCTGATTTGTACACGTCGTGACTCTAAAGTATTAAATGCACTGACATATAGATAACACTTTATTTTGGACAAAACAGCAAAAAAATGGGCTCTTTCATTGGTTTCTGCTGATGATGGTGCCAGAGAATGCCGCCTTCTGTCTACTTTGCGTGAAACTCGAAAAAGCAGTCATTGGCAGCCATTAAGCACAGAAAAACTCCACATGTTCTGCAGCGAACACTCGACTTGGACTTGCAGCCTTCCTTTCGGCAGCGTTGGGGAAATGGTTCTGCGACATGTTGCGGCCAGTGTTTTTTTCCATCAAACCGCGCAGGGTCTGTTGGAAGTGGTTCGGCATTATGGGCACACTTGGGAGCCTTCTGTGCTGTTTCATGACTTGGCCGTCTCCACTTCTGTTCTGCTGGCTTGTTGTACGGGAGAAGACCGAGGGCAACGTCGGTCTGGAACTCAAGCACATCCTTCGTGCTCTTTCACAAGAGCCCTTCTGTTGTTGCATCTCTTAAGTGCTCCGGCCAGCAGTTTGCCAGTGCGAATGAGGCAAAATGCGAAGGTACTCTCACAGGCCATTTTGTCGTTTTTGCACGGAGGGGATACAGGGACATAACAAAATCCAGCTGGTCTATGCCTCCCATGTGCCGATTGTACTCCAAGATGGCTTGGGGGCATTCACTCTCGATATACTCCCTTCTTGAGGCACTCCATCTCTTTGCAAGTCCTGCATCTCCCACACCAACTTGTGTTGACGCCACATTCACGAGACTGTTGTCCTTCCACCTGACAAGCACTAGATCCCCTTCCTCGGTCACTTTGCCGTCCATGGTTCATCTCTCTTCATCTCCTTTTCCCCTTTCAGCTGACAGCCAAGCAGCCGGTTAGACCTGATGGTTCCTGTGGCTAGAATACTATTATTTTTCAGTTCTTTCAGAATGGGATCGGACATGAGATAATTATCAAAGAATTGCACTTGAGGTTCAGATGATGTGGGAGGTTCTCCACAAGCCTCATTACAACAGAGCCCCCGAGTTCCAGGTGGCAGTACACAGGATCAACGCCCTTGCCTTGGTATACTTCAAAGTCATATGTGCCATGCAATCACTGCTGCACTAAACAAAAGTCCTCACGCCAACAGGATTTGGCTTGCTTTGGATAACTTGCTAACTCTTCCTGTGAATGGCGCCATCTGCTCGTCGATGCTGCTGTGTTCGAGCACTTCGAGCTCCAGGCACTGACTCCTTACCACCTCCAAAAGAGGCTTCACCTTCCAGAATTTGTCTGTGCAACGCACTCCTAAGTTTGAAAAACCTGTTTACAGGCATTAAGTCCACAATAGCCGGGATCCGGGTGCCACCTTGCCAATACATAAGGACTCTTGGAAATTTTAGAATGCCCATGTACATCAGAATATTAAAGAAAAGTTTGATCTCATTGACTCAACAAGACAGCTCTGCTCCCGTATTTTGAAGAGCGGAGATGTTGGTGAATCTAGCCAGGCCTTCAAGAACAGAATCCGTGAAGTACCTCGCAGAGTACTCCAGGGACTCTAGCAGAGTTGAGCTGCCAAGGGGCTGATAAGAGCTGTCAGTGTCCACTGGGTTAAATGGTCTCGTGCACCAATTGACGGAAGGCTTCTTTTTCTTCCTAGGGGGTTCGTCGTCTTCTCCAGGATCATCCGGAACGCCAGTCTGGTCTCCAGAAGGCCCAGGCTCTTCCTCATTCTAAAAATTATTTTATTTTTATTACGAGCTCTAAAAACTCTGAAACGAGGAGTGATTTCTGTACCCGCCGCAGCAGCTGTGTCCCGGTCGATATTTTCATCATCTGAGAGCTCAGCATCCAATGCATCGCCATTTACAGTTGACCCGAAGAGTCATTGCGCTAATGCGTCGGGAACCTTCAGCGCCTTTAGTCTCTTTCTGGTGTGGTTTTCGACATCTATGAAAAAAATTACAGGTGTACGTTCATAGAGGCAGCACGGGTGCAGAGTTAAGTCTTCAGAAAGGCTGAACTCTGTGCTGAGCCAAAAGAAAAGTAGGGTTTTGTAAGTTTTGATTTAGGCAAGCTTTCACTTTAATATTTCCACACCACTACCTTGCCATACTTCAGTGGTAAATTACAGTGTCGGAGCTTGAGAAACTGATTTTCTTAGACTTATCTGAAGTGGGCCGGATCGATGTGACTCCCGCCATACTTTGACGCGCTTCGTTTGGCACCAGGCGCCAAACCCGTTTCTCATCGTGTTGGGACGCCTGCAGCATTTTGAGATGCCGTCATCGACGTCATGATCCTTAGATAAAAGCTTTGCTGGTCTGGAAACTTCGGCGGTTGCCACCCTAGTCAATTTTGTCACCACAAGGGGCGAAAATAAACAGAAGTAAAAAAAAAAAGTTAGAAGTCTGATAAAAATTAGTTTTTAAACATTTAGATATTTTTTTGTACGCAGCATTTTTCGCGGGATGTTTAAATTATTCCGATGTAATACGACCCTTCGGTCTGAAGTATGGATGGCGTTTCCGATGGTCCATCCGGCGACTTTTTTCATGGCGGCTCCTCCGAACCCACGTCCACCCGTTAGGCTCCTAACGTTGCCAGCGCACCTCTGGCACTTCCATTCGTCCCTAGGGAACACTTTCCCACAGTACGAGGAAAAAATCTCAGACCGGGTGCGCTCCGTTCCAGCCCGGGACCGACCGCAGCGGAGGCTATGAGCCATCAAAGCCCACTTAAGGCCTCGCAATTGTGATTTTGTGACCTCGGGGAACCAGTGATGGACGGGGAGTGCATCACGTGCCACGTTTGCGGAGCCGGATTGGCCGAGGTGCCTCTTAGCATCCGCTGCAGTCGCACGTAAGATGAAACATAGTCTAAGGGCCGTGCTGACCCCCGACGGCAGGTGCCGGGAGCCCGGGCGGGAGGGGGGTCCGAGGAGCGCCATGACGGACTACATCCGGGGCAAGAAGGCGTACACCAAGTGGGACACGGACACGGACAACGTGGACATGGACCTGTCCCCCGACGGGCCCCACCCGCGGGTCCAGGTGCTGCCCCCGTCGGGCTGGTTCTCGGGCACCAAGGGAAAGGTGCTGCAGGTGAGCTGCCGCCACCTCGCCGCTTCCTGCATTCGTTCATGGGTTGAAACAAACACCAAACTCGCAAAATACTCTTTTTTTTTTCTTGGAGCGCCTGGATAGAGTATGGTTGCGTGATGCCGAAGACAACCGCACTATCTAGCGGAAGGAAGCTGAGTTATCATCGAAGCTATTGTGTGAACAAGCTGCATTTCAACGGCTGTTTCATATTTGTCGTTACTTTCCACTTGGCCGACCAACGATTGCCAAGTCAACGCCGATAGCGGTAGTGCTCGGTGAAACAAAATAAAAAACACTTATTGTCTTTTATTCCGCAAATTATAACAGGGTGTTTGCATTACTTCCGGCCGCCGTGACGGGGGGAGAGAGATGCCTCCAGTTCTGCTATGTTTACATTGTGTTTGGGGGGGAGCCGATGCCTTGCCATTCACGAAGTAGGTTTCAAGTCATTCTCGGGCATATACACCAACTCATCTCTGTGACGTCACGGCGCTTTGGTGGCGCGTCGGTCGCACTTCCGGTCTGGGGCTGTGGGCAGAAGTCCCCATGCCAGACGTGTATTCCTGCGTTGTTTTGAAAGGAACCAGATAAAAACCTGCCTTCTCGTCGAAACGCCGCGACTGGGGCCGTACCGAAAGTGTCGAGAAAGGTTTGAAGGTCAGTTTTCACGTGCTCGGTTCATCCGAGAATCTGGATATGTGCCGTGAAAAGGGAAAAGCAGACGCCGTCGGACAACGATTGCTTGGGCGGGAAGCTCTTTGGGTTGAATTCACGGACACTTGTGGTCATCAGATTTATTTGTTTTGTTCCAACGTGAACGCCAGAAAACTGTCAAGCTGGGCGGGACAACCTGTGGACTACGTTCAGTGCGTCTTCAAGCTCAAACGGCCGCCTGATCGTTCGAACTGTCGTCTGCTCTTTCAAACGTTTCTGCTTGTCGTCTGCTCTCTTAGACGACGCCAGCCGTAGAATAAATGTTGGCCCGGTACTTGCTATACGAACTAAGTGCAGGCCTCAAAAGACTTAAGTTTGAAGGTTGGTAAGTAGGCTCGATGTAAACAGTAAATACAAGGAGATGATCATTGTAACGAGTGACCATCACTGATTTGCTATGCCTAATTGACTTAGTCCGATTCTACTTGCGATTTTCAGTATCGACGTCGACTATCTCAGCTACGGTACAAGCTTTTGCAGCCCGAGCGGCGTCGCGACTGAAAATTGCGAGCGAAATCTCATCATGCGAATCAGGTTTTATCGTACACCGCGGCGTCCACGCGGAATGAATCGCCACATGTCACATTATTCACGCGAAGTTTCGCGATGTAACGAGCCTCGGTAATTTCGCTAACACCGCTCAAGTAGTCAGAGATCGCCAGGAAGACGTAGAATCAACAATTCGAACGCGAAAAGGGGCAGGGGGACTCACACCGACGCCGACAACATCGCATTTCAATGGTTTGTTTATGGGCAACGGCGAGCTTTTTGCCCACACCCCCATCGCGCATGCGCGGCGCCGGTGGCGTCCGCTAGGGGCGCTCCGGTTTGTTTGTAAACATGAGTTGGTGTATAAACCAGGCAGCTCGACACAATACCTTTGGCAGATTTGTCGTTTCTTTGAGGTTTTTTCATCCAAGGGATCAGGAAGGCATCCTGTATAAGTAAACTTCAGGAAGTACCGCAGTTGGTCCTCGGCAGTGAGTCTTTTAAAGCATGCACTACTCGCTGTGGGTCCTCAAGAACAAGCAAAAACAATGGCCAACTAGAATCAACACACTCCCCCCTGAACTTTGGCTATTATTTGTTTTTGTTTACCTCCGCACACCCTGTTTTATCAGATGCCCGAAAAACCGATCGCTTGACCCAGCGACACGGTAGATTTGGCCTCATTTGATTTTGCCTTATGTCGCAAAATGCCTCTATATTCTGTGAAATCGGCATTGACTTGGCAACTTGGCTGATCAGGTGGGGAGTGACAACAAAAACTGAACAGCCGCTGAAGCCTCTAGAATGGTTGAGCTTTCTTCTGATAGGTAGCCCAGCAGGCCCTGAAGGCCATGCGCTCGCCTGTGTTTTTTAAAAATATGCTTCTGTAGATGAATCGCTTTAACTCAAGATCAGTCTGGCAACATAAATATTACGCTAAAATATTTTTTCTCAGGTGACGTTTATTTCGTGACATGTCCTATCCAGACTAAAAAGAAATGACGACTATGACAGGAAGCAATAACGGGTGAGCGCAACGTTTCAAGCTCCGGACATATGTTCAGCCGTCTACTTTGACTGGACCACCTCGTGGAACCCGCTGCCTTCACCCTAGTGAGCGACCGAGCTGCCAGGTCTCACTGGAAGTTTCTATTGAACAGCCGGAAAGGCCACTGCGGCTCGCTGGCTTACTCACCATCCCAGAACTTACCAAACTCGGGCAGTGGTGTTTGCGACCATCGGCAGAACATGTCGTCCCCATCTCGCATATAAAATTGTCGCTAAGTGCGGCACCACAGGTCTCCACGGTACGGGCTCTTGCCTTTCTGCGGTGCTGCGGCTCTCCCGAGCCAATAAAGATTATTATTATTATTTTAAAAAATGTTTCTCGGGTGTTGATTGTCCCCGTAACGCGTGAACGTCCGTTGCAGCTGCTGATAGTGGGGTTCATCTTCCTGGTGGGGCTCATATCGGGCTACTTGATGCGGAGGGGGTCCCACCAGGGGGCACAGAGAGCCACCGGGGCGGCCGACGGCGGCTGCCCGATGCCTGGGGGAGTCTACTCCTTCAAGGAGCGCTACGCCGAGCTCCTCCTCGGCAGCGTCGACAGGGAGAACCTCGACAGCTGGCTGAGGTGAGCACGGCCTTCCTCGGAGGTCGTCGCCCCAGTGAGATTGCGGCATTGGCCGAACGCCCAAGTGAGAAGCGTTAACGTACCAAGCCATGCATTTATTCATCTGGCAGTGAGCGTAGAGCCGCGACAAGCATCTCTTTGGCACACCTCCGGCACTCGTTGCCTTCTGTTGTGCTACGGCCGAGCACGCACGCTCGAAGCACGTGTTGCTGGGACGATTGAAAGACTTCCCTCTCATCTTGTTGCTGACTTATTGCGCGACGCGTCTCAAAGGGGCTCGCCACTCTGCCTCGGAAGCTAGTCGGTAGTGCCACCAAAGATGGCTCCCACGGTGAAGCGCTACCTGCTCGGACCCTTCCAATGCGCCCGGCCGCGTCTGTGCCTTCCCGCGGCCGTCTTTCTCCCTCTCGCTCCGGAGTAAAACTTTGGAACCTCGAAATTTGAAAAGCGTTCAGCGTTGCTTCGTACGCGTTTTCACGTCAATCGACCCGCAAGAGTTGCTCGGATTCAATCGTGTACGTGTCCCGCAGTTGTAAATAACAACGATACGCTGCCATGTTTTTCATGTATCTGTGCCGGCAGATGGGTCTACGAAGCGTTTGTGTGCTGGATGGTCTGGAAATCGCTACAGGACGACATTTGTCGGTGCCAGTAATTGATAAAATCTATGTGAGAAGTATTTTTCGCGCCTCGTATTATAAAATTGCTCTTTGCTCGCCGGCGGATCAAATAGACTTACTAAGATTGAGATGATTTGGGCAGTTTTCGCTGCCGATTGCTGCTTCCACTAGGAGCCGCACCGTGGCACCAATGTCTCGTCACACTTTTAATAGTGCCATACGCGCGTGAAATGTGAATTAATTCGTGCACAAATGCTAAACCAAAATTTCTCTTCACGGCGGGGGCTTATTTTTTTCTTTTGACATTCCACGTTGAGCACTGCCGGGTGAAAGCTATTTTATGGGTGAATCTGAAGATGCGGTAGAAGCTCACTGACACCTGTAACCCAGGGACCGTGATGCATATGTAGGATCCAGATAGACGGCAACTGATAACGCCTCTGAGGGCCAATAAATGAGACAGGAAGCAACTTCCACGTAGCAATTTGTTTTTCATGAACCTTCACGACTGTAGAAAACTACCAAGTTGTAGAATTGTGCAAATAATTGAATTTTTAATAATGGCTTCAAATAATACGCTGTTCGATACTCACTTCAAAGTGCTAACGCGATCGAAGCTGTAAAGCTTCGATCGCGTTAGGTTGGCCCCATTGAGCTTGCTTCTCATCGAGCATCCGTGCACTGCAGAGAAGCAACATCTGCGGAGCTCATGGAGTAATTCTAGTGAACATAAAGAATTGTTACTGAGGCCCTGTCGCAGCCCAGCTGTTAGAATTCACAACACCTACTACCTGGTGCGGCAATGGCTAATTATTTGTACATTTGTTATATTTGTACCATTAAGAAATGGTTTTACTTTGATTTACATATTTCTAAAACTATTAGTAGCTTCGAACGTTTTCAAAAATATTACGACAACAGCGACTGGGGCTTTGGCAAGACGCACTACTTGGCAGCTGCCGTATCGGCAGCCGAGGTGGCGGGACGCGGATGCGGCGTGTTGTTGCTGTCATCGTGTGGAGTTCTCTGTTATGTAGCGGCTGGCAAGCTGGCGCCCATCGGCTCGTGACCATCGGCTGCGCTCGCACCGAGCGCTTGAGAGCCGCGGGGCACGAGCAGACAACGCCAAGCTAGGAACGTTGCGCCAGGCTCAGTCGGAGGCTCCATCAGAATAAATCGATTAGACAACCATCGAAGGTCTACATCTCGTATTAAACATTGGCGACGAGGGCGGAAGAGAACTCCAGCAGCGGTTCAAGGATGACTGCGACACAAGGCAAGCTCGAAGAATTCCAAGGGACAGGATGGTCGGCCTGGGCGGAGCGATTGGAATTCTTCTTCCAGGCAAACGACATAACGGACCACGGGAAGAAGAGAGCCCTGCTGCTGATCCTTTGTGGCGCTGAAACCTACGAGACTGTGCAAGCGCTGATGGCCCCGAGGAAGCCCGGCAAAGTTGCCTTTGAAAGCATCATGTCCATGCTCCAACAACATTACGATCCATGGCCTTTGGAACTATTCAGCCGAAGCCAATTTCAACGCCGCGACCAACAGCCGGGTGAGTCCATCGCTACCTATGTGGCGGAATTGAAGAAATTAGCCGCCAACTGCTATTTTGGCGTGCTGACACCTCTCTCGGTGGCCACAACTAGCGCCGGAGCATCGACCGCTTCAACTAGCGCTGAAGGACGAGCGGCCGCCGCCCCTTTAACATTGAATCCAACCATGCTGCCGCTGGATGTAATGCTGAGAGACCGTTTGGTGTGCAAGATGAGCGTCTGCAGCAACGGCTTTTCGCAGAGCAAACGCTCACGTTCAAGCAAGCATACGACATGGCAACAAGACTGGAAAGTGCGGTAAAACAGCAGCAGGAGCTTAAAACTCTCAAGACGGAACTGCATAGGGTCACACAACCACAGGCTACGAAACAGACCTCGGATCGAGATCAAACGCAACCAGATCTACGATGTTACCGCTGCCATAGACGGCACAGGCAAGACAGTTGCCCATTTAGCAGGGTAGCTTGCGGTTTCTGTAAAAAAATAGGACACATCGAAAAAGCATGTCGAAACAAGATGAGGACTGGCAGACGTCACTCAACCCATCAGATGGACTGCGGCGCAGAAGAGGACGCCCTAGAATCACAAAGTGGAGCTTCTGTTAAAAGCTACGGGAAGGACACGCAAGAGCTGAACGCACAACGTGCAACCAGTTTCGTTCCCAAGTACCTGGTGACCCTCAAGGTCGAGGGAAAGTTACTAGAATTTGAGGTAGACTCAGGAGCAGCATTTACGGTAATCAGTGAGGCCACATACCGGAAGGTGTGGCCGACCAGACCTCCGTACCTGCGGAAAGAGAACGTCACCCTTCGGACATGGACCGGCGAAGGCTTGAGTGTCCTTGGTTCAGCTGAAGTGCGCGTGAGACATAAGTCCAAGGACTACGTTCTACCGCTGGTTGTAACAAGTGGAACCGGGTGCAACTTGATGGGCAGAAATTGGTTCCCAGCGCTAAAATTCCAGGTCAGCGGGATACAACATCTTTCGCCAGACAAAGAAGTCCAGAAGGTTCTCTGTGCACACAAAGCGGTGTTTAAGTCCGACATCACAGGATACAACGGCCCACCTGTCCAGTTGGAAATGAAGGAGTCAGCAACGGCAAGATTCCTCAAGGCACGCCAGGTACCTTTCGCCCTGCGTGCTGTCGTGGAATGCGAACTGATGACACTGCAAAAGCAGGGCATCCTGGAGCAGGTCCAACATTCAACATGGGACACGCCCGTGGTGGTGGTTAGAAAGACGGATGGTTCGGTAAGGCTCTGTGGAGACTACCGCAGCACGGTGAACAAGACAGCGGAACCAATGGCTTATCCGCTGCCGACACCCACTGAAGCCTTATCTAACCTCCGGGGTGGCACAGTCTTCTCGACGCTGGACCTTGCGCAGGCTTATCAACAGCTACGCGTGACAGATGACACGGCCGAGGTACTGACAATCAACACCATCAAGGGCCTGTATCGAGTGAAGAGACTTCCCTTCGGAGTGGCGGCAGCTCCTGCAATCTTCCAGAAAGTCATGGACACAACATTAGCAGGCATCTCAGGGTCAGTGCGTACCTAGACGACATCATCATCAGCGGGGAGACTACGGAAGAACATAACTATCGACTAGATCAAGTACTGACGAGACTAGAAGGTGCAGGACTAAGACTAAAGGAAACCAAGTGCTGCTTCGGGGTGAGTGAAGTAAAATTTTTTGGCCGCCTCATCAATGCGGACGGCATGCATCCCACGCAGGGCAAAATTCAGGCCGTAGTACAGGCGCCCGAGCCAAGGAACAAGACAGAGCTGCAGTCCTTTCTGGGACTGTTAGCTTTTTATGACAGATTTCTACAGAATTGAGCAACGATTGCGAAAGAGCTCTATCACCTACTGGAACGGAAGACAGAGTGGCGGTGGGAGCAAAACCACCGCGAGGCTTTCCAGCAGTTGAAGGATCTGGTGGTGCAGTATACAGTACTGGCACACTATGACGAAAGAAAACCACTACTGTTGTCCTGCGACGCTTCGCCTTACGGTGTCGGCGCCGTACTAGCACAGTTGGACTCCGACGGCCGAGAGGCTCCGATTGCGTTTGCGTCCAGGACCCTGGGAACCGCTGAGTGCAACTACTCACAACTGGACCGAGAGGGCCTAGCCATTGTGTATGGAGTCAGCCATTTTCATCAGTATGTCGCAGGGCAAAGCATGACAATCTACACAGATCATCAACCTCTCCTTGGCATCCTAGGAGCTGACAAGCCCGTTCCACAAGTGTTGTCACCGCAGATGACCAGGTGGTGCGTAAAATTGGCTGCTTATAAGTATGAGCTGAGGTACTGGCCAGGAAACCGCCATCAGAACGCGGACGCTCTAAGCCGACTTCCCATGTCCACCACGGAGGAGGAGCCAGAAGTACCCGGAGACATACTGATGTTTGAGGCTTTGACCCGCCCACCGCTCTCCGCAGACCAAGTAGCCAGGGAGACAGCACGTGACGCCGTCCTGTTAACAGTATACCAGGCAGTACAAGAAGGCACTATTCATCGGTATCAGTCCCCAGAGTACTCGCCGTACAGAAGTGAAGCAGCACAGTTGTCGACACACAGAGGATGCGTAAGCTGGGGGACACGGGTCGTGATTCCTAACAACTTGAGAAGAGAGACGATGGCTCTAATTCACTCAGGACATCGTGGAATTGTGGCGATGAAAGCTTGCGCTCGCAGCCACGTTTGGTGGCCCGGGATTGATGCCGATATTGAAGCATGGGTCGCTGCATGTAGCACCTGCCAGATACACCGGAAGTCACCAGCGAAGGAACCGATCCCTGTGTGGAATAGGCC